ATAAGCCTCAGCTATAAGACATTGGACAATTTATATAAGTAGCGTAACGCCGAAGGCGCTTGTGTCAGTCGTCGGGCCTCTTGTGCGTCGGATTGCGAATAAGGAAGTCCAGCGATAAACATAAAAAACGTAAGCCTAACTATAACATTTCGTTAATTCAATTAAACTTACGGATACACAATGTGCTACGCTATGGGTGGTTTGTGTACTTTTATAAATATCATCGTGGCGCACAAGTGTATTATTTTCTCTACATCTATAGATTTACTTTCTTTTTGCCCGCCACGAATAGAGCTATATGTGTGTATCATGGCGTTCGTCATGGGCAACTTTCGATCGGACACGTTATATTTTGTATATATATATACACACGAGATACAGTAAATCGCATATGAATAGCAATTTTCCAACACCTACGAGCATAAACACACAGACCAACAGGTTCTCCGTGCTCCGTAGCTACGGTAATACGTTCCAAGGTGCAATGAACGTTCCTAACGTGCTGCAGCAGGAGGACTCTCTTTTAAACACTCGCGTCGCGTCACGATACACCTACACACACATAGACAGCACAGCATAGAATAACAGTTTGCTGCGCACGCCTGCTCTATTGCATTTAGAGGAAAATGAAAATGAAAGTGTTTCTTTCATTGGGCCAGCTGCACTAACTGAGCTACGAGCTTACAACTTTTCAAAGTCGCACAACTTGATGCTACATATGCCTGTTTTTCCGTTCAATTTAATGACCGAGAACAATTTTTTCTAATTTCTTCATAAGATTTGGAGTATCGAAAAACTTGAAAAAACCGTTGAAAAAAGGCCAAAATAAAATAAATCGAGCATAATGCTCAACTTGTATAATTATACATTTCATGAACTTAGCGAAACATTTTGCTTGATGCAGTTTTTTTCAATTTTTATTCATCGCGTTTTGATGCTATCGGAGTTATTTTGTATTAAGTTTTTAAACTGAGCATATATCATCATCGCGTCTAGCTCCAATGAAGTAATTAAATTGTCTCGCTCTCTGTTTTGTAGGCTTCGAGTGAAGCCAATTATTTTTCTGAGCATCGTCCAAAAGCCTGCAAAAGTATGTTTACATTTGCTAGCTTTGTCTCCTGCACGGAAATTTTTCTCGATAGCAACAATTTGTGAACGATTTGTACAATTTTCTCCGTTGCATTTAGACTTGCAGCTCCATTGAATGATCGGCTGATTCGACGACGTGAGCCGCAGCACGGCATTTACACAAAATACCCAAAACAGATATATTTCGGAGGCTAATAACTTCCCTTGCTTCGTTCGCCCAGTCAACTATCCACGGCACGCGCGTCAATTCATATTTTCACTCTCGCTTATTGAAGAAAAGAAAAACAGGTTTTATTGTTTCGAGTCTAGAGGCAGGTCAATGCATTGTATAGGCGTTTACAAAAATGTATTTCATAATTCAATAGCTCTCGCGATTGCGATTCGACAGCTGAGCTTTGTAACAAAGAGTCCCTGAATGACTACTTGTAGCCGAGCTCGTGGCGTGGATTTATGCGATACATTAGACGAATCGTATCATCCGTTCTCGACGTGCATAATGTACTACGGCAACTATATACGCACGCACGTAGCGCACAAATATATTATCCAACCAAGCTTTCAGCGGCAGCGAGTCTTTGCAATATATCCATATTCGCGGTATAATACACATGCGTTCACTGCACCGCTGCAGTGTGGCAGGAGTATTTTTACACCCAACTGCTGGAGCACTGCTACTGCTGCTTCCATGTGTAACGTACCTGCCGCGCGTGTTTTCACTTTCTAACTTTTAGCGGCGTGCAAAAATCAGAACTCCGCCACTCGTGGCTCTCGAGAAGCAGGCCATGCATAAACATTATACCAGCGGAGAAAGAAATATATATCGCTGCGCTAAGCTATTGTTGCTATTTCATATTGCATTGCACTCACGAACATACGCTCGATTTTTTTCTTTCAATTATATCGAGCCACGATAAGCTAGCTAAAGAGTTTGACAATTAAATCGAATCCGGACGCTTTCTTCGGTCTTTGAAGTCTTTCGATTATCGAAAATAGCTCGTTGCACGAGTCAAATGTAATTTCACGGCGATATACTTTCGTTGTGTCATCGGTCGGGCGCGCGCGCCTCCCAAGCCCCAGCGTCACGATCGCGAGACTTTGTAATAGCCCAATGGAAAAATCGTTATGTAAAGCAATATTCGTTGTACAGGAAAAAAGTCAAGTTAAGGAACGGTATGGGTAACGAAAAAAAACTGAGCAATTATTTTTCCCACGAAATGTATTAGCCTTTTTTAAATGCTGCATCATGTACAAACATTACCCTGTTGTATTATAATGTAGGCATCGTCGCGACGCGAAAACATCATCGTTGCCTTTGAAACGAAATACGTCGCCGCAGTTTACGTGTACACGACTCAGTGCTCCATTCACTATCGCTCCTATCGTTCATCTCGCGAATGTATACTTTTTTTTTTATCGACTTGCATCTCCGAGATATCGTGCACGTGTATATTAACGCTCGTTTACGCGTCTACGGCGCGTTATGCGAATGAACGTTTACACATTTTCTTCTTTTTTTTTTTTTTTTTTCTTCTAGTTTAGAAAACTTTCACTGTACACAAATCTGTCGAGGTATATTGGCTGGCACGGAAAAATTTTCCGACGATAAATGCAGATAGAGGAGAAAGAATATATTAAAAAAAAGTATAGCCAAGCCATTTATCGCTGTGATACGTCGTACGTGAGGATATAGTTAATATAACTCTGCCGAGTGCAACAGACGCGTGACTAGTTGGAGCGCACGTGAGAGAGACAAAGCAACAGAGCGAGAGAGAGACATTCACTTTTTCGACGGTTAATCTAATGAGACTGAGAGCAACAAAATTCAAAGTTATATATGCAGTTGCAAAGAAGAATCGTCGTCGCGAGCTCATTACACATGCGCAGCCAACGAGTCCTTGACCCCTTTGTAATTGTTCACGCGCGTTATTATATGCGCGCGATATTGCCGCGGCCTGTCTCTTGCTCCGAGTGACAGATTTAAATCGAATTTGCGCACATACCTTATTATTATTATCATCATCATCATAATGATTGTTTTGGCGGTAAAAGTTGCGCTTAATAATTTACTGCAACTCTTAACGACCAAAGCGTGATATGTATATTATTACCGATCTTTAACGCCGATCTCTGGCTACGTATCTGTGCACACGTACGAAGGCAAGTGGAGTGGCGTCGGCCGCTCTCGGTTTCTTTCGGCATTCGAGCGTATCGCTAATGCACCACGGCGAGAAATCGTGTATACAACCACATACGTGTAGTGTGCTCATTTGGAAACTCATGTAACCATCCGATCGTTGGCATGAAAAAAACCAACTTCACTTTTTATCCTCAAATTTACACCGTGGATATGTACTTATGTATGTAGCGATCTAACGTAGATCGATTATTTTTTCAGCTCGCATTGAAATCGCGTCGATGTTACGAAACGATTGCGAAGATATTAGAGAAAAAAAATCGATCCGCAATTTCGAATACGCGCACGTAATATGAATATGTATTGATATATTCCAGAAACGGATACGGCATTGCTTCGATCTAGCAAGATAATCGGTAAAATTATAATTTTTAATTCAATTCCGCTTATCTTCGAAGTCACTCGGAGAGGCAAGAAAAGCTGAAAGAAAATATTGATTCTTCGCCTCTGCGATGTCAAGAGTCTCGAGTATTTTCAATTCCCGGTAACGTCAATAATTGTTGGGAAATGATCGAGCGACCTTGCGAGGCGCTCGCTCGAAGGGCTGCAGGAAATTAATACGAGGCTCGCACAGCACTAGGCGACATTGTCTCGTTAATTATAGTAAATAATTTTGTTGTTACCGCAGAGAAATTGTTTCGGTGAATCGTAAAATTGTCCAATCGTGCGAATGTCGCAACGTGTCCGAGGCCTCTAATAATTCGACGTCATTATGCGGCGCGATAAATTAACCGAGCGTTGCGATCGGTCCGCGCGAGATCGGCTATGGCCAAAACGACGACGAGCAACGAGCGAGTTCCGTGCTTAGGCGAAAAGTAATTGGGATAATAAATCTCGAGCAGGCATACACGGTGCATTACGAAGCGCGAATGAAAACAACAATTGCTCCATTCTCGATCGAGTCATGAGTCGGGCTTGAAATCGGGCAAAAAATGTGGAAAAAAAGTATCGTGACTCGGGCATCTATATGAATTGCGCGATTTTTTATGGGAGGCGTGTACCGAGCCGGCTAAGACAGAGAGAGAGAGAGCAAACTGCAGACTTGACTCAACCTGTTACCTACTCCACTTCAACTCTCGCTCTCGATGCAAATAATCGCTTCCACAGAGCAGAGTAGAGTCGAGTACATATACAGAAGACACGTTGGCAACACAATTTCCACATCAGTCTTATTTGCTCGCGCGCGCGGGGGTGTGTATACAGCGCTACACGTGCATACACATGGGTTGCGCGAACGTATTTTATCCTGAAACGATTGAATGCAGAGTACCTTATGGGATCGAATGCAGCAGGCACTGCGCATTATGAGCGACGGGCAGAGAGAGAAAGAGAGAGAGAGGGAGAGGGGGGGAAAAGGGAGCGGGATCCATGGGAAAACGGTGATCACATCGCGCGCGAGTCTATCTTACACAAAGGATTTTCAACTGCTGGCAAACTTGTGTATATAGTCACGGATACACTCCCTCCGTAATAAAGGTAGTAGTAAGGTATTGCCTGCCTTCGACTATATCTGTATACATAATTATCTTTCTCGCTCTGGGCTCTCTCAGGCGGCTCCATGCTGCTGTGCCTCGAGTGCGACTATATAGCATATATAGTAAGTAATAGCAACCGAGAGCTCGGGAGTAAAAATGAAATGGGGCATTGGGTGAAAGTAAACTTGGCGCTGCAGCGAGTCGAGGAGCTAAGCCCGAGCTCGCCGCTCTCGGCGATACTCAGTCGTGTTTTGAACGGCTGCTCGATCGCACATGTGCGTCTATGCAGAAACATAAACAAAGTGCCAAGTTCCCTAGCAGTGCGTGAATCGAAGCTCGCGCGAGAGTCGACGACCTTTCCTTTCGACGGCTCTTACTTGTTTGTGCGCGAATCGTGCGGCGAGACTCGCCACCAATTCGAATTCACGCAGTCCACCGCGCAGACAACGCATAGCACACGGCTCCTACACATCCTACACATTGACGTATAGCACGAATAAGCAGAAAAGAGAGAGAGAGACCAAAAGAGCTGCCTACAGAAATGTGCCGCTGCTTCGTGCACTTTTGCTGCTGAAATTTACGTCGGCGATGATGACGATTATTACGACGAGTGGCGAGCATCAGTGCTACTACTACGATTACTCGTGTACCGAGGATGATGACGATGCGGCTGCGACTTTTTCTGCCTCTGCTGCTCGTGCTCTTACCGGAGCTGCTGCCTTAAATGAATAAAAACCTCGGCGAGCCGGTATCTCGTTCTTAGTGCGTGCGCGGCTGTTCCGCGCTAGCTTCAGCTTCTGCTCCGACCAATAACTCCTGTCAACGATTTATCTCGCTTCTTATTTAATTATTTTTTTTCTCTTCGCGCGCGTCCATATGATATTTATATTATCGACAACGTCAAATTGATGCTGCTCTGAGCCGCGTTCAAGATCGTTATCGCCAAGCGTCCGTTTTCATTATTATTGCTCGTCCATGCAGACAAATAACTCAGTTCGTCCAGTGATTTTATAAAAGTTTATCTTACCAAAGTATATGATACAGTCAACTTTTCGTAATTCAGAATTTTTAACCGACTGGACGACGATCGAGCTCACTCAACATGGGCAGCATCACGAATTTGTTGTTCCTTGCATTGTTGCTTCTTGCTTCTACAAGTGCTTTAGAAAATGGTTTGGCCAGAACACCTCCGATGGGTTGGTTGGCCTGGGAAAGGTTCAGATGTAATACAGACTGCAAAAACGATCCTGACAACTGCATCAGGTATGTTGACAATCTTGTTTTTCAATTACATATAGCCTTCAAGGAAGTCTTTTTGTGGATTGACCACATGTGCATGCACATATTATGCAAACAGCCAGCTTAACTCGAAAGGAGTTATGTTGACCGATCACAGACAACTAACTAACTAGACTTGTAGCAGATTGTGAGCTTAATAGAATATCATCATTTATGGCTTCTACATGAATTACCTTTTCCTTTTTTTTACATTTATTTAACTTTTAATTTTTTACAAAAGAATTATAAACTTCTACAGGTACCAGCTTTCAATAAAATGTTAAATGCTTTTGTAACTTTTGTGCTACTGCATGGTTCATATGACCATAGATTGAAAGTCTAAGAGAGTAAAAGTGTTATAACTTATTACTAAGCTTTCTTACTTATCTAAAGTACTAACTTATAATGTCATGAAATAGCAATGTCTTTTGAAAAATGATTTACAATTCACAGACTATAATTTTCCTCTTTGCTTCCTGAGACTGATATCGGTTATAATTATAATAATTATAGTATATATCTACTAAGCTTATGTAAAAGACTAATGATCAAGACCATGGTGACATTTTGCAATGAGTATAGTGTATTGTACTGTGTACAAATAGTGTATCTTAAAAAAAATGTCATACTTTTCTTTTTCAACTATACATTGTCACTATTGATTCACTAGTCATTCATGTCTAGTGGAACAGCAAAACAAAGAAATTATTTCTAAAGCCAATGAATCAATTATCAGATAGGAAAGTTTTTTCTCCAAGAGCTATTCAGTGATCAATGGTAAAGCAAAATTAGTAATGAGTATACAGAAACAATAGTATCAAGAAATAACTCTCTCTTTTTTTTCAAATTATTTTCAAGTCCTTTTTTCAATTGTACTTGAATAGATCTAAACTATCTTTCTTATTTACTATGTTAAACTTAAATAATGTTCTTAACACTTGATTATAATTAAAGCTTGAACGAAAAATCAATAATCAAGTAACACTAGAATTTTTATTTAATAATTTTTATGAAAAATTATCTTTTTAATGTTGTTTTTTTAAATTTGAAATGTAGATTCGCAATAGAAAAGCAATGAAATTTCACACTTTTCAAAATTTATTATTTAATATTTTGTAATAAATCGAAAAATAAACTATGGTCTTAAGATTATCATGTGAATATAATACATAGATTGTAAAAATACTATTTTCTCTCCCATATAATTGTATTTACCAAGATAATAATGACATTAATAATCTTTTAAATTTGCTACAAAACTGATGTATTCTCAAGATGCGTTAAAAAGCACTGTAAGTGAGAAAAACACTGATGTATAGAAATCTCTGCTCGTGATTCTTACATAAATTTTAGTATAGGTCAATATGTTCATGAGATAATTTAATTCATCTGAAATTAGAGCTTGTTAGAAGTTGGAATAAATTTTAAGCCAAGGTCTATTTACACTTTAATTGATTGAAATTTTTTTAATTAAAAAAAAATCGAAATTATCATACTTATACAAGCTTTAAATCATTTGATTTTCTAAACTTATAATTCTTAATACACTTTAAGGGAAAAAAAAGGAACACACCAAAAACGTCATTTTTTTCTCAAATTTTTAGCGATCGTCTATTCCGGACAATGGCAGATATTGTTGTGTCTGAGGGATATGCAGCAGTAGGATATGAATACATAAATATTGATGACTGCTGGTTAGAAAAGGAGCGCGATTACCGTGGACAACTTGTAGCCGATCGACAGCGGTTTCCCTATGGAATGAAGAGCTTAGCAAATTATGTAAGTTTATCATAATACTGGATTAGAATTTTGAAATTTTACCAACATTTTTTGTTTTTTAATTTGCTTATTACATGATTACACTTGGTTCGAAAATATTCGATATATTTCGTATAGCTTCACATAAACTTTTTGCATGTAGGAAAAAATCCTATAAAATTACTATTTTACTGGTGTGATTATCAATAATAGACAATCTTTTATTAATCGTTTTACAGGTTCATTCTAAAGGACTCAAGTTTGGTATATACGAAGATTTTGGTAACTATACTTGTGCAGGATATCCTGGTGTCTTGGGATATTTAGAAAACGATGCTGCTCTCTTTGCATCTTGGGATGTAGATTACGTGAAACTTGATGGTTGTTATGCACACCCCAGTGAAATGGATCAAGGTAATGAAAATACCTGTACTGGATAATAATACATTTTAACGGTGATTAATTTAATAAAACATTCCAAAAGTTAAAAATTTTATTTATTTTTACAGGCTATCCTGAATTTGGTTTTCATTTAAATCAAACTGGGAGACCAATGATTTATTCATGCAGCTGGCCAGTTTATCAAATATACGCTGGCATGCAGGTAAATACGTGTGGCAATATTAATAATCTAGTTTTTTTTAAAAATGTACAGGCGTGTATTAAAACGAAAGTTAGAAAGTATTGATAATCTAAATTATTTCAAAAAATTATAATCTATGATTATTAGCTTGTTGGCTTATATATACGCATACTTACGATAATTATTATAACTTCAAAAATTCTTGGGAAAAATCGGAAATAAGTTTTCGTTAAGAATTTCCAAATTATTTATAATATATTGAGAGCTGATGACATTAGTTTTGTGATTGATATCTTATTGCTTATAACAATTATTTTTCAGCCCAATTTCACTTCAATTATCAATCACTGTAACTTATGGAGAAATTTTGATGATATTCAAGATTCTTGGAGCAGTTTGGAAAGTATCATTGATTACTATGGGAATAATCAAGACTCAATAGTGCCAAATGCAGGACCAGGACACTGGAATGACCCAGACATGTTGATTATTGGCAATTTTGGTTTGAGTTATGAGCAAAGTAAAACTCAAATGGCTCTATGGGCTATTTTAGCTGCTCCTCTTCTCATGTCTGTGGACCTTAGAACTATAAGACCAGAGTACAAAGCTATTTTACAAAATAAGAAAATTATTGACGTAGACCAGGATCCTCTTGGCATTCAAGGTCGACGAATTTACAAGGTATGAAGACAATCTTTGATTATTATGTTCCCTTATATTTAAAAAAAAATGATTAAAATCAATTACAAATTTTTTTTACAGCACAAGGGCATTGAAATTTGGGCCAGACCCATAACACCTGTTTACCAAAACTATTATTCGTATGCTATTGCATTTCTCAATAGAAGAACAGATGGAACCCCATCTGATGTATCTGTTACTCTGAAAGAACTTGGTCTGCAGTACCCTGGTGGATACAGAGTAGAGGTAATAGAAAACACTATGGAAACTATGAAAACAAACTTATGTTCTTTCTTCATTTGCTACAATGAATAATTTTTTTTTCACAGGATCTGTACGAGGATGTAGACTACGGGGTTCTTACACCACAAACTAAGATTAAGGTCAAAGTTAATCCATCTGGAGTTGTGATTCTGAGATGCGATCTACAAGTTGATGATGTTTATGTATCAAATCAATATGCACAATACGCGCCACTAGATCAAGTGTTCAAAGTCAGACACAATGACTTCGATCAATGAGTGATATTCATAATTAATTTATAAGAAAATATACATATTTTATATTTATTCCCTAATATGATTTGTTTGAATTGAACATTGTGTGACCATACTTTATTAAGGCTGTAAAAATAAATAATTTGATTAAACATAATATAGTTTTAAGAAAACTCATGCATTTTTATTTCATTTCAATCTTTCATTTTACCGCGGTGATTCAAATTCGTTAAAAGCTTACTTACTTACCAATCCCGTATCTAACTCAAAAAAGCTGCCTGCTGCGGACTGCGGTGTAGATATATACGCGATGGAGGAGCCACAGTAGCAATTTTTTTTGTAAACGAAAATAACTCATTTTGACAGGCGATGGATCTATCAGAATTTATGGGACTAATTTTTTAATAGATCATTTTGTTTTATATCTTATATTTATTCGAGATGAAGACTGCTTTTATGGTGGCTGAAAAGCCATCTCTGGCTGCATCTTTAGCTAGTATATTAAGCAATGGTAGATGTACTACACGGAAAGGTAGGTTAAGAAACCGAGTGTTTTCTGCTTTTTGAATAACAAATAGTTTCCCGTTCTCATAATATGAGCTTTTAATTAATGCTCACGGCTCAAAAATACGTCTCAAACTTTGAGTCTGGATGAATAATTATTTGTGTAATAAATCCATAAAATTTTAGACATTTTAATTTCAAGATTTCAAAATGGTTTGTTTATTTTTGTGTATTTTTATTGTTTAACAATGTTTTTTGCATTTGTATTAGGTTCCAATGGCTCATGTTCGGTTCATGAATGGGTTGGCCAATTCCGAAATGAGACTGTTAATTTTAAAATGACTTCTGTATGTGGACATGTCATGAGTTTAGATTTCATAGGAAAATATAATAATTGGGATAAAGTTGATCCTGTAAGTTTGAACATGTATGAATTCACATCAGAGAAACAGGTATAAAAATATTTTTTTATTTTTCAGGCTGAGCTTTTCAATTGCCCAACTGAAAAAAAAGAGGCTGTACCAAAATTGAAAATTCCTTATTTTCTAGGAAAAGAAGGGGGTTACTGCGATTATTTAGTTCTATGGCTTGATTGTGATAAAGAAGGTGAAAATATTTGTTTTGAAGTAATTCAAGCAGTTCAGCAAGGTTCTTCAAGGAGGTTGAATCCAAATGTAAATTATCTTTATTTTATTTTGCGAGTGATTAACTGAACTACATGAAATTGTTTATTTCAGGATATTTGGAGAGCTAAATTTTCTGCTATTACTGATAAAGATATAAAATCAGCTTTAGCAAATCTTGCAAAGCCAAATGAAAATGAAGCAAGAAGTGTTGATGCTCGACAAGAACTAGATTTGCGAATAGGCTGTGCCTTTACAAGATTTCAAACAAAATTTTTTCAAGTAAGATTATTATGCATGATAAACAAAAAGTATTTGTATTTACTTTATTATTTATGTTTGTTTATTCGTAGGGAAAATATGGTGATTTAGATGCATCATTAATTTCATATGGTCCATGTCAAACTCCTACATTAGGATTTTGTGTTCAACGGCATGATGAAATACAAACTTTCAAACCAGATCCATATTGGGTCCTTCAGGTTAATAATAAAATTAATGGTATTGGTTCATACAACTGACAAAAACCTTAACGTACAAAATTATCTTTAGTTGACAGTTAAATCACCAGATGGTCAGGATGTGGTCTTGAGCTGGAGTAGAGTTCGATCTTTTGATAAAGAAGTAGCTAATATATTTCTCAGTCATGTAAAAGAACACGAATATGCTGTGTAAGTTTAAAGTTTGAGATTATTTAATTTTCTTTTAAATTCATACGAGCTGAAAGTAATAATATTTTTGCAGTGTAAAAAGTATTCAGAGTACAGAAAAATCAAAAGCCAGACCCATAGCCCTTAACACAGTTGAGCTGATGCGAGTCGCTAGTTCAGGTCTTGGTATGGGTCCACATCACGCCATGCAAATAGCCGAGCGTCTTTATACACAGGGATACATCAGTTATCCACGTACTGAGACGACGTCTTATCCTGAAAATTTTGAATTAACATCGACTCTAAAGCAACAGCAGAACAGCCCTGATTGGGGCGATGAAGTGCGACAAATTCTCAATGCGGGAATTAATAGGCCAAAGAAAGGTCACGATGCCGGTGATCATCCTCCTATAACGCCAATGAAATCGGCTAGTAGAAATGAACTCGATGGCGATTCTTGGAGACTCTACGATTATATTACGAGACATTTTATAGCAACTGTAAGTAAATTGTAAAGAAATTTCAACCATTTGATGATATGTGTATGGTGAATTTCCACAGCTTGCTAGAGATTGTAAATATCTCAGCACAACAGCCAAACTCGAAGTTGGTACGGAAACATTTTCAATTACGGGCAATTCGCTCATCGATCCCGGTTATACGAGTTTACTCACATGGCAAGCTCTGAGCAGCAACGAGTCATTCCCAAGATTTTCGATAGGTGACAAAGTCAAAATCGTTGATGTATGTATTACTTGAAAATAGCTGTACTTGAGATGATAAATTTCTGCAATGCAAAGATTATTGGATTTTCAGGCCAAGCTTTTGGAGCTGTTTACTCAACCGCCAGACTATCTCACAGAATCGGAGCTCATCACGCTTATGGAAAAACACGGTATCGGTACAGATGCTTCGATTCCAGTGCACATAAATAATATTTGCATCAGGAATTATGTGGCAGTTGCTTCGGGACGCAAACTCGTACCAACTTCACTAGGCATCGTTTTAGTTCACGGTTATCAAAAAATTGACCCAGAGCTCGTATTACCTACCATGCGCTCGGCTGTCGAGGAGCAACTCAATCTTATCGCTCTTGGTCGAGCGGACTTTCACGATGTGCTATTACATACCGTGGAGATATTCAAGCAAAAGTTTCATTACTTCGTGCAAAGTATCGACGCTATGGATCAGCTGTTCGAAGTGTCCTTCTCGCCTCTTTCGGCGTCTGGAAAATCGCACTCGAGGTATGTTTCACGGATTTTAGAAAGAGGTAAAGGTAAATTACAGTTTTGTATTGATTGTTCAATTGAACCTTTCACAGGTGTGGAAAATGCCGCCGTTACATGAAATACATTCAATCGAAGCCGTCCCGTCTGCACTGTGCTCACTGCAACGAGACTTACAATTTGCCTCAGAATGGCAACATCAGAATTTACAAAGAACTCAAATGTCCACTCGACGACTTTGAATTGCTTTCCTACTCGACAGGCTCTCGAGGCAAAAGTTATATCTTCTGTCCTTACTGCTTCAATAATCCTCCCTTCAGAGACATGAAAAAGGGTCTGAGTGGATGCAACGCTTGTACGCATCCGACCTGTCCACACGGACTTAATTCTAATGGTCTGTCGAGCTGTCTCGAGTGCGAAAGCGGCATCCTCGTATTGGACCCCTCGGCTGCGCCCAAATGGAAGCTGGTCTGCAATCGTTGCGATGTTATAATCCATCTGTTTGAAGGTGCCCACAAGGTGAACGTTGAAGCTGATGAAGTTTGCGACTGCGGAGCTCAACTTGTTGCAGTTGAATACAAGCAGGCAAGTACTAATTCAAAAAGAAAATAGAGAGAAAGACAAAAGTGCGAAAAGTTTATTGATTTTTTATTTTTCAATTCAACAGGACAAAAGCAAACTTCCGAATGAGGAGACAGAAATGACAGGCTGCGTATTTTGCACCCCAGCCTTTACTGCTCTAGTAGAGAAACATAGAGCCGTAGCTTCTAAACCTGTAGCAACACGAGGTCGTGGTCATGGCAAAGGTCGCAGTCGCGGTAAACCAAGACCACCTAAAGATAAGATGGCCCAACTCGCGGCTTATTTCGTTTGAAAAACTGGGATTCACCTTATTTGCTTCAAGTATAGTAAAAGAAATGAAGCACTAAGTGAAGCAAGAATTATTTATCATTACACAGCAACATTTTCAAAGAAAACAGTTATAAGTTTTACTGGTATTCGATTGAAATGGAGGCTTGCATTGTTTGTCATAAGAAAACTCGTATCTTGTTTTATTTAGAGGGCATGAGAACACACCTTGTGCTGCAACCGATACGTCCCGAAAATAACCGAGATAGACCTTATCCATAGCAAAAAGTTATTATACATACAATATTTAAGCTAACTATACGGTATAAACTAATGAAATCCCATAGGTATAATCTTATAAAATGGTACCCTTGAAATATATGAAATATTTACGGGTTTCAAAGCAAAGCTTTAAGACTCTTCTTTACATAATAATGGTATTTATATAATTGGCTTATGTTTATTATTGAATAACATTTAAAGTAATTATTTATATGGTACGATTTATATGAAATGTTTATTTGATAAAAAATGTAACGATTTACAATGTAACAATAAAAGTAGAAACATGAACACAAGAAAAAAGTTTAATTCATTTCATTCATGGACTTTCATAAAACTAACGAGAAACTAATATGCGTTTACGTGTAAATTCCTTTATTATTTTAACCGATACCCTAAATGATGATTAAGAAAATACTGCAAAGCATACTGTCTACAACGAATTGTTCAATAGCATGGCCATTCATTTGATTTGTGTTGTTTATATTTTTAAGAAACGATATTATTGAGAAAATATTTTATTTGATCATTTCACCGTGAACAAACATATAGTCAGGCACAATCACTGTAATTCCTTTAAAAGACAATTTCTGCAGCATGTATTGTTTGAAACCGGATATTCTAAAATGTAGGTAAGAATGACAAATAGTCAGGTGAATATGAGCGAAGGCACCCGGTGCGAGCAGATGGGCGTATGCAAGCTGAGAAGCAACGAACTAAGTTTTGTAATTATCGCTGCTATTGTAATCTGCACCGTCTCAGGTTCGCACAGGTGCAACGTAACTCAGATTATTAAATAAAAATGTCATTTTTAAGGATAATTTTTAATCCATTGTAATAGGTACAACAAACTCAAAGATGAATATAAACGTTTCATTCGATTCGATAAAATATACTTCATCTCAATTTTCTCTTTCCATGCAACGTATCTATTATTACTCATTATCATCTACACATGTTTGGTAATTTACGCGTCAATTCACAGCAGGAGTTTCTTGTTTAATTATTCCTTCACAATGCAGGATTACAAAATTTAATTTAAAAGGCAATACATCTTTTTTTTCAATTTTGATGAACTATATTATATTTATGCACATGCTATTCATAAAACATAATTTATAATAGTTATTTATTTATTCAATGAAATATATTGAAGAAACTTTTATTATTTCATCAATCCAATAGTAGATCATTATCATCAATTGGAATAAAAATATTTAATTATTTTCTTAAAATTTAAATTTTTAAGTCACACATAAACTTATTTGATTATTATACTGAAAACATAAGCTCATATTGTCGTCCCTATCCCTTTTTGCCTCTCGAGTTTATCAAGCGCTGTAGGGCGACGATACAAGATATGATGAGCAACATCGTTTAAACAGATATATCTTACAGCTATGAAAGTGTATTATTTAATGAATGAATAAAACACGTAAATCATTTGAAAAGTTCACTATTCGAGGAATTCATTCTCAGTATTGTTAAAATCTTCAAGTTTATAACTCAAGATCTCGATTAATTATTATGAATTCATTGCGAGTTATATGTTTTGGTGAGTCAGAGTGGATTTTCTAAATATAAAGCGTCCACTTTATACTTGAGTTTTGCTTCGGGGAAGGACAAAGCATGATCCTGGCGGAATTAGAAAAAATTGCCGCTAACCACAAATAATGAATTATGGTAAGTAAAAATACGCAATTGAGTGGGATAGCATAAATTAAAGTTTCTATAACTGTTTATTTAAATCATTTATTTAAATTTTCACATTATAAATTTGAACGAGAACCCTGACCATAAAAATTTTCAAAATGATCTTGGTGATTTTTTCGGAATTTTATTCGAAATCTTGGTTCATGCGTTGAAAAAAATGTATTTTTACCTGCTTAGAAAATCAGATCTAAATGGCTATTTTCTCAATGAAGTCTCGTTTTACGCTAATTTTGAATCCTTCAAAAGATTCTTGAGATTGAATATCCAAAAAAAATGATCTCGAGGTGGTTATAGCTTGATTAAATCTACTTGATTCATACTTTTGCTACGAATTAAATGAAAATTTAAAATTACATTTGTAACAAAATTTAAGTTTTACTTTTTTTTAATTTGATTAACTTTACGTCGAGGAAAATCTCTTTTCAATCAATCAGTACCTACTGCTCACGTGACCAAGTGTATCGAGCAAGTACTATGAATTCAAAACTCAAATGAACTTTTGGAGCCGTTGATTGTACTGATAGTACTAGGGAGAATCGTGCATCGAAAATTGTTTGTCTGAGCAACGATCGTTCATCGATAATCTTTTTTAGATCACTCGTATTATTTGATGGAAATCATCGTGGATATCAAGTTTATAAGAAAAAAGCTTGTGAAATTTCACTCGACTGGCATAAAATAGCCAATGCTGCCCTCGACACGCGTGCGGAATGCATCTCATTAGCTGTCATTGTCGTGGTCGTGGTCGTCGTCGGAGCTGGAAAATCTGTGCGCGCGCGACTACGCACGAGAGCCGCTGCCAGTACATAGTCGAGCAGAGAACGCTTCAGTCGGCAAACTCGAGGCCGCGCGGACGTACGGAGCACAGCGGCCGCTCCTGTCTGCGTGCAAGCACGAGTTGGCATCGTATTTTTTCTCCCGCTCCAACCGAGCTCGATCGACTCACGCTCTCGAAGCGTACACGAGAGCTTCGACGAAAGCTTCGAGCACCGATGCCCGAAAGAGCCCGCCGAATCGAGAGCGAGTGTAAATGAGCAAAAAATATGCCGACTCGGCTGGCGGAAGATGTGGCTGCCAGTGCTGCTACCGATCGCCGCTCTGCTCGGTGTCCCAGTGGTATCGTCAAGTACGCCGACGCCGACGAAGCCGAGCCCACGAGGATGCCAAATGATCGTGCGCAAGACCGGCGCTTCGGAATTGAACTGCGTGCAGGCTGGTATCGCCGATCTGGCCCAGCTGCCTCGCTTTCCTCAAATTACCAAAATGTGAGTACAGTTCGAGACATCGTTTATCTCAAAAGCACCTTGAACAATCGTGGCATAGGCTTCGTTGCCTATACACTTCACACCAAACCTACGCACCAATAAATAAAAGCTCCACAGCTTTTGCTCCTTCCTGCCTCTCGTGGCAGAATCGCCGCAGTCGACTCGGGTCTTGAACGTTGCGAGCTCTGTACTGTGTTTCCTAAGTAAGCTCAGTTGTGGCTTTAGATGGCAATCAATGCTACCATCAACCATTTGCTTTTCACTTTTATTTTTCAAACGAGCCGAGGAAAAACCATCTCGTGTTTTGCTCCTTTTTTGTGTTTGTCTGCGGTTCTTTTTTCTACTCTTCTTCCGCTACCGCTGTGCATAGCTACGACGTCGGGGCAGTTGCCGTTACCGCTGCGTACGACAGTTTTATCACCTTCGAATCTCGCTCGAACGTCTGCCCTCCCTCTTTTCGTTCTTTTTCTTCCCCAAGCTCGCTATTCCACCCGTGTACGTACAAAATAACGTTGCAGAAACAACAATTCCTCCAATGAAAAACCCTCGCGTTAAAAGGAGAAAAAATAAGATTTCTCAATATTCGTGAAAATATAGCAAGCCTGTATATTATGCAGGCTCGAAAGAACAAAATTTGCTTCATTGTGTAGGGCTACGTCGCAATATATACGCAAAGAAACGAGCAGCGTCTTGTGTTTTGTTTTTATGTCGCCCCGAGAGGGGAAAAGACACGAAAATGTATTCCAACGTTTTTCTTTCGCTAGTAAGCATACACGTCGTCCAAAGCACCGTAAAATGCAATCGAAAGGGATAAAGAGTCTACAGCTGACTTACTTATTTATAACTCCACGTATTATTCTGTAAATTGTTGTAGACAGAAATGAGAAAGTAGATGACCATTAAATAAGAGATTATTTCTTCTATTCCTCTTTCTGCTTCAACCATGTTTGAAAAAAGTGACGATTTTCCATGAGCTCTTAATGACTATGCTCCATATATGAACTTACCGCTATTTTCATACATGTATTCTGTCCGAATCCCAGTAGTATCCGTTGGATTTTTATTTTTTGGCAAAGCAATGTGGGTGGAAAGTTTCTCTCTCGCTTATCTTTTTGCGATCTTTCTCTCAAATGCCATTCGATCTCGCGCAGAGAAGACAATTTCGTTCTTCGTACGTATAAGCGTATACAGGGAGGAAGATTTGACATCACCGAGATGCTTCAAAAATCGATAGAAAGAAAGAAAGTAATACGGCAGAATAATTCAAAGATTGTTTCGATAGATTTTTCCTTAAGTTAAAGTTGATCGTATACATCATCAAGCGAACATTTCACGTCACATAAAAAACCAGTCTTTTTTCTTGCAAAATTATACCTTCATACATCAGATAAGCGAAACTGTAAGATTGCAATACATCGAGTAAAGTATAATCTTTTGTTTGCCATTTGATTGATTTGACTATTATCTAGTTTTCGATGCGCGAAATAATTCAACTATCTGATTTTTTTATTATTTTCTATTTAAATTTGACTAAATTTCTACGCATTTTTACGCGTGTATGTATTTCATAAGAATTCCGTGCGCTATGTAATAGACGCTTTTCCATGGACTATTTTGTCGCAGCCTCGCATGGCGAGTAGAGAAACGTCAAGAACATCGGACCTGAAATTCGCTTATATGTGTACACATATATGCGTATAAAATATATATAGGCCAACGTAGCGAGCAACAGTTTCCTACAGCTAAGACTTGTCGTCGTCGTCGTCGGGCGGCCGAGGGGCAAGGAGGGAATCCTTATTTACGAGGCCGACGCTGAGTTGGCGAATCAGAGCTTCTGCGTGTGTATAGCTTTTATTACGCTGTACGCCACCGAGCGCAGCGTGAGGGTTTATACTCGGTTTAGAAATTCTCCATCTCTCTTTTCCTAACATCTGCATTACTGAAGCTATTTTTTGCTAAAATATTTGTCAAACTGCAGATTTACATTCGAAAAGGTAAAAAAAAAAAATTTCTGTTAAAAAAGAGAGCAAACAATGTGGAAAAAATTTGAAAAATTTCTGATTACAGTCTGCTTATCTGATCGGAATAGCTAAGTTCTGCTCGTATTCGTAGCTGAAATTATGTAGCGAAACACGAAAGACAAACACGCCTCGAAATGTAACGAGTCAAATTTCTTTTGCGAAGCAAAAAGATCGGGAGAAAAAAGGAAAAGCTCGTAAAGAGTTAACGCTCGTGCGCGCAAAAGCTTCGGATGGAAGACAATAGTTGCGAACGTCTTATACGAGCCCTTCTCATACCATCCCTCGGATCTGCACAGGAAGCGAAAATTATTTTTTGCTCCTTGTCGAGCTGTGTAAAAAGTTCTACGTATATAAGCCTGCTGTCGTTAGCTCTATAAGCGATAGACTTTCGCAGAATCAGGTGCAGTGCTGGGAAAGGTAAAATTTCCAAATCATAAATAAATGCCCAAGCGTCGTAGATAATATTGAACTTTATACGAGCGATATATACATGGCGCAAAGTTTCATACGCTATATCACAGCCACGTAATTCTCATGTACCTATCGCGTACTTCTCTCCTGGCTCCTCTCTGCTGCTCGAGCCCCAGCGATGTTACCTACGCCACGCCACGCCTCGATTTATTGTTTTAAAGTACTTTTTTTTTAATGCTAGACTTGAGCCGTGCGAGGCCCGAGTACCCTACATATTTATGAATCTCAATGGCCTTTTAAAAGCCGAGAGTGTACTTTTATGTCCATTTTAATGCTTTCTCAGTTCTTCCCTTCAGTTCTACGCGTACGAGAGTACATGCATCGATATCTTTCGAGGATTCCATCTATACCTATCGACAGTCACTTTCTTTATGCCTTATTTTTCTACCGTCCTATCGAATGACCAAGTCTAATGACAAATAAATTATTTACTTCAGCTCAAGGATGTTTTTCGACTTTATTGAATAAAAGGCAGAGCAGGTGTGCTCATCAGTAACATCGTGATCACTCTTTTTTTCAAAAGCTTAAAATGATCCGATGACTTAGCCTGCGATTAAAATATATATCCATTCGGTATAGCACACGAGTGTTCGCTAATTTGCAGTAGTGCGTAGTTACTTGGCAGTGGGATCAGTTATAAATTTAAGCTTCTAGCTCAAAACGTGCTCTAGTGATATATTGATTTATTACACTTTCATAATTTTAAGCAAACTGAGCTTGTGGCACTTGCAGCCGCAAAAAGGACGAAATCATCTTTGAACGTTTCGGCTTGTGATCGGATCTCGAAGGCGTGTTCCCCTTCTTGTCGAAGGTATATTGAACGCGTGTTTACTTATTGTTGCCTTTTCATTTTTTACGCGCACTTCCTAAATTCTCCATCGCCAGGCGTTCTCGCAGCTTTTCTTCTAACCCAAAGCTTTTAGATTCGTATCGGACTAAGCACGAATGCTAACAATGTTGTACGCGTGAGTGCGTTTTTTTTTCAATTAGCTTTATGGCGTTGAGGTGAAGTACGATAGCGACGCTACAGAGTCCACAGAAAAGCTCCATTAAGTTATGACTACATAAAGAACTTTGCACCGTTTCGACTGACTAATCGTCTATTTTAGCGGCCCGTTTTGTATTGAACGCAAAACAATATTCAGAGAAGCCATTTGAATCAACTTAAAATTGGTTGATAATGTAGATTGTATGAGTACCAGTATTTGAGACTTGTTTATAGATGATAAAATATTTTATGCTGTGAGACTCCGAATATTAATAAACTCTGGATGACGCCTACAAAAAAATTGGGCCCAAGAGATTTTACCCAAGAAAAAAGCTGTTTTTGAAGCATTGAAATGAATAAAAATAATAAAAGACCATTTTTTCTTTTTAATTCTTATAAAAATTGTTGTTTCTGATGTGACTCGTGACCCAAAATTATAATAGAATTTGTAAGAACGTCTATCAAAGATCCTTTTCAGAGGTCTGAAGTTGGTCTTCATTGTCTTAATTCAAAAAGTAATGCCCCAAAAGGCCTAAACAATATGGCTCTAACATTTTGGGAATTTGCTATTGTAAAATTCAAAATTTAATACAATTTAATTCGCATATCTATCATCGGAAAATTCACAGAGCTTGCTTACGAATTTCCGTAATGGTCTGTCAAGTCTAAAAACGCAAGTCAAAAATCTGTACTTATTAAATATATTTTGCTTATTCAAATTAAAATTTACTGGATAAAATAAAAGTGTACGCAACTGCTAAAATATTTCGAAAAACAATTTCACTCCAGAGTAAAACTGATAAAACAGAAATTTTAAATATAATTATAGTAAGAAGCAATTGTCTTTTTGAAAAAAGAAGAGATAACTCAACTTGCACTTAATACATCATTGTTCGTATACATGAGATATATAATAAAGTTCAATGCCAAAGAGAAAAAAAGAACATAAATCATAGTGATTGGCCCACATAATAAGCACAAAACCTCTTTTTATTATTCCTTGTTCGCACCTAAGTAATAGAATAGTACAGCTTGAAAATCATATTACTGCTCTTGCACAAATTTTTAAAAATATATTATTATTTGACTGTGGAAAACGGGATCATTACTGATTCATCATATATCACATTTTTTGGGCTCAAACACTTTGTCTGAACTCTTAATGCTTTTTCTTAGCTGATTCGAAAGTGGCAAACAAAAACCATAATTTTTACACTGAATTAGATCAAATCCAACCAATCAATAATAATTCTACAATCACCCCTTATCACAGCTTACTTTTAATTATCATCGTATTATGCTCATTCATCTGAAAAAATCACTTCATGAGTAAGTGTCGCGAAGCAACTGAACACCCAGCAACGGCCAAGCACGTTGAAGCACATTGAATGGGAAAAAGGCAACGAATGACCTGAAAAGTTAATTTGATAGGAATCTTTGTCGGACACTCGACCGAGATGAAAATCTAACGATTCGTTTGTAAAATAAAAAACAAACAGTCTGATGGATTAATCCGGGTGAAAAAGTATAGAGAAACTCAGCTGGACGGCTGGATATCTCGTCAATCCTCGTGACGTCAGACATGGAACCAGCAAAAAGTGTACTACTAGCCAATTCAATCTCGCCTGTCAAATTTCAAAAAATTTCCTTCGCGTTACTTCTGCTAATTTTTGCGAAGGCTATGAAACGCTCTCGATTGAAAACATTCACTTTCAATCGTAAGCAAACCTTATTTGTCAATAAAAACTCGCTTTCCCGATATAAAATGTTTGTCAAATGTAAACTTTTCCGTGCTTGCCAAACTCGACCACACGACCATACTTTTCTTCATTATTATAGAGATTAATATTTTCTTCCAATCGACAATTCCTGTAGAACCGAAAAGTAATGTGTGAACTTATCGTGGTTTTTTATTTCGATGAAAATGTTCAAGTCAACATTGTCATTATTTCCAATGACATGTATTACACACCCACTGCTCGGTTATCATGCAGTAACTTAAGGGGTCAATACATCTATTAATGTTTTTGAGAATGAAAATGGCCTCATGTAACGAAAAATTTAATTTTCTTAATAATAACTGAGGCTGTATCTTTTTTGGACAGATTCTTCCAAAAATGACTTATGGTATATGGTTTTCTGCACTACTGAAATTTCACCTTTTAGAATATGCCATTAAATTATAATCAAATACAAGAATGAATCCATATTTTATTCAGTTAATGCGAGTCAGGTCTCATAACAATGTGCCATGGGGAGGAAAAAACACAAATTGTGCTCATCGTATTTGAATGAAAAACTGAAATAATTTGGCACATTTGTTTGAGACATGGTAAAATATGTCATCCATCTATGATTTTAAGTCGTTCATGAAAATTCCGAGGCTCTATATCTGTTTTTACTGTTGAAATATATAATTTACGACAAATATATGTACTTATGTAGACTTTTTATGCCCGAGAATCGATAAAAGTTTTATGGTTTCGAAAGATCTCTTTCAGTTTTTGCGATGATGTACGTATACACATGAATTGGTAAAAGATATTACCGAATTTTATGGCTTTATGATAATTGAAGCGGTCTCATTTATAATAGTAAACAAAAATATCACAAACTTTACCTCTTTTTTAAGGATCTGAAAAATTTCCCATTTCAAGTTGAATACTATTTACTTGCTAGTTTAGCAGTCGAAAAGATATCCTCAAACTCCTCCGATTGTTTTTTTTTGTTCAGAAGATTATGAGTCATTTCAAAATATTTTTAATTCAGTTGGTTTTATGATTCAAAAAAATAATATTAATACTATATAGAGTGTTAAAAATATGCAAGTTTTTTGACAAAACTTAAATGATCACAGAAAATTTACAAGCAATATTGGATATTGTATTGTCTTTCTTTATACTTGTTACAGAGATTTGACTAGCAATAACCTGACCTTCATTCCACCTAAGGCTTTTGTGGATTATCCGAACCTTCATACTCTGTAAGTATCAATATTTTTCTCATTATGATACAGGTCCCTTCCAGAATCGCATAAAAGACTTGACTCGCGCGTAAAAATTTCTCGTGCGTACATTAGAATTAGCATTAACTTGACATAATTCAATATCTGATTTGATTTATAGTTCTTGTTAAACTTCGATATGAAAAAGTGTATGAATTTTAAGTTGTTATTGATTCGCGTAAATCAACAGCAGCCTCTAAAATAACTCGGAGATAAAATATGAAAATATTTCAACTTATATCATTAAAATAATAATTAACGATTATAGTTTTACACATATTTTTTTATGCTCCACAGATTATTGAAACAAAATCGTTTGCGTCAAATCGATGCTAAGGCTTTTGAGAATCTTACGGGACTCTTAGTTTTGTGAGGACAAATTTAATTTCTAGAAATAAAATAAAGCTTCATATTTATACAGCTTATTCAAATTTATTTCATATTTTTATTTCAGAGAACTAAATGATAATGAATTAGAAAATTTTTTATTTCCTTCGGAACAACAAATAGAGGAATTGTAAGTTGTTATTTTTTATCAGTGTTTACATTTCATAAGTTAGTACAATCTTGTTCTGCAAGGATTAAATTATCTGGACCCAATGTGTGGAAATTTCAAAAGTAAATCTAGTAAATACATTTAAATTTTTTACTCCAGATCTTTATCAAACAACAGAATCTATAAACTTGAGGCTTCAAGTTTCCGAGATGCAAAACATCTGTTGTCGTTAGATCTTCGAGCAAATCCAATTAAAAAAATAGATGAGCAAGCTTTTCAGCATCTACATCGATTGAAAAAATTGTACGTCTATTTTTATAATAGTATTTTTCTTAAGCTGAGCATACTAAAGTCAAAAGAGTAAAATTTTCAACATAAAAGAGTAAACTGCGTTTTTACAATTTTTTCAAAGGGTAATTAGAGCCACTTCACATTCTTTAATTTTGTTTTGTTTCGTGACTCGCTAACGGCTCCTCTTCACTAAATTAAGTAACTTTTAAGATAATCCTTTTTCGCTCAGGTACAGCAAACTTAATTGACGGGTGGATTACAATTCATATGTACATTTTACACATGCAATTGGTGTAACTGTATATTTTATACATTTTTTGTTTATTTTTTTACTATTCAATGACTGACAACAGACAAATTTTGACCAAATCCTAAAAACTCCAAGTAATCTCGAGTACGAGGCCATATGGGGTTGTAACCTCGTTCCCAAATAAAATAAATCAAATAATGAAGTAACCCGAGTAACCAAATTGATCTAGTTTGTGGAGTTTTTAATAATTAAACTTGTAATTCCAAGTAATCGAATCGACCAACTTTGTGCAATGTTTCTTGGAATTATCTCCTTCCGAATTCCTAACGATCGTGGCTCTCTCATGATTTTACTCACTTTACACAACTTTTTCTTCTTTTTGCTTCAGATGTAATTGCAATGAACCAAAGTACTCCTTTATTCTTTTGGGTTTAGCGTGAGAGCTTTTAATTGAAATGATAATGTTTTAGTGTTTATTTTTATCTAATGCCTAGAGTCATTGAGATTTGTGATAATTAATAAATCAAAAAATGGTTTTCTCCAGAACTTTGTCAAACACAAAAGTATTAGATAAATTTCCCGACATTAAATCTTGCCGCTCACTTGAGATATTGCAAATTGATCGAGCTTCCCTTACTCATGTGCCCGATGATCTCTGCCTGAATTCGCCTAAATTAAGGAGTTTGTAAGTATATTTGCTTAAAAGATCTATTTTAACTACATAAATCGTTAAACTTTTATCAACAATTTTCAGAGATCTCAAGTCTAATTTACTGATTACAATGCCAAATCTAAAAAATTGTCATGAACTGAGGGTCTTGTACGTATGCGTAACGAATGAAGCATGACATAACAATTATTTTCACAATTCGAAAATTTATGTCCATATAGTCAACTTTCAGAAATGAAAGGATGTACTAGTCTTAGTTTCTTAAAACATATTTTACTGATTTTCAGAGATTTAGCATACAATAGTATATTAACACTGGATGGCCGTCCATTCGAAAACTTGAACATGCTTTACGACCTTCTTATACCAAATAACAACATAAAAATCATTTCAAATGAAGCATTCACTGGACTAACGCAACTACAAGTTCTGTAAGTTTGTCATCAACTCTTCTTTCAAGAACGTATGAATTGAAAAATTTTCATTTTCGTGGACAACAGAAATCTACAAAACAATCAAATCGAGTTCATTCATCCGGAGGCTTTCATCCACACTACGAAACTCGAAGATTTGTAAGTCGGATAAAAGTACGAAAACAAAAGTCCAAACTCGTAAATGGTTTCTTGTCGTTTGATTTACAGAAACTTGGGTAACAACGTATTTCCTTCCCTACCGGTCAAAGGTCTCTCGCACTTGCTTCACCTCAAGACCTTCAATAATCCAGTTCTAAGGGAATTCCCAGCGCCCAGTGAATTTCCAAGAATCAGAACAATGATATTGTCTTACGCTTATCATTGCTGTTACTTTGCCAATCTGCCAGCGAGCTCAAAATCTAGTGACTCTTCCGCCGAGGCCACCGAAAGGTCGCAATTGTTGCATGAGTCAGTGCTTTTTCCCTCGGACGACGAGTTTGATCTGAGCTTATGGAATTCGAATCTCACAGATATTTGGCCCCAATTGAGTAAGCCAAGTCATAGACATTTTTCCAGCTCTAAATAATTTGGAATAGTTTAAATTATTTTTATTCATACTTCAGATAACTTGAGCGATAAATTCGGCTCGAAAATCAACGAGCTTTGGGACAACTTCGGTTCGGATTTCACGTATCCAGGTCACTTACCTGCCTATCTCGAGGAGTACTTTGAAGACGAAAACAGCCAGACGACAAAATCCGCTCAGTTAGACCCGCAGAACGTAAAATGTCTGCCGCTTCCAGGTGAGTATTCGACGATCGAGCAAAAACTCACTTAAGCGTTACATAATTAATCAACTAAAGGTCCCTTCTCACCGTGCCGAGATCTATTCGATTGGTGGACACTTCGTTGCGGCGTGTGGATCGTCTTCTTGCTAGCCCTTCTGGGCAACGGTCTGGTCGTCTTGGTCCTCGTATTTTCGCGCAGCAAATTGGACGTACCGAGATTTCTCGTCTGCAACCTCGCTGCAGCGGATTTCTTCATGGGCCTCTACTTAGGTGCGCTTGGCAGCAGCTTATTTTTATAGAGTGGAGAGGCTATCTGAGTTCTGGATCAATTGAGGCGAAGACCACCCCCGTCTAACAACAGGGATACTTTCTACCCTAAACATTATCGTTATTGCTACGAATACATTTTTCATATTTTTTGTGGTGTAAAGGTTTTATGTAAACTCAGAACTATCTGCTATTCATTGATTCTTTTTTTATTATTTTTTCGAATGGTTCATAAAAACCATTTTGTTCTTCGACAACATTCCTTTTGACGAGAAAAATTGAGGGACTGTACATTTTAAACCTAAAATAAGGCGGAAACATTTTGGTCTGTCAAATCAAGCAGCTTCCTTGAAATTATTAATATTATTTTTAAACCTGCGAAAGTCCAAAAAATCTGGAAAAATCAAGGTTTTGTATATTGGAATTTTTTCAGATTTTTTGAGCTATTATTACACTCGGAATCGGTGTCGGTAGAGAACTATCTACTGGCTTTTGCACTCATAGAGACTCTTTAAAAAGCCGTGGCACAAGACTATTTAAAAATATTAATTGAAAGTGACGGCAGTTAGGTCCTAGTAATTACATACTATTGCAAAAATAACGATTAACAATAATTTTTATGAACAAGCCCAACTGCTATAAACAATGATATTTAGATTGGAAAGTAGGCCTTATGTACCAGACAGGGGTGGTTTGCGGCTCTAGTCCAGAATCAGAAGCCTATGTCACTACTTGTTTATGGACCGGCCTAATTGAAATTCGCTTCGCAGCTTTCTTGGCCGTGGTGGACGTTGCAACGCTGGGCAGCTTCCGCAAACACGGCATCCGATGGCAGATGTCTCGCAGCTGCCAGCTGGCTGGATTCCTGGGGGTGCTCAGCTCGGAGCTCAGCGTGTACACCTTGGCCGTGATCACTCTCGAGCGCAACTACGCCATCACCCACGCGATGCGTCTGAACAAGCGACTGACTCTGCGACGCGCCACTTGGATCATGAGCATCGGCTGGCTCTTCGCCATATCGATGGCTTCGATGCCCCTCCTCGGCATCTCGGATTATCGCAAGTTCGCCATTTGCCTGCCCTTCGAGACGGAGGACCCGCTTTCTCTGGCCTACGTTGTCTTTCTCATGCTCGTGAACGGGCTCGCCTTCTTCATTCTCATCGGCTGCTACCTGAGAATGTACTACGCCATCAGAGGCTCCCAAGCTTGGAACTCCAACGACACGAGGATAGCCAAGCGAATGGCCCTTCTCGTCTTTACCGACTTTCTCTGCTGGTCGCCGATCGCTTTTTTCTCCCTCACGGCGGTCTTCGGATTGCGCCTGGTCAGTCTGGAGGAGGCCAAAATTTTCGCCGTCTTCGTGCTGCCCCTGAACTCTTGTTGCAATCCCTTCCTCTACGCAATTCTCACGAAGCAATTCAAAAAGGACTGCGTACAGATTTTCAAGTCGATCGAGGAGTCGCGAATCAACAAAACGATCGGCAAGTGCCGCCACAACAGCTCCAACTTTAGCAACAAGCTCACTCCGGCCAATACAAACAGTCATTTGGCTGGAGGCTCAGGTTCCAGAGCTTTTCAACCACAGCAAAGTACCGTTTATCATCGAGTCAGCTGTCGTTGCGCTGTTCCAACTGCCGCGTTGACCAAGGACAATCCACTGACTCACGTAGACGATTCCGTTGACGCCGAAGAAAGGCGCTTGGCCTGTTGGTTGCGAGGAAAGCTCAACTGGTCGTGTTTCGGAAATCGGAGCTCGCGTCGTCAAAGACATGTCGATGATAATTCGCCCGCAAACGAAATGACATTTGGTGCCTCGGCAAACGCGAGAATCGACCGTAAAATAGCCTCTTCCCTGTCGTTCAGCGAAAATTACTCTTCGTCTCGATCAGATTCATTGAAAAATCAACAATGTAGCTCGTCCGTTCAAATGAGGTAAGTTTATTCGGATATTTATTGATTTGAGCGATTCAAATAAAACATGTGATCAATTGGAATAATAAAACAAAAGTATTTACGTAGCTTTTTCGAAATGTATTTGCAAGATTTTTCCCAAAAAGATACAAAAAATTGTTAATTTATTTTATTCTTTATTCTTTCATTTGATGGAACTAAAAAGGTCAATGTTACATACAGTCAAAATTGTATGAAAGAATTGAATTATGAATGAAAAATCGAAGGACGTGATAAATCGGATAAAGTATCATTGTAATGGAGGTGACAGAAATATTATTTTCAGAATTCTCGATGGCCAGCGTCGGAGCTCGTCGTGGCTAAGCAGCCGCAAGGCCTCGTCGGATTCGAATCTGAGCTCTTCTCGCAACGATTCGTCGGGATCGGGCACAACGGCGAGCACGAGCACGTGGCACACTCGATCGAGCGCCGCTTCTCACGAGTCCGCTTGCCGATCCAAGACTCCTAGACTGCAACGCCAGCACGCCGTTCAAGAGCCCGACTCTCCTGCTTCTCCTGCGAGGGCGGCTCTAATGGTGCGCCCCCTGGCTACCATACCCTCGGCCGCCGAGGTCAGCGAGCTGTGCGACGAAGAGACCAATGTTGTCCCACCCGACGTGGTTGATGTTGGCTCGGATCGGCTCGGAGACGAAGCTGACGCCAGCCTCAAGAATAAGTCCCTCGGCGGTTATTAAAAACCTTCCCTCACATGCATATCGACTTCCAGAGCTCCAGGTTCGGCTGTACAATCATAAAATTAATTATCCAGCTTCGGAGTCGCTTATTTTTGACATCCATGAAAAGCCTCTCGATTGACAATTTTTTATCATAATTTTATTCCTTTTAAATTTGATGTATTATATGAATTGTTTCATTCTCAAATTAAATAGTAAACATGTAAAAATTTCAATAACCCTCTAGTGTTCTCGAAGAAAAGTAAAATAAATAAAATTACAAATCGGAAATATTTATTCTGATCGAATAAACAGATTTAAGAACTTTTTTTACTGTTAAAACTCTCTTGTGATTATTTTTCTATAAAATCTCACAAAAAATTTTACTAAGTTCGGAAGCTAAAACGTTTTACTCAAACTAAAGCCTAATATGAAAAATTCTTGCACCCTAATGTTCACTACATTTCAGCGTCTATGTATATCTCTCGTCATGATCATATATTAAATCATAATTATTTGAAGAATTCATGAAATATATCATCGCGAATGAATGTAAAAGTGTAATATACCCCGAGCCGTAATTCTTATGAGTACTTACGTGTGAATTCCTCATAGAACTTTGTGCTTTTAAGACATGGGCAAAGGAACGATAAAACCTGAAACAAGGTGAATAATGTTCAAATGACGATAGACATCGAGCGTTTTTGCATGATATGTACGATAAAGAGTAACAACTTTGAAAAAGAACGAATAAACACTCATTATCCAAACTTCAGCCTTTGAATCAATGTTCTCAGTTGCCAGCTGTGCAATAGGCTCGAGCAATTCTATCATTTCCTTGGTCAATTCACGCTCGTCGTACAAACTGGAACTGTATATAATTTCAAATTTGAATATATTCTTTGCGTAACTGTGTGTACGCAGTTTGCACTGCTGTTTGTTTTTGTAATTACCCTGTGTGAGCGATTCTGTAAGAGCTGCGCATTAGCCTCCTCGACATGAGATGTACCACGAGTAAATATGCCAGGCTAGCTCCCAATTGCGAGATGATCGTAGCGCAACCGAACACTTCGTATCGGTTATCCGGGTGTAAACAGCAGAAAATTAATATTGAAGCAAGAGTTTTCACGATGAACATACTTAACACGTTGTACAACTGGTTGAAAAAATTTCTAAGTTCTTTCAAGGTACTGTGTGACACAAAATGTTATTTAATTATTATTCAGATTGAACTATAATTATTGCTCAACGAATGATCACCTCATTATTTTTTGGTGATGCTCTTTGATGCTCTTCAATTCTTCGGTAAATGATTGGCCCGCGTCATCTGTTCCGTAATAGTAACGTTCTTTCACACGGTTCAATCGTTGACTGCAGTATACAATATTTTATAAAAATTATAAAAGTGCCATTTTATATTGATGTGAGAAACAATCAACTCTTACGTTATGGTATTGAATAGCCCAATTAAAAATGATGAATACGCATTGTAGTTTGTCCAAAATAAGGATAGTAAAATTAACGATGCATTAAATAAAATGATGGACTGAAATAACATCAAGTTATATCTATCAGAAACATGTGGAAGGTACTTCTTTAGCCAATTGTATTCGTCGATTTCGGATGCTAAGGGTTTCGACTGAAAGATCCACAAACTTGAAATTATACCAAATACAAATAAAAGGGCTGCAATGATAAAATATCCCATTTTAAGTAGTACTCAACATTTCTATATTGGATCAAATCAATATTATAAGATAAAGTACAATTGCAAAACTTTGTAAAGTTATATCCCCATGACATTGGTACTCGCATTCTAAGGCTTAAATCTTCATTTGGATAATTGTGCATGACCAGAAGATGCAATTGAATAACTTGAAACATTTTTATTGACTACGTAAAAATATTTTGTATTAATTAAAAAATATCGTGAAATCTACGAAAAAGTTTTTATTTTATGTTACTAGTTACCTTACGTTTCCAAATGTAAACCAATGACACACACGTGGCTACACAATAATAATAATACAAACTTATTAGAGCTTCGAGAGAGTATGTATCGAATTCGAGGAATGATACAGTCACATAAGATGCGTATGAATGCGTGAATATGTTTACAAACTGAAAAAAAAACAAAATAAAGCAATCAACTTAAATCGTACAAGTTCAATAATTAATATTTACCTTTGTTAGAACTACAACACTAACGATGATTCGGAGTAAACTCATAGATTTATTTTTCAGAAGAGAAAATTCAAAAAATACAACTGAGTTCAAATAGTTAATTAATTTTCTAAAGTGCTCTACTTTACAATCAAAGGGATTGCATTGGCTCCAGTTGAACGTCTCAAAAAACTGTTCTTTTGTTTCAGCAATGAATTTTGTTTGAAAGAGCTCCATTTTGAGTAAGCAGAATTATAGCCTTATGAGTTATAAATTAAAATTGTTATTCAATAGACATGATATCCTCAATAGTTAAACTGAAATGAACGTTTCGTCGGTCGAAAGACAAATCAGACCCTCTCCAATGAGATTTTGGGGAAAATGTTTTCTCAAATCATCGATAGAGGAACTTTAATTTGTGTGAATGTGAAAGGAATCCGTCCATCTCCCAGCTACTATTATTTAATGTTTAATAACGCTTATAAACAGTTGAATAATCCTATGTATATGAAAAATTATGTTTTAAAAATGATGGCTAATTAAATATATGATTATAAATATTCGATTAATTATATTAATACTGAAATAAAAATACATACTTACTTAAATATTAATTTTTAGAATTTTATAAACGGTATCAAGAATTTTTATTTTTAATCTAGCTTTGGTGCACCTTTCTTAATGGGAATGATTCTTACAAACATCTGAAAAACTTCATGTATTGATTCTAAAAAAATCAATGATGTTCAGAAAATTAATATATTGAATTGATGCAGTATTTTTAATAATTTTTCATGATGTTCGGTATTATATTTCAATGATCATTTTGATACGTTGTAACAGTTGAAAAAAAATCGTCGTTGCAAATGAATCAGCAATAATTCAATTAGCCATATTGTTACCTTATTGGATAAAAAATTTATTTTCCGCTTGTTTACATTTATTTATTTGCATATTAAGAGGAGTGAGGTAAAAAAATTTGACGTAGTTGTATTATAATCGTTTATTGCTTTTGGAAAAATTACTATAAATTTTTTCAGACTGTTCAGATCTTTTTACATTCAATGTAAATTATATTATACCAATGATGGGGAAGACGCGCATTTTCTAAAAACTAACAATAGTCTTGTAACATTAACGTAACTATATATTTTTATTATGGCGATTGATCTAATCTGTAGTTAATGATTTACAGTTTTTTCACGATAGCCAAAAATAGTCAATAATCTTAAAGTGACCTATAATATATAACGTATAATTTGCATAACAGATAAGTACAATTCTTAAACTATTAACCGTTACATGATGCACTGAGCCACAAATTACAACATGCTTGTAATTAAATCTATAATTTATTTATGTATTAATAGTGAGAACAATTATAATAATACTTTTGGATTCACGATATCAATATTATGCTTATGATCTCTCATAATTAATATATTTTATTACATAAATAAGTGTGTATGTTCGAATAAATAATTATAGTATTTTTCATTCGTTTCGTTGCGCGTTCGTTAACAATCATCGGATATAAAGGAATCTTAGCAATATTCAGTTATCTTTATTACTAATTCAGTTTTATTTTTTTACTCACAAAAGTAACTTACTTTAGCGTAATATTAAACAAATTAAGCTTTATAAGACTTTTAAACGCACGTATATTCGCTTGGGTTACTGATGCAAGTACAGAAGTATGACGAAAAAAACCTTCATATTTATGATCGAAACTACTAAACAACGTATGTACATTTTATTTCATTTTTCCTTCATAGCTTTAATGTGTAAGTGAATGTGTATAAGTGTCAATTTGGCTAAGCATATATTATTGCCAGTGCAATTGCGACGTTTTATTTAAACGTTCGGGCATAATAAGAAATCTATATACTTTTATTTTTTGGCAGCTGTGCCTGGCGATACTCTCCTTGTATTTTATATCTATATGTGATGAGAGACACAATGTACAAGTACAGAATACTTGCTCTGTTATGATTTAATTATAATAACCTACTGCAATTCTTTAAATCAGTTGCAGTACCCTACAATGCAACAATATAGTCGAAAATTTGATTTAATGTGCGATCAAATTTTCTTGTAATGTAATAATTTTTGAATAATGACTTTTTATCATTTTTAAGCCTTTTTTCATTCAATTGTGATGGACTTGAATTATATTAGTATTATTTCTTCATTCACAAAAGTACAAAAATCGTAGTCACATCCAATATAACTTTATAAAATGTAAAATCGATCATATTCGTTGACGAATTTGTAAAAAATTTTAATCGTTATAGTTGTGCGGCTTGTGAGATGCCATTAATAGAATTATACACAATTAAAATTTGTATGATTAAAGTTAATTTGGTTTTTGGTATAAAAATTTCGGTTATAATGCTGAATGTAAAACTACTATTTATTGTAAAAGTAAAACAAAATCGGAAAGAAATTAAATACGAGAAAAAAGTTAAATAAAGCTAAGTATTTTTCCAAGCTACATATAATGCACTTTCAACGGTGCACGAACCTGTGGTAACAATTGTAAAAAATTTGACAAAAATATTTCCATCGGATTTTGTTTTACTTATGCGTTTAAAGTATCTGATCACATTTTCAGTTAAGTATAAGTTATTTTTCAAGTACTTTACACATGTATATAAATGAATGTGTTTTTTATTTACATTTATAATAGTAGTTTTTTTATTGTAGTTGGTGATAAATAAAAATTAATTATTTTAAGTTTTATTTCTACATTAAAATATTTTTAAAATTTCGCATTTGAAACGTCTAATCTAAGTTTAGACAGAAAAAATATTGTCTCGATGTTTTTAATAAGGTATGTTTATATATTTTTTACCAAAAAATCACCAGCAAAATAAAAAACCCCGTGGTTATAATATTTTTCTTATGACTTTTTTTAGGAATGATCGTTAGTTTAGTTCTCGACGATTTGAACGAAATTATCATATTCTGGTTCGGGAGAGCTCATTTTTCTAGAATGGCACTTAAACCGAAGACGTATGAACAAAGAAATTCTCATCGTCGAAGTTAATAAAAAAATGTTCAAAACTTGAAACTTGGAGGACTTTTACATTTTTGGGTGCGACGAATAGATAAATAATTTATTATCGGAGCTTTTAATCATCGTGATCAAAGTCTCAATTGGTCGCTTTGTAAGTACTAACGCACATCACGCCCACGAAGAAAATCATCGTCAAAAACAATGGAAAAGAAAACATGATAACAATGATATACAGACAACATGGTAACATTTATAAATATATGTATAAGACGTAAAAATTATCGGGAAATTGACTGAAGTGGACTAAGGTCTAATAATACGTATGAAAATCTGTGAAAAAAGTCGCAGAATCACATCACGTAGTAGCAGCAGCAACAGTGGCGACGGCGGCACCACCGGCAGGGTTGGTAGCAGCTTGCGGCACAGCAGCAAAGTTGCTTTTCTCATTTATCTTAGGTCAAGAGTAGGTCGAAGTTCTCTGAATAATAATACGTTTGATGAAAGCGGTCTGCCTGCGACCGAAACTAAGCCAGCATCAGGAGTCCGTCTTGTTGGCTTTGTTGCTCTTCTTGCCGAACCCTGGGAAGATCTTTCTGGATTTTCGCTTTTTCGTGGCCTCGTCGAGTTGAGACGAGGTCGACAGGGGATCGGCAGTCGATCCAGAGTCCGTCGACAAGGTTTCCTCGTCCAACGACACAACGGTCGACAGCTCCCTGAAGGGCTTTTTCAAGCTAGCCAGCCTCGAGCTCATTCTGTTGTCTTGCTGCTGCTGCTGCTGCTGCTTGTGGGCATGATGATGTTGTTCCATCAGTGAATTATCCGAGTGGGACGATTTGTTGATGGCCCGAAATGGCTCCTCGTTGACGCCCGCAGTCATGTTGGCTTCTTGGCTGTAAGACCTGATCATGCTAGTGGAGCGTTCGTCGCCGACCCTAGCGCTGACCGATGCCGAAGGCTGTGGTGGCATAGACTGGGACTGCTGCTGTTCGTTGTCGGTTATCGAGTCGCCGCCGAGGGTGAACTGCACGTTGGTCGACGACTCGGTTGGCGTGTCCTTGCTTCCGGCCTCGCTACCCGATGAGTCCGGCGGGTTCGACGACTCTTTCCAGATGAGATTCTCCGAGAGACCTGCGACATACAGTGCCGTGGCTACTTTTTACATGTAGATCAGCGTTCATGGCCGAACACGAGCCCTTGATTTTACGCTCCGCTACCCCTCGGCAAATTACAACTCTCGGTAATCAAGTGCTCGCTTCGAGGCGTCGTCTAAAATCAGTGTATGTTTTGAGCTTGAGCAGCCAAGCAAAAGCGACGAGTTTTCTCCCTTGAGAATTTCTCGCGCACAACGATGAAATATTAAAGACGAGAAAACCAAGCTTACATAAACATACATCGCGTATACTGGTGTAGGCAAGAAAAGTAATAGCCCAAAATGTAACCCAATATTTAACGAGACCAAGTGTCGCGCTTGCGAGAGAAATTTTGGCAATTATATGAAGGAAACCATTGTGTCAATGCACGCGCTACTATAAATATATACATTCTTATACCAGCACGAATCATTAGACATGATTAAGCGTCGATAAAAATTGTAAAAGCAAAAGCACGTGAAAATCTATGTATTGTCAAGGATCTCTTGATACAACTGAGTCTTTAGATGTGTAGGTATAAAATCAAGTACGCATTTAAAACTCCGACAAAGTTAACTTCGATTTACGCGTATTAGTCTCTTGAGCGATCACTGACATTTTCGTGATCGCGCAAGCTGATTTTTACTCGAAACAAAAAAATAAGATGACTAGTGAGCTTGAAAAATTACGCTTGTATTGTCCTGAGAAAAGCGTAACGTTTCTAGGAAGCAGTTACAATTCATTCTAAAGGTGTAAACACTGCGGTAAATCTTTTTTCCTTTTTCAACTTTTAATCGTGCTAAAGACGAGCCAACGTTTGTCTATTGAATTGTGCTTACTTGTGAATACCCCAATATGACTCACGAGACTTTTACAGAATATTTATTCGAATTACCACTGAGACGGCAAAAATATCGTGATATAACTGTATTGTAAATGAGTATTATAAGCGAAAGAAGAGGCAAACTCAATATAGATCGTTTGAAGCCTTCTGTTGAACTTTTCAAACATGTACAGATAATATTATGAGCGTAAAAAAAACATGCATGAAATTATGTAACTACTGACACATGCACGCAGTAAATTGCAAGTAGCAAAGATAACTGTTAGTATAACATAGACTACGAGAATATCGCAATTTTACAAGCATATGCAAACAACCACCAATATGAAGAATCGCATAATGTTTAACAGCGTACGATTTTTAATTGTGGTCCAATAGACTGGATTGTTGTTATTATTGCATGCACATTACATTATATTATGTATACTCGCAAAACCTAAGATATTTAATATGATGCGTCGTTCGTGCGATAGTGATCGATAATAGCATCGTTACATCAACAAAAATTAATAATAACGCAAGCTTTGTGCATTGTACTAAAAAATAGCATAGAGCAGATACGGAGAATAATTTTGCTCATTTTCCTTTGATGAGTTTGTCGCATGTATACGCATGTGGATCAAATGTAAAAAAAAATCTTTTCACGTTGATTTTTCAATATTTAATTTTTATTGATCAATTATTATTATTTTTTATTGTCATATATAAAATATGAAAATATGTATAATAATTACTTATGTACATATAAAATATAAGTGATAATGAAACACAAATACAGAATTATGTTCGTAATAACTCGCAAGTCAAATTTATAAAAAGTTAATCGGTTCTTTCACTCACAAAAAAGATGGAATAAATATTTATATATTTTTAAATTTACTACAAAAATGATTAGCTAAGATTAAAATTATATTCAAAAAATTGTCTTTACGTAAGGTTATTTTTTACACAAAACGAGTAAATTGTTCCATCACATTTTCCGAAACTTATGAAATTAAATTTTTTAATTATTTACAAGTATTCTCAATTTTAAATCATTGCTCGATCGCTACCTACATTCTATGTAAAAACCATCTATAACTATATACAAAAAAACGGCGGCTTCGAAGTGTAATCATTAAGTCTAATAAACGAGTTCAAAGAGAAAATATAAAATGATGTTCTGGCTTCAGCGAAATTAACCCGTGCCAGCGTGACTTGCTCGAAATGTTATGTGTGCAAGAAATCGGCTTCAGTACAAAATGTCGTTTATAAGTACGATCGGGTATCTTAAATTTGTCTGTTCATTTATACAAGTCGGCGTACAAGTAAAACATATATTCTCTTCAAAAGTAAATAAAATCGTCTATTTGAGTATAAGTACTCAAATCATTTGGCTTTCAAGACCTACGTGTACTTTTTGAGATTCACGAAAAATGACTAAAACGATATCGTATAAATTGCATAGCTATCTTTTAAAGTTGCGCGTTCACAGACATAGAAAAAGTGCACCGGAGTCCGAATTTGTCTTAATCCGTCTTAATCATTCGGAAGCGTTAAATAAAAAATCCGATGTGCTTACGAGTGTATTTGACGCGTCAACTCAGTAACTCTCGAATAATTTAATAATTTATTTAATGTTTTTAAAAATCGAATTAACTTTGGTATATTGTTCTTTTCTTAGTCTCATTAAAATGTGAAAAAAAATTTACGCTCCAGGGCGTAAATATTCTATATACTTATATTAATCATTTAAAAAGATCCTCTTTAAAAATATCTAACATTTTTCTGAGTTTCGTAAATTATGATGCAGTTGTAAGACCTTCTCAATTTTAAAAAACTTATCGTTCGATTGTATCAATAGTTATGATAACAATAAATAAATCTTTTGTTAGAGTCCGTACTAATTATCTTCACTTCTAATTACATATATGTGTGCATAATGAGTCACGAATCATCGTACTCGTTAGACTGAAAGTCACTATTCATAATATTTACAAAATAAGTAATTCGCGTGTAAAATAAGTAATTCGCGCTTCTATAAAATTAAAAAGTTTCTGATAAAAAGAAATTTTAACATTTTCACACAATATTCGTTAAATAACAGGAAACATATGAATAAAAATCTTTCGCGTTTTTAATGTGACATTGACACAAAAAACATCTACTACTAATTGAAAATAATAATCATGGTCTCAATTATTTGGTTAAAATATGTTAATAAATTTAATTGAACTCATTGAATTGATACTAAATTCTGGAAATAGTCAATTCAGTATGAATGAATCTTAATCAATATGTACAGTAACAAAAAGTAAAAACTTAATGCTACTTTTTGATCTATACTTCTTACTTTAAAAAATAACTACGCGAACTTGCTTAAGTAGTACATACTACTTATAACGTTAAAGAAATGAAAAAAATTAACAGAAATACCATTCATTTAGGATGATTGTTAAAGGATCAAAAAATTGTCCTAGTGCATTGGACCAAAAAACCCATTACTAAGTGCAATGAAAGTAATAGCTTCACGAAATAGGAGAAAAATGGAGCAGAGGAATCGACACAATAAGTTGAGCAAAAATCAGTCAATTGGAGTGGTCATGGTTGTCCAATTCCTGCTTACCTGCTGCACCCGAAAGCGAAGGAGAGTACAACGAACTCAAATCATCGTCTAAATCATCTTGGCTATTATGACGACCTAAAATTACAAGAATTGTAATGAGGAACACTTTAAAATGATTTAATTACATGAATGTAATCGTTATACAAAACGAACCTTTCATTCCTACACTTCTACCGTTAGATCCTCCTCTGTAAAGAAGATTTTCCAAGTAATTCATACCATTATTATTAATAATATTGAAACCACACAGTAGCTCAATCTGCTTCCACCGATGTACTCTCTCTTGTAATTCAGCGGTTACCTCGTTTAGCGCTGTTCTGGCCTCAACAATACTTTTATCTACTTCATCAATCGATTTTCCGTGTGTTGAAACAAAAGCTCCAACTAAACTAGATCTTTTCTTTTTCAACTTTTCACACTAAAATATATTTATTGAATTTTTAATCTTTTGTGTTGGAAAAAATTAAATGAGTAAAATGGTACTCACTGCTTCTCTAGCAGTTTGAAGTTGCTTCTCAGCTATCTGTTTTTTTTTCATGTAGCTCTTATTTTCTATTTCATGAGTCAATTGTAACCAGTGCTGAAGTCCATGTGGGGGTGAATACAAACGATCTTCTAACTCCCCTTCAGCCCTTTGCAATTCCATCTTCAATTCCTTCAAAATTAATTAGAAATTCAATGTTTGTAACAATGAAACACATTAAATAACGATAAAAAAACACGTGACTTACTTGAATTTCTGCTTTTAATTGGGAAACTTGAAGATCAGATGTCGATGAATTCATAGCCATGCTTTCGTCTTTTAAACGTTTTTCTAAATTTCGTTTTTCCGTTGTTACACTTTCTTGTTCTAATTTCACAATTTCAAATTCTTTTTGCAATCTTTTCAATTCAAGATCAGCTTTATGAAGGCTCTCCATATCTTTGATCATTCTGTGAAGATCTTTTTGAGAACTTTTTTTTTGCTGAAAAGCAAACCAGCATCCAACAAGTGCTCCAAACAAACAGCTAAGTAAAATAAGATCCTTCAGACTATGTCCAGTATCTGTGCAAAATTATATTTCATAATTATACACTTTTATTAAAATGCAAAGAAACATATTTTTTCACAAAATTACCTTTTGGAGGACCAAAAAGAACAACATCCATTGCCTTCAATGCAATTTTTTGTTTATGAATAGGATCTTTAATCCCCAAAACATTACTTACATAGTAGTTGTTATTAACAGCTAATCTGGTGATGGAAATTATTATAAAAATAAAAATTATCATGACTTTTAAAAAAACATAGAAAAGACAATCGATTGTTAATTTACCTTGGAAGAGTTGCACCAGTAACTCTATGTTGAATAAAAGTAGGAACATATTGAGGAAGTTCTACACTACTTGTAAGCCATTCAGAAGTTTGTTCTATTGTCCAGTTGTGTACCTAAAACAATAATGATATTTTAATTTTCCTAAAACATTTTTAATTAAAATCTTGAAAAAAAATACATGATAATGTAATTACCTCTGATTTAACCCATGCATCCCATAGTTCTCTAACACTAATATGCATGTCATCATTGTGATGGAATACTCGTTGTCTCTTTTCATAACCAGCTTCATACTGAAGTTCTTCTCGAAGAAACTTTTTAACAGAAAAACAGTAATAAAAATGTATTATGTTGTAGACTATAATAATAAAAACTATTATAGATGGAAAATGCTTACATCGTCAGATTCTGAGAGATCTATATTTCCATTAGCATCATCATCCAATTGACTATGAAGTGATTTTATTGCTTCCAGGCCCTGTCTGTCATTAACTGACATTGTAATGCAAGTCAGATCATCATGACAACTATCAGTTCCTAAGATTTAAATGTCTAATTAGTTTCATCAAAGTCAATCATTAGATAATTAGTGTTTTACCTAAAAAAAAGTTTTGACTAATGTTTTATTCTTGTTATATAGTTGTTAATTTTCAAATTAAAGAATAAAAAATATAAAATTATTTAACTTTTGTTCCAATATTTTAGTACATTAGTAATCATCTTTACATTCAATATAAACACTACTTTGATTGTATTGAAATATGACTAAAATTTACTTTTGAGTTACAAATAAATAAAAATATATGGTACATTGTCCAAACAGAAGTAAATAATTCCTCAAATTTTCACAACAAAAAATATAACATAGTATATATTTTGCACTTAGGGAGTGAAAAACTGGAAAGTCTCAGAGCACATGTAATTTATCATCCGAGGCTGATAATTACATACTCTGAGACTTTCCTTTTTTCGCTGCATAGATGCAAATACAATTTTTTGTGAATCTCCCGGCCTAAAGTAACATTTTCATTTTGCTCAGGGGGAGTAAAATGTTACTTTAGGTTGGGGTGGCACAAAAAAAATTATTTCAAATTTGCTATATTTAGTAATGAATGAAAATCAAAAGATAATTTGCAAGCTTGCTCACACTTTAAGTAAACAAATATTATCAATAAATCCTAAGAATAATTTTGATACGAAAAAAACACCTTTTTAATAGTCTTGAAAGTGATATCTTTAGAAAATTAAAAAATAAATAAATGACAAATAACTACAATGTAGAGACAATACGCAACAGACACATATAACAAGCAACAGACAATTTCAAACCTTTTAGCGAAAAGAAGTTTATTATAGAAGAGCTAGATATAAACATAGGTTTACGATGATCTCTACCTTCTTGAACAAGAGTTTGCTTAGCCAGACCATCGCCTCCAAGTTTTGCAGGAGCACTTTGCGCAGAACCAGCAGAAGATGCTGGTACAAAAGATTGTTGTACCGCTATCTTTGCAGCAGCTTTGTGCAATGCAGCTTGCGCTGGTGCAGAGTCCAGTGCACCACCACCAGCCGCACATAACCTTGGGTTGAGAGTGCCCACGGCGAATGCAAGGAAGATGCAGATTCTAAGCACTGACAACGACATTGTTGCAATTGACAATACGGCGGCATTATTATCATAATAATGACGATTGGCTCGCATTATTTTCCTTCTCTGCAACGTAGAGAATGACAGAAAGGGCAAGTGGAAGATGAGTTGTACAAAGTGACGTTAAAAAATCGCTGCTACAAAATCGAGAACGTTAAAAATCATGAGCTCGATATCGACGAATAAAACCCACAAACTGGGTGACCAATAATTGTCCTCGCGCTTCTCGCAAACTAATTGCGAAGTACACTGTATGTACGCGAGTATACGTTTATACTTCCAAGCCAACACTTGCACACTTTTTGATTTGGATGTTTACGCATATATATTAATAAATAATATCGCGTCACGTCTCTTGAATTTGTGAACGCTAGCAACGGTAGCAGCAGCAACAACGGAAACACTAACACACAATTGAAAGATGAGACTCACGAGAGCGCGTTAAAGAGATCGACACAATGGAGCCGTAAACTCGGTGGGCTCTCTTATTTATTTTTGGTGATAAAAAAGCTGCAACAACGACACTCGAGAGCCATTATCCATGGGTTATGGATGATCAGTCTGTGCACATATATATTTGTTATTATAATATATATTTCTACACATGTAGTGGTTGGTGAGTTGTATAAATTGAGTTGTGGCAGTTGAACAGAGACCAATACAGACGACGACGACGACGATGATGACGGCGACGACGTAGCCTTGCAACAGATGTAGTTTAAAAAGCTCGATCAGTCACTTGGCTTATTCACTCAGATATATAGACACTCAGTCAGCTGCACTGACACATGCACAATACACGATACACACCACTACAGACTGTGTCGCTCACACGCTCGCCGCGCGCTCGTATGCACAGTGAACGCGCAGAGCCAGAGCGAGATAGTGACACGGACACAGACGCGCGAACACAAACACACACACACTTACTCACACGCGGGCAGTGGTCACACCGATGCGCCGAGTCGTCAGTCACGCACAGAGTCTGTGATGCGCGTTTGTCTTGGTATTCTCGAAATATTTATTTGTATATATAGAGAGAGAGATATATATATAAAATGAAAAAAGAATGTACAGGAATTGGTCGGAGAAAAACTTGACACTGTACCGATAACGAGGCACTGAAGCACAGAAAATTTGGCCGATGATCACGAGTCGAAGTTGAAGGCTCGAAGCTGCGACGTCGAGCGATTGCCCAAGTTGAGAAGTGACTCCGCTCCGCTGCGAAGAGTGCTAGGACTGCAATAGGTGCTTTTATACATGTGCAAGCAGCTCGTCACGAGCTCGCGAGAAAGCAGCGAAAGGAGAGCCGCCGAAGTTATTTGATTCAGTCTATATGGATGTACAAGTAGACATTGGGTATCGTTAGGGATCCCGCTAGTATATCGGCGGCATTGGCGCGCACAATCGACGTCGCGAGTCGTGTCTCGTCGTCGCAACGCAACTCTCGCTCATAGAGGCGTCGAGCACGTCGGTACGTCCAACACTGCGAGAGTCAGTCTTTGGTCTGCGCGCGGCAATTGGCATGCACTCCTTTATAGCCCGATAAACGTGTGTGTGTGTGCTGCACTGCTGTGCAGCATTCAGAACTGCGCTTATGCGAGTGCGAGTAGCCGAGCACACACTACGACGCGTCTTTGCGGGCTTGTGATTGCTCCGACTTGGCAGGAATATAATATGTATATGCAGTAATAATTATCGGCGCGAGTAAGCTGCAACTCGCTGAGAGCCGAGCGACTCTTTGAGAAGACTTATATACTCGTCGGTCGAGCCTCGTGTGGCCGCGTACACAATATACAGAAGTACGCGTGGGTCGAATGCTCGGTTAGCGCGAGCTCTCGGCCATTCGACAGGGAGAGAAAGAAAACGAGCGAATATTAGCTCGTCGTTGGAAATTTCCTTCTCGCTCGACGTTATTAGTGCGCGCGCTATATGCTGGGCTCGTTTGTCGCCGCGCGCTCGGACCGACGAGCGTAATCCGAGTCGGCGGCGCGCTCCGATCCAACGATCGGATATGCCGAGAAAGCGAGCCGAAAATTCTAATAATAAAATTAGTCGCATAGTCGCCGCGTGCATACACCTATATACCTATTGGCGCGTCTATATAGCTATCTTATGCACACCTATGAAACCGACTGACTAAGTATTACGTGCCGCTGACTATAAGGCGTGTTGCGCGCGCGAATTTATAATTGTATTCCAGTTAGCTATAGCTATTTAGAGGTACGAAGCGCGGCTGCGATTCGAAATCGTTTATTTGGCGCTCGATCGCGATAAATAGAGCCGGCCGTGCAGCTGAGACTCGGGGAGCCTCGGACCGAGTGCCATATAGCGATACCTAGACATATGCTCGAGTGCTTGCGCGCGCCAATTATTCTAATGTACATGTCTACGTGTAGTACAATAATGCGCGTCTTGTATGAATGTTGCAGAGTACAGTCACCGACATGCCTCGGACGAATATCGTCTACCGAACTTGGAGCTTTCTCGACTTAGCTATACCCAACGCATCGGTGCTACCTTGCGCGCGTGGATCAGTACATACCGATCGCCGATCGTCAACTTCAAATCGAATCGATTCCCATCGACTGCCACTCCAACCACAGCTTTCAATAAAATCGACCTACGTGCTTTTAGAAAAAATTGAATAAGCAAACCCAAGTAACCCCAGGTAATACAGTTGACCAAGCTTCAACTGTTTTTGAATAATTTGAAAATCGAACCCATTAACCAAGCTCGTGCCTTTTCAATAAACAAAGCTACAAGCTCACGTTTTCGAATCAACTTAGCACGTCCATTCTTCTAATATCTTTATGTACAAAGCTAAGTAAGTCAAGTAATTCTGCTAGCGACATTTTATTTGTTTTTTTTGCTCATCAATGAATCGATTAAAATGTCTGAGCTAAGTCAATTTATTACAAGGGTTATCAAATTTAATATTTGATCATTTAAAAAGGGCACCAATTGGATTACTTAATTTACTTATTTTTGTAAGTTTAATTTTTTTTCAAACTGCTCAAAGTGAGCTGGGATGTTTGATCATTTCAAAACCGTTTAAGCTATGTTGACTCAGTTACTTTGGGTTACTTGGGTTTGCAAATTTAATTTGTTAAAAACTACACTGCCTGGATCGATTGGGTTTCCTGAGTTACTTAGGGTTATTTGGGTGTGCAAAACATTGCTTTTTGTAAGTTTTTGTTCTTTCGTTTGCTTGGTAAAAAAATCATTTCCCAATTTTGTGGGAAGAGAGGGGAAGGGGGCTACTCTGCAGAGGTATGTACTCTGTAGGCTCATCCTACTCTGCTTATGTTATAATCCGGCACTGATAGAGGTACTGCATGCCAAACAGTGACTGCTAGATTCGACACCTGTTGCTTCGCGCCAAACCAGTGGATAGCTTGAATTGAAACGATACTCGACTAGCCACTGCTGCTCGGAGATGGACGAACGATCCTACCCATCTTTTTTTGACCAAAGACGAGCCCAAGCCTTCGAAATATATCGTCCATGATGCTAGTGATATACTCTTTTATGACTATACCAATATCGTAACACTGGCAGTGATCACTTTTCAGACTCGTCCTCTATTGCACCATCAACTGCGTCATAGGGTGAATGCGCCAGTTTTCGGACAGTTAAGAAAAAATCGTTCTTTGCTCATTTACAGAGCTTGTATGTTACGTTTGAAAATGTTTCTAAAGATACCTTTTGATAGAAAATAAAGTAACCTTTCGAATGAGTACGTACACTTGACCAAAAAAGCTTATGATACTTCTAAAAAAATGGATAAAGCCAAAAAAATACGAATCGTCCAGTTTTCGACCACCTCACTGAGCCGTCAATGACCCTGAAGTTGGATCTCGGTTAAATTTTTATTTTCGAGCTCTGAAAGCATAATAAATGAACATACATGTCTTAAAGTACATGAGAAACCTACTGATGAGCTTCAAATTGAATAAAAAACGTTTGAATAAAAATTATTTAGAATTATTACAGGTGGTCGAAAACTGGATGGACAATTTTACCGCATAGTCCAATTTTCGACCAGGTCAGAATTATAAATTGAGCTACAAAACAGATTTAATAATTTTCAAGGGTAGCTATAAATTTTCTCTGAAAGTATAATATTTAAAGAATTAAAAAAATATTTTATTACGTCAAAATTTGATATATATTTCTATTTGTTTAAATAATAACCTTGGGTGGCCGAAAACTGGAGGGTGGTCGGTAATAGGCACATTTACCCTATACCATACATGTACTTTGCAACGGCACTCCTTTTATGCCGATTACAATTACGAGCGAAAATGGTATAAATACAATTGGAGTGCATCTTTCAAGTTCCTGTGCAAGTATCCAATTTTTCGAGTTTGATCCAATCAAGCTCAACAAGTTTCAGTCGAGTCAGAAACAACGGTTCCTCTTCCTTTTTTCAAGTTGTAGCTAAATAATAATACAACGTTTTTAGACAATTTTTTTAATTTCGTCCTTAGAGATGACTTTTCTGGGGAAATCAGTTTTTTGGCTTGATCATAGCATCAGCCTGTACATTCAATACACCAATTCAAATATAGACCAAGCTAGAAATTCTCTGGACAAGTTTTTTTTCGCTAAATCACAAATGTATACAGTATCTTTTTGAGTGCGACAGATCGATACTAACAATGATTTTTTCATACACTGAATTCTAATCATCTTTATACTCGATGCTAAATAATTGTTTTTTTTGCTACATTATTCATGCAAATGACTGCTGCAGAGCACATTAGAGTAGCTTAATTGAACCAATATTAAAATACCATAATCGGTAATGGATGATCTACCGAAGTTGTACAGCTCATAGCGAGTTGACGCATTCGAGCAATTCTAACGTCTCAGTGACCCCAGCCCAACTCGTGTTTAGCTATTTTTATTATAGTGTTGCTAAAATATTTTGATTAGACCGTTTTTTTTACTAATCTTCGAAAATTATACAATGCATTTATCAGTTTCATCTCAATTTGGAATTTAGTTTTAAAAAACTACGAGCTAATTGCATTTTTTAGCAATTTGTTTCATCCTTGTACCTATTCCCTAAGCAATGAAAATATTTTTGCTTCGCTTTAGGAGCGAAAAGCGATTGGATTGCTATTTGCATTCATGCCACTCCGTCGCAAATGTACAGCGGCGAAACGATTCTAGTAGCAGGCTTTTTTCAAGATCTCGTGTGCATTGCTGAGCAATCAGCTATGATTAACTTCAATTGATACATGTTTATGTACATATCCTATACACAAACACTGTCAGTATAATGTCTCCGTAGTACCGTTCCTGAATCGAGAACCATGAGTTTATAAAAGCAGAAAAATCCGGATTTTAAAAACCGTACGAAAATTTTGACTCTGAGAGTAGCGCAGCTGTTGTCGCGGTGACTTTTGGCATTGAATTCCTCAAAATAACGATCGTCTTATTCAGAATAAAATGGTCTGGAAACACGAGAACGCTGATCAAATCGAAAACGAGAATACGAGAGAAATAATTATGAGCTAAAAGTATATCTATAACATGCGTGTTTGCATTTTTGCAGCTCGAGTTCTGTGTGTACAACTTACGCATAATTTGGAATTATTAATAGATTTTCGTTTTCTCGCGTACAAGTAAATTTGCGCGTAGGCTAATATCTGTATCCCCTTAACAAATGATGGATTATCGTAAAGCTCACGTATTCCTGCTTCTACGTGCGCAATTTTCAAGTGAGAAAATAATGAACGAATCGTGACTAATACTTATGCCTGATTTTTCAAAGATCCATCTACTCCAGATGCTAACAGATCTACAGGTCCTATGACTCATAGAGTTTTAAAAATAATTACAAAACAATGTAAAGTAACAAAAATGATGTTTATTTTTAGAAATGTCTCGCAAACAATTCGGAGCTTGACAACTGATGTAACGAGTTACACTTCAGAGGCATAGCTAGAGTTAAAAAAATGTTTTTCTTTCTAAGAGTCAAAAGAAGAGAACAAAAGTCATTTATACTTGAAAAAATATTGCCAAAAGATATTTTAGATATACATACATTTGAATTAATTTATACCCCATTGGACACTCCACTAAGCTTCAAGTTTTAGATAAGTTTCGATTAAATCAAACTCGAAGATCACCCAGTTCAAACTTAACAACGCATCACACCGTGGCAAATTCATACAAATGTAACGGGTGTATTGTTTCATAATAAATTATTATTACAGATCTTATTCTGGCTGGAGAGAATAGTGGGATGGGAAATGAAGTGTGTGAACACTCTAATTATTGGGTACATTAAAGGGGTAATTTATTATATTCTAATCGATTTACAAATCTCGCGGACTTATGCTTAATCTTAAATATAATTAATTTAACATACAATTTATTTAATTAGACGACTCGCTGTGGTGTCTCGCTTTGCGTCAGTTGTAGTGGTTTGCTCTACGTGCTCAACCTGTCCGTCGGTGATGAGGATGCTCTACCTCGATTTCTCGTATAAACTCGATACAGTTTATTCGCACTCACTAGATGCACTTCGTTACACACTTTCGGTGATCAATCGAATTAATCGGACACACTTAACGTATTTCAGACGGAGAACAAATACTTGTAACATTAATAGACGCTGTCGCGTAACCGAGTGACATAGGCTCCCCGCACCACAAAAGTTATAGAAAGAGAATCGACCCCGAGGCCTTACGGGCCCTCGATATTATCCTAAAATCAGAGCAGACGTAGATAACTCAGTTCGCAAGTTATCTCGCGCGACTCTACTTGTTGTCAGGTAAAACTAATTGGTGTCACCCTTTATCTTTGTCGTTGTTTGTCTAGAAATGGCAATTAAGGCGGGTACTTTTTCACTTAATTCGTCTATAAAACTCTCATTTTTTGAGTAAATTATTATGCTCTTTTAGGAAGTAAAGATCACTTGCTCGATCACGAGCAATCATGTACTTTTTAGAGTGAGCAGATTAATCATAAATCAAAGGAAATAAAAATCTTAAAAAAGCAGTAAAAGTTCACCTAAAGATTAATTAATACTACAACAATTTTAATGAGAAAATCACATGCTGACTTCGGCAACACCAAGCTCGATGCACTAATTGGATTTTTTTCAATCTCCTTTGACGATACATTAATTATCGTAATTTTTCGAGAAAAATTTAAATAAAATTATTTTAAAAATCACCTTGCTAATTTTTATAACAGAAGGAATCTAATGAAGAAGCAAAAATGATTAAAAATAAATTAAGGGACACTATAGAATTATTATGTCCATACTCTAATGAGTTAATCACAAAACTCGATTTTAAAATGTGTGCGGATATAAATCAGTAAGTCTATCTAAGATAAGAATGGACTTTTAAATGCAGCACCACGCGGACAAAGTGTTATGGTAGCAGTTGGTGTGTATAAACGTGTAGTGAGTGTCACTAGTCAGCAGAAAGATACCAAAACAACTTGCACGTTTTGGTTAGGTGTAAATACAACTCAACTCCAAATCGTCGTGCGTATTCAGCCAGCACACTTCTTTTTTTATGTCAAATGTCAAATAAACAAAGACGCAATGATTGTTATTCAGTTTTATTTTAATTGATAGAATATAGTCGTGTGAAAAGTAATTAACAAATTGAATAATAGTTTTCATGTTCAATACTTTACAATCTTTCAATGTCATTGAAATTATTTTGATCCCTATGTTTACAGTAGAGTATGCAATAATTTCGTGAGAAAAATGACATCAGTAGAGAAAGAGGATGAAACTATTGCGATTATGTCAACTCCCGAAAAATCAAATGTTACGCTCGAAGATCCTAGTAGTAGTACGTCGAAGGACGAAAACGTTAACGAAGACAAAGAAGAAAACTTAACGTCACCTGGACCAACAAAATCGTCCGTATCATCAGATATTCCAATCAACGGTTGTGTTGTTAGTTCAGATTCTAAAAATGCTAATGTTAAAATTGTTAGAGGTTCTAAAAGAAAAGCTAACAGTGATTCAACTGATAAAAGAGGTTTGAATAAACCATTTCATTAAAAACTGACATTAAAAAACTGTTCTTAATAACTAATATTTAACGTTGGAACAGATGGTAAAGATGATCCAGAAGCTGAAGCTAAAAGGTCTCTCAAAAGAACTTGTGAGCTTTGGTCAATGGAAGATAAGGAGACGTTTTTCAAGGCTATAAATGAATATGGCAAGGACTTTGATGCACTGCAGACATATTTTCTTATACAAGGAAAGAAAAAAGGAATGCCTGAAAAAATGATTAAGAACAAAGAACAAATAAGACATTTTTACTATCGTACATGGTTAAAAATATCAAAACATCTCAAATTTTCAGAGGGTTTGTATTTTATATTTTATTGATACAAATATGTAATAACATCATCAAGAATAATATTTAAAAATTGTTTACAGAAGTAAAAAAAACATCACAGGAGTTATATGGTTTGATTAATTATGGTGAATTAAGAAGGAAATTGCCTAGGATGCATGAGAAAGTGCAAATGAAATTAAATGAACTTGTATACTATGGATACACACAAGTACGTCTGCGAGGAAAAACCATGAGAATCAAAACACCTATTTGCAGAGCTTTAAGAAAACTCAACCGGTTAGAAGGTGATTATCACATGAGATACTATTTTACTTAGAAGATTTATTAACATCAGTTTATCTTTCAATCGCTAGGTTGGGCTGAAGATCTAAAGCTTCCGTCTAGAGTTACAGTTGAACTACGCCCTGGTAATAATTTGACATGGTGGAATGTTCAAACACTTGCTATGAATCCCAGAGTTAGAACATTAGTTCCAATACAAAGAAGACTTTCTAGTATATTATTATATTTACAACATAGGTGGAGACCATGGAAACCAAAAAATGTAAACTCTTTGTTTTTTTTTAGTTGAACCTTTAATGCCAAGATATAAAATTTATTTATATTTCAGAATGCTGATATGGATAATTTAATTAACAATGATGCAAAAAGTACAAAAATTTTACGAGTTGCTCCTCCAACAGGCTGTAAAATAACTCTACCAGCTGTTAATTTGGGAGAGTATTTAACTAGTAACAGTGTTAGCTTAAATTCCTATGAAAATCGACTTGGATTGAAAAGTTCAAGAGTAGAGTTATTAGGTTCCTCTCAAAATATGAAAAGTATGGGAAAAAAAGGTCTTAAAAAATTTAAAGGAGACCTTAAAAGATTAAATTCTAAAAGTGATGATGTGCCTGATAGCAGTGATATAGATCAAGCAGAATCTAGTATAGTATCCTCAACGGAAAAATTAAATTCTTCCAAAAGTATTCCAAAGCCATTAGATGAACAGCACACTGAACCTGGAGGTTTTCCTGGTAGAGAAACTATTGAAAGAATCCGCTTAGGTTGGAACGTAGATGAGATTAACACAATTACTGTTGGAGATTTGTTTTTGATGGTAAAAATAATATTTGAAATTGATCCTTAATGGTTTAGGCTCATAAACAATTTTTTTTTCAGTTTGGGCGAGATTCTAAAGTAGTTTTAGAATATTGGTGGGAAACACCACAAAACGACACATTAGGTGAAAAATCAAATGTAGTTGGTAATCCTCAAAAGAGCAAAGATAGTTTAACTGCATCTTTGCAAAAATTATTATCAATAGCCAAACACAGTTTCTGTTCAAGCAAGGTAGTATAATATATTGTATAATGTGAATTTTAGATACAATTACTAGAAATAGTTTAAAATTTTGTTTTTGTTATATCAACAGGGTTACGATAATGTATCAGGCAGCAATGAAACGGTGATCTCATCTAGAATACCTTCAACTAAAGAATCAACGTTTGTAAGACCGGTTATACCTTTGGCATATCATAAAATGGGTGGTCCAGAAGCATTTAAAACACAGTTGGATGTAATTAAAAAATTTTTTTTCAATTATTTCAATTGTTGTAGTACATTGATAATAATGTTAAATAATTATACGTAAAATTACAGAAATACCGTACGAAATTTGGTCGAAGAGGTCGTATTATTCGGCAAAGAAATCTAGTCGTTCAACGAGTACTGCCGGTAACTCCGAAGACAGCATTGCAAACCACAACAATCGAGCCGCAGCAGCAGCAACAACAACCTATCTCATATGGGGAGGTGCATAACATTTCGGTCGGAACCTCAACGAAAACTGTCACTCTAACTATACTTCCATCGAATGATATCTCGCCTATTCATACGATCAGCAATGAGCAAGTGCAAAACAACAACTTGGAAAACACACAAAAACATTTCCTAGGTGTGCTTGATAACGGAACTGTCGAGCCGCCAAAAGTCGCCAATTCGAATTCTAGTATTACCAGCGCTATGCAGATTTTAAAAGAGGGAGAACAGCAGTGGCTTAACAGCGAGGTACTTTTTTCGAAATTATCAAAGAATGAATTAATGTTTGTATAACAATTGATCTTCATAGACATTTTTTTGCAGGTGGCAGATTTTTCTCTCAGCAGTTTTTTGGGACAATTGGAGTCTCCGATAAAAGCAAGTTCGCAAAGAAGTCAAACAGAAATTCCTATGATCGAAATTATCAGGCCTCCATCAGAAGTAAGATTAAATTATATTTTTTAATTTTTATAAAAAATATTTTTAATTCTTTAATTTCTGTTTAACAGGCAGCGAACATGCACTGCATAATGAACGAAAACAGTGTGGACTATACCGCAAAATTTACCAATTTTGCATCGCAAAATTTTTCTTCGGCGAGTGTTCATAAAAAGTAAAATTGAAATACTTGATTTCAATTGCCAGAGAACTGTAAATACCATTTGTAATATAATGAATTTACCATGTGATAAAATAACGTTCTACGTTAGAAATATATGCTTATTTAGCAAAGTGAGATTTATAAAGCAAGAATGTTAATATTTTCATATAACTTCATTTTTATTTCAAGTCATCATCCACTAGTTTGTAGGATAGGGGAAAAAGATGAATAATCGTACGAGGGAAAAGCATTGAAAAAATATAAAAACCTTGGAGTACGTCATGAGCAGATGAGTCGGTAATACGCAACTTATATTAAAAAAAATTTGAAAAAAGAATTCGGCCGCAACTCCATAAAGAAATAAAGCCTGTGCGAACGTTCATGCATCCTTAACATTGAAAATTCTAAGAATGCTTTGATTTTAATTGTTATATATATTTACGTAATACATTATATATTATATAGATATACGTGATTGTGTGTATAAAGCGAACTCGTCGGCACACGAGTCAACGCGATACCGAGCGAATATAATCCGACGAATCGCAGAGTTTCGCCAATTTTATCCTCAATCCATCTCTGTCTGGCTCATCTGTGATATGCACATGCTGTACGCACAATATATATGTATAGTAGCCGGTTGGACTGCTCTACTCGACAGTCGACACACTGTTGGTATATGTAATGCGCCGACTTTTTGCCAGATTTTTCCTCAATCTGTCTCTTTCTCATGCGCACACGAAAGCACACACTTACAGTGCAGGCTCACTCAAGATATTGAAGGTCTCTCGGGCTTCGGTTGTCGCTGGATCATGAAAAATTTGTTTCTTGCTCATTGGCTGTTGAACGTATTCACACGCACACACGCGCACACATACTCGTATTCGTATCCACGAAATACACGTGAATTGGCAAAGTTTTTTTTGTCATCATTCGCTCGAGTCATTATGCCGCTCTTGTCCACGCGGATAATCTTTATACAATTATAATTACAAATATAATCACGTTTAAGCACACATATTATTGCGCTAACACAATTATAAATTTGCTATTTAAAGAAAAAAATTTTGATCGTGTTTTTGATTTTTTTATCGGCTCTATTTACTACAGCGCAAAACAAATGTTTCGTAGCGCTTATTCACTGCTCAAACAATTGGCCACGCTAATATTATAAAATATATTAAGATTTCGAAGCAGCGCAAACATTTACCCGCGACAATTTTTTGAGGAACTCTAACCGCGCCTTCTGTCGCGAAAATTATATCTGTGATTACAATTGAAAGCCAACTGGACCCGCTTTTCTATCTTATTAAACATTGTGCTCAGTCAATCGGGCAATTAGTCCTCTCCTTTAATTTCAATCGCTAGTAAAAACAATCGACATGACAGTTTACATACAATGTGTGTGATTTAAGTGCGATATATTTTCATGATTGCAAAAACTTTGATGTTTATGACATTGCATCAACGTACGTCATCATTCACTTGTTAATGAAAATTAACAAATACGTTAACCATAAACAATGAGCAAACAGCGAGCTTACAAGTATAAGAAATAATCAAAATTTCAAAATTAAACCATAAAATTCATGACGAGCATCATTATTTTTCTCGTCTTTTTTGAATTAAAAAACTGACATAGTTTATCAATAAATCATATTGTATATCTGAGTAATAGGAATTCCCCGAACGAATGGTCAAGTTTTTTTTATGCTCCGCTCTCTTCTCTCAAGTTGACCCGAAAATTTTGAAAGTGCCAAAATAAAACCACACGTTTTCAAGTTCATTAGCATCCATTTTATTTAATTGTTAATGAAAATCGTTGCCACCTGCCTTCCACGTTTTGCTCTTGATATGGCTAGAGAAAAAGAATAAAAAAATGTAGAGAATTTTCCTCGTTCTAAAATTAGCCCAAGACAGCATGGGTTTATCAGTTTGTAAGTAACAGCAAGTTGTCCAGGATGGAGCAGCGATGAAAGTAAAAAAAAAATGCGCAAAAGATATATTCATTTATTCTTAAATTCATGTCGATTGATTTTTTCTCAGCTTATTTTTTAGTCGACTGGTGACGACGAGTCATACGAACCTTATGTTTGGAGAAAGATATTATTTTTGAATTATTCTTAATTAAAATCGAATGTAAAGGAAAATAGGATCAATCCGTTAAACTAGTAATGATTCGTGCGAGATTTTGTGCGCTACGGTACGGATGATCCAGAGCGCGCTCAGCCGATCAGAAAACGAAGAAACGAAATTACGTCGCGCGGAGTGTCCCGGGAAATCCCCGATTCATTAATCGACGTGCGATCCACGAACGCGCACGATTAAAAAAAAGTACGGACGAGGAAATGCAGTTGAATTCCGGATCCGCAGATCGATCGATATTTCCCAGCTGTGGATCTTGAGTTTTGTAATTGTTACAGCTGCATCGTCGAACCGATTCGATAACGATCACGCGCGCATTTTATCAAAAATTCAGCGCGACCCATATAAAATTGCCTACGTTATGTAGAATGGGACATAAGAACGAAAATTTCGACGGCGACTCTACAAAAAAGCACCCTAAATCCTCGTCTGAGTGAAGATGTAAGTAGACACTACGATGCGAGTTTTGTATTACGAGCCTCGAGGCAAGCAGTGGGGATCGAGGAGTAGATGCTTCTCCTCCCCGTAGCCGCGTATAGAGGAGCGCAGCACGGCTGCGACGCATATAGTCTTGCAAAGCGGCCGAATCGCGACGTTTTCGAGTGCTAAAACTCGAAAATCCAGCTCTCTCGCTCACACGCTTGGCAGCCGTCGCTCGGTCAACACGGTCGACGTTTCAGTGGGCGGACGAAGCATCGAAATTCGCGGCGGCACAGCAGCACACGTGCTCTCGCACGACTTGTATATTTGTGATCGAGGCGACGGATAAACGACGCTGACGGCTGCGGCCGCATACGTCGATTCTGCTACTCCGTTCTAGTAGTGATCATTTTGTGTTGTTTACTGTGCTGACGTAAAAAAATTACGCACCCAGTCATAATAGAAATAATCTATCGATTGAGTCATGTGAATTCAGTGCTGATAAAGAAACTACGACCAATTCCTAAGATATATACGTTCACGCCCGCACACGCAAATAAATAAGTGTCTAGCCAACAACCGCAATATAAAATTTAAAACTCGTTCATCAAGGATGGATATGGAGTCATGCCAGAGTTTTGACAAAACTGATTATTCCAACGTGAGTACATTGATTATAAACACTTTTAATTAATGTGTTAAAGTTGAGGAAAAAAAAACAACAACGTACATTGACTGTAACCTGCTACTATTTTCGCAAGAACATTTTTTTTTATCTCAGCTTTGACATCGTTTTTATGTATTATACGACCTTGGTACTTCTCACATGAGTGTGCGTACATGCCGTATATATACATAAATATAGCAGCTCATGCTACATGAATTTATTTCAATTTCGTTAACGAATATAACGCTTGTTGTTGTTTTTTCCTTTTTTTCCTTTCAAAACTCTCGCTCGAGATCACTCGTCAATGGCGTTTCGTATTTAGTCGTGGTTATTAACACCCAAAGAAAAAAATGACGAATTATCGTGGAAATCAAAATTGTATGAATAAATTTTCATTGATGCATTTATTTCTGTCTGTCGCTTAACAGAGCGAAGCTCTGTGTCATCTTATCTCTAATTCGCTGACAATGAAATTCAAAATGAATAATTTATTAGGAAAGTTAAATATTATGTTTGAAAGATGCCCGCAGCTGTTAGCGTGCAAGTAGTGGTGAGCTATTTGACATAACTATTGCGAATCCTAATGTACACAGAACTACGCGCAGCAATGTTGTTTTATAATTTTCTACTTCAACGTACAGCTTGATATACGTCCGCGAGCTTTTTTACCCGCCATTATCATAAGTACATTTAAAATGATGCTTGCGTCGCAGGACTATTTTCGAAATTTCGAGGACCATGGAGAAGATCATCTGCTGCTCGACATGGACAGCTACGCCTCGTCGCACGGAAATCCCAATTTGCCAATGAAAAGTGCCTTTGGTAATTGATTTTTGTTTCTTTTTTAACTTTATTTTTCAAAATTAACTGTATGAGTTTACAAACTTGTAAGTCAGTAGCGTCGCTTGCAATGAGCCAATAAATCCATTATCCTTGCGCTCAAAGGTGATAACGACGAGTACGATGGTGCCAATGAGAAGAATATAATGCTTCTGCAGAGTAATTAGACTAGCTCATAGGGCGCTCAGAATCCATAAATCCGCGATCCCTTTTGCGCATAATACAATACATAAATATTTACTAATTTTTTTTTCTTTATAAATTAGAATATTAATTACATCTTAACGACTGACATGTGGGCTCTTGCGCTAGAGCACACAACATTTGAAGCACTGGCTTTCGCGATGCTGTGTACACAGCTATTATTATACTTTGCGAACGCAACGCAAATTGATGCATAACGTCGAGCGTGCAAGCCTATAATAATTTACAGGTGTGTGCATTCAAACGCTCACGTGTAATTAAAACAAGATCAAAGTGTTCGCAAGCAAAAAAGCTCCATCGGACGCTATGAATTTTTTTCGCCCATGGAACGTAAATTTAATTGAATTAATTTTTTTTAACAGTTTTCGAGTCTTCGTTTTGAGTCCTTCGTATTATCGCGGCTCAAGAACATACATACTGTCGTCACATTAAAGAATAATTTTCCTTGTCTGCAACAAAGAGCTCGTTTAACGATAACACGCAAGAACAGCAGTATACGCGTTTCACACTCGTACATTTGTATATGCGTTAAATGTCATAAAAAAGACTTTGAGCAATAAACGAAATAAATAATTATTTTCGTTTGGTTTTTTTTGTTTTTTTTTTTTATGACAGGAGACAACGAGAGCCAACAAGAGCTAACGGATTGGTTGACGACGCCGGTCGAGCACTGGACCGAGCGCATGACCAAAACTTGGCTCTCTCTTGCGGCCTCGTACTTCAACGTGCAGCCGAGCTTCGAAGCGGAGATCCAGAAGAAATTCACCTTCGCCGGCAAAGATCTGCTAGCCATGCGACGGGAACATTTCTTGGCCATAGACTCGCGCTATGGCGAAATGATCCACAATATGCTGCACAATCAGTTCGGCGACGCCACCGCCAATGTCGTGAACGTGGCCGGTGCGCACATTTACAATCAACACAGCTATCCCGAGCATCAACAGCTCCTGCCCATTGCTCGCCCTCAAGAAATCAACAATAATAATAATAGCAATAATAACTTTAACAAGCTCGACGACGATAAAGAAGCTTTGATCGTTCAGGCCTCTGGTAAGCATTCGTTTAATTCAGCAATATTTTTGATTAATTCTTCTTAAGCATCTTCAAAAATACAATCAATCAAATACATCTCTAATTATACATCGTACAAAGTAAACTTTTTTTTTATAAAAATTATTATTTAAACTTTGTTTGATTAAAAATTTAATTGCGCGTGAAACCGAGTAAGAGTCGCGTGAACACACACGGCCCTGAGTTCGTTGAGCGTATGCAAAAAATTCACTTTTTTTCCTTCATCGATAACTCTTGAAAAATATTTACACCTCCTCGTCTTTGAAATATTGTGCAAACGTAATAACAAAAGTGAAAAAATAACCCTTTCTATTAGTGAGCATCGTTGTTATTTAATCTTTTAAGCAACGGATCTGAATATTTTTAAAGCAATGAACGTTCTTTGGAATTTACTATCTTTTTAATTATGTATTTTATTAATTGATGTATTTTAATAATTAATATAATTTTTGTTATGATACCAAACGGTTTTTTACTCCAAACCATGACTTTGAAAAAATATACTCTTTACTTTTCGCTTTAACCAGAAAGTATGTTTCCGATTAATTAATTGTCTTATTTAAACAATTGTAATTAATTGTTATTTAAAAGTTTGTACAACACGTAACACGAAATGAATTTTTCAACGCGAAAAATTAAAGCGGCACGTGCTTTTTTTCAACTCAAATAGTTTCAACTGGTATGATTGAGCTACACTTCCCCCCCTTTTCATCTATCCAAATGTCATTTTTTACAGAATCTTTTTTCTAAAAATTTATTTCTGTTAATATGTATTTAGATTTGATGTCGAGTCCATTCTAATTACTTTATTTTTCAATTACTTTGAATGGAACTCAGTAAAATAAATTTTATTTTCTTCTACATCAAAAAATTCTAGAAAATGAAAGAGATTGATACAGTTCTAGGCATTTTTTTTGTGTTCTGCAATTAATATCCGCTGTTTTTATTTTTTCTCGTACATAAATATTAAAGAAAAAGCGAATTTTGAAAAAGGGTTTGGATAAAAGAAGTTGTTGCTGTGGTGAAAATGTAATTTTCAAAAGATTTTTAAAAATAGTCATTTTCACATATAAATTTAAGTTACAATTAATTTTTTCATATTAATTTGTAAAACAGAAAAACATTATTTTCTATTTATTTTAGATGTTGAATCAGATAATAGTTTAGAAGCATCGGAACATCGAAAAAGACCGCCTGGTAGACCAAAAATCTTGAAAAGTGGAATAAAAAAAAAACAAAGTGAGTAATAGTAATTTTTTTTTTCTATTGTGCACAGATAAGCATTAGCCATGATCATGCAAGTTGAAAAAAATGTCGCGTACTTGTAAAAGGGTACGCAATACAGGGATGGTTTTGGATCAGGGGATATAAAAGTTAGCCTAACTTAAAAACATTAAAACGAAGGTCGCCATAGAGCCTAATTTTGTGGAAATATTCAGTAGAAGTTTCAAAACATGAGATTAAAATTTTAATTTTTGGGCCGCGGCTTCTATATCCTTTCAAGTAAATAAGAATAATTAAAAACGTTCTTTTGAATTTTATTATTTTAATGATAATGATACCTCATGGTACAATTAACTCGATTTCCATTGAACATGGATCATGTTAAATGTGTATACTCTGGCAAAATACAAAGCAAATGAAGCAATGAAGTAATAACACATGATTTTATAGTTTAATTATTAATGTTACCTTTCGAGCTTAACAATGGTACATATTAATGATATTTATATTAAAAAAAATATTTTTTTGTATGAAAACTGAAATTTTAATTGGACTAAATTTTACATTTAGCAAAAAGTCAAGGGAAATTATGGGAATTTATTCGAGATTTGCTGCGCAATAAAAAGACGTGTCCCAGTCTCATATGTTGGGAAGACTACAGTGAAGCTAAATTCCGATTCGTTCGAAGTGATGAAGTAGCTAAACTGTGGGGCTCCCGAAAGGGTAATCATAAAATGACTTACGAAAAGCTCAGTCGCGCTATGAGGTAATTTTTATTATATTATACTCTACGTTAAAAGTATGAGCTATCAAACTTAAAAATCATTTCCATGGCAGGTACTATTACAAGAGAGAAATTTTTCTTCCTGTTCTCGGACGTAGATTAGTTTATAAATTTGGACCGAAGGCCACCGGCTGGCAAGTCGACAATCCAAATTTCCGAAGATCTCTCGGTATGAGCGAACAAGACGAATAAATGCGAGAATAATTATGTGCAATGTAAAAAAAAGACTGAAAACTCAATTTTCATCCAAAAATAAAGTACGTCCTGTCTCAGATTAAAAAAAAGTAGATCATGTTCATAAATCAATTGTCATTGTTTCGACGGGTCCATCTCATTTACTGTGTCGAAAAATGATCAAAGCTTGTATTTCATGATTTTTTATTCTGTGACCTATACAGTATACATAAGCATTACAATAAAATATATGCGTATATTTATGTATAAGCGTACGTGTGTGAAAAGCATCGAGTTAATATGATAGATATTATATTTAGCGAAATTTTTATGCATGATCTTGTTATCATTAGTAACTTTGTAAATTGTACAGAACAGTATGTGTATTTTCAGGTACATATTATATTTACTCGCGATATTTATTGATACGTCATAAATTGTTTTACGTTTTAAAAAACGTAAATAAATTATTTTACGTTTTAAACTTATGATCTTTAAATTATAAGATTTCTAATTTGATAAGTGTACATTTTTTTGAATTCATTCATGATCACTGTTTAGTTGAGCATTGTATGAGTTTGAGTCTTGAACTCTTGATTTTTTTAAAATAAAGTACTTAACAAATGTTCAAGTTGTAAAATTGAATTTTGACAAAAATCATGGACGAAAACCATTAATATGTATATTGTGACTGTTAAAAAACTAATGAGTTACAACAGTTTAAATTGATGATTGTAATTATTGGTAGAATTGCAATAAATTTCTTAAAATAAATACTACCATTTGTTATGTAAATACTTAATACCTATGGACTAAAATGTTATTTTATTGATCAAATTTTATCTTTAATTAATTTCCATTTAACAATTCATGCTACAGTTATAGAAATGCATATTATTTTTAGCGCAATAGTTGTATATTAAATTCGTAAGCTTAGCAATTGCATAAGTAACAATTTTACATATCGGTCAAGTAATTCGGTTTGATTAAAAGTGCAGTACAAAGGAAGTATCAGCCAAGCGTATTAGTCCATGTGTACTTAGGCCCTATCAGCGTATTGGGCATTTTACCACAAATTTACGCACTTCTTGAGCAAAACGTGGTATTATCGTATAATATTAAATTCACTTTGGCGCAGGAATAGTAGTTGAATTTTTTATATATTCAGTTATTGAGCAAAATCTGTCAATGCGAAGAATACTTCATATTATTTCTCACTTGTTCATCTATATCACAGAGTATATATTATTATTAATGATAGTCAAGGAATAAAAATATTATGAAACCTGAAATATACAATCAAAATCGTTTGAATGTGTGAACAATATAATTGGTAAATTGAATGTAAGCAACTTTTTCACAGTTTGTTAATCTTTAAAATACCACTGATTCAACATTAAACCGTACATCGTAACATTTTATCATGAAGCGATCGAAAAACTACTCTAATGATTTTATCAAAAATTCTGCAATATTGAAAGCCCTTTATGATGGTTGATTAAATTACAACTAACTGCATTGGTACAATCTACTCAATTATATCTCAACTATATTGATAAATTTTTTATCTATCAAGTACTCTAACAACAAGAAGTGGAAAAATGCTTCATTCATTTAAATATTTTTATTGAATATTTTTATTATGGTTATGGTAAAAAACCATTTGGTTTACTATCATTAGTTCTTTTTTAAGGTAAATTAATTACCAATTCTCAAGAATTTATAATATCAAAGTCTTATATATATAATGTTGTGTTACTGCAAATATCACGCGTTTTATTTGTTGTATTTTTCACAATCAATTTGTTGGCTTTCTAATACTTACTAAGCATTCTAAAGGCACAGAATTTGGAAGATTGGAGCTATTTTCAATATTTATAGTTTTATTTTAAATTTGTTAAACACTATGCCTCCTTCAATAATTGTGTAGTTATTTTTATTGCAAAGCTTCAATCTGAGTAACTTTATGTTATATTATATATATATATATATATATATATATGAAACAATTTGATTCCTATTTTTTAAACAACTCCGCCCTAATTTCTAACAATATTAAGCATAAAATACCAATCAGTAAAATTGTATATTTAGTAGCAAAACAATGTTCACATATTTGTGTACGAAAAATTTACACAGCGTTGTAATAAAGTTATAGATAATGAGCAAAAATAGGATAATTACAATTTTTCCATACTAAAAGATATGAAGCCAGTGTGAAACTAAAAATTATCAAATCTTTTTTCTTATTGAAAATTGTCCTAAAAAGCTCTTTAGCATTGTTGTATTACTCTTTTAATTATTAAAAAGCTTTTTATTAAGAAATTTACTAAGTATATCAGAAAACGAGTCCGAAAATGTGTATTTTTATGCTAGCTTTTTAATCACTTTCATGCATAGTATATGGTTGTAAAAAAGCATTGAACACTTGAACACAGATATGTAGGCAACTTATAGGAATCAATTTCTCTTGGCTACTTTTGCGGATCCTATTTCTGATTTAATAAAATGCTTGGATTTTTATAAATAGTAACTTGATTATAAATAAGTATTACAAGTATGAAATTGAATAAGCAGTGGTGTTTGCCAAAATTCAAAATTTTTGAAAGTGAAACAAATTTAGCTTATTTAATCTAAATAGTAAACTTGACTAAAGTCCTTTATACGGATTGTCACGATTAATCCTCGGATATCTTTTACATGCCTTTGGCAAACCAATGTTCCACTGACAATTTCACCTGAATAAAAAAAAAGGGTTTAATTTTATATGATTTTCCAACAATTTTTTTTGAATATGTGACTTTTCCTTACCTTCAGTTATACTGATTGGTTCACTTAAGGAAAAGACTGTTTGTTTCCAGTGCGTTGGTGTAGCATGAGGGCCAGTACTAAAATGCACGGGGTTATCAAGATCATCAAAGAACACATCGAAATATCCGATAATGGCTGTTAAGGAGCCACTTCGCTTAACTTTAAGGCTGAATGGTGCTGAAAAATTAACGCAATCAGTAGTAACTTTGTAAAGATCAAAAGACTGTATCTCTGCAACACTTGTTACTAAATCTTGTGCATTGCAGAATTCAATGCTTGGTTCTCTCACAACTTCAGCTTTCATGCAGCTCATTTTAAAACCATACACATTAGACCAGTAATCAACTAGATCAATGTAACGCTCTGTTGAATAAAAATAATAGTTTTTAAAATAAAATTATGTATGTAAGTTTTAAGTAAGTAAATTGAATGAAACCTACTTGTATCACCACTACCTACAAGACTGATTGTACATTTGTTTGGTAAAAGTTTACCCCCAGGTTTAAGATAATGGTCCCTCGCATAAATCACTGAATCGAGCATACCCTCGAATAGTAAAAAATAACCCATCCATTCCGATACAATTGCATCAACTTTATCAACATCTAAATCTATATCTTCTAGGCGACCTTTCTTTAACTTCACTATTTTTGTAAGATTATTTTCTCTACACAAAATAATTATATCAAAAATCATTCTACTATTATCATTTTAAAAAATAGAACAATGTTGCAAACTACCTGACTATATCCATAGCATGATAAATTATGTCTGATTGATCAACGCTAATAACTTTCTGGCAACCAGATTTTGCTGCAAACATAGATAGAATACCAGTGCCACAGCCAACATCAAGCATAATGCAGTTTTTAAATATGTGGGAATTCATCAATAATGCATCACGATAACTTTCAGTCCTTACTTTATCCTGTCAAAAAAGAAAGCAACTAAGCATAAGTATTCATTCATGAAAAAAAAATAAAAAAATGAAAATCACTCCTATTACTGTTAACATTTCATGATGAATAGCAAAGTGACTATAAGTATTAAAATATCCTTGATCAGATTTAGTTTCAACACTTTTCACGCATCTATTTTTGTGGTTTGTAACTTCTTCTTCATCAAAAACTAGTTTTTGAACTTTTTTTGACATTTCGTCAATTTGCTAAAAGTTTAATATATTATAATTAGAATTATTATTTATTTGAATAAAAAATTCATTTATATCTTTATAAAATTAATTAATACCTGTTTAGCTAATAAACATGCCAGATCTCTTTGTTCAAGTTGAGCTTTCAAAGACTGGATTGTTCTCTGAAGTTCAGAGAAATGAATTTCTGAGAGTGTGACACCTTCATTAGAAAGCATTACCTCTAAATTATCATTGGATTTGTTTCCACCTTCCAAATCTTCTATGTCTAAAAGAAAATAAATACTCAAATGTTACAACCAAAACCATATTATAATTCCTATTTAAAAAAGATTAAAATACCAAACATGAGCCATGCATCATCTTGATTGGTAGGTGCTAAGTAATCATCTGAATTCCAAGTTTGGGTAGTCAAGGCAATCAATTCTTGTGGTGAAATATTTTTTTTTCTTATAAAATTGATAAGCTTGATGTAGGAATAAAAGTCCAAAGCATGTCTGTCTTTGAACTTTGCTAAATTAAAACTGTGCTGGCTTTCAAGGTGTTGTAAAGCATCCTTAAAATTATTGAAAATGGAAGTACAAAACATACACAAAATATTCGGAACGTCATCGCACATTTCTTCCCAACCGTCGTCGCTTTCAGATTCACTGGCAGCCCTCATTTCTTCAAGAGAAGCGTGATTGTTTTGTAGCTGATGCTGCTGTTGAATTACTTCTGCTCCTGTGCAAAAAATTTGTTCACTTTTTATGTATTGAAAATGAATACGTGACCTTTATCTCGATAATATAAAAATGAGAACAATGGAAATCAATAGTGATCATGGCGCTAGGGAAGAGAACGAAAGAAAATATATTTAGTATTCTTATATTTGATACTATTGATTTGGACAGTTGAGTGGGTGGGTATGCGGCAATTCGCATATTGTGTGTATATATAGCTATATGCGCAATAATAACATGTTAGAGCTATTGACATACTTATTTTCAACTTACCCGAATCAGACATTTTGACGATGAATTAAAATAAATTTAAGTAACCAAAATTCGTATCATGAAACACACGTGTTGACCCGCTTCATTGGCACTTACAAATGCTCTAGTGAGTCACGAAAACTGTAAAGCACGTGTCTCAGTTCAGTGAGTTCACTATTTGGTCTGCATGCACGCTACTCGTGTGCATGAAAATCTACTATACCTGTAGTAAGTATACTTGTATGCGTGCTACGACATATTATGAATTCTCAAAAACTTTTAAAGTATGGGTAGCTCTGTGTACATAGAAAAATTAAGTTATCTGAGACTTTTTATAAAACAAAGTATGTTTAACCCGTTAATATGATTTGACATGCAATTAAACTATTATCATATTCGGGGCCATAAATAAAGAAATCAAATTTCAATGTCTCAATCAAAACGATAAAAATTGTGAAAACTACTACTTCTACCAATATTTAGAAGGGTGCTCTTTCCAATGGTGTACTTAAAATTGTCTTAATTGACTATCTATCGAGTGATATTTCAAATTAAAAAAAAAACACTTTTATGGGTTGATTGGTGTGTATATTATATGCATAAAAACGTGATTTTTAAGGATTCACTATTTTTATTATTTCATTCACTATAAAGTTTAGAGCAATCATTTATCGAACAAAGATATGCTCGAGGAACACTCACATACTTTTTTAAACTTTTTTGGGTCGATTTTTTAATTTCTGGAAAATGCGGTAAATTCATTCTCAAAAATATGCCTCAAAAATTCTAAAATATTGTTTAACGATGTTTTCCTTGATCAATTTAAAACTTTTTTAAATAAAATTTTTAACTGAACTCAATAGTTTTCAAGAGAAATAAATACCGATCATTTTTGCGGTGTTAAATATTATTTTCTCTAACGCTGAAGAAGTTGAAAAAATTAAAGAAATTTCAGGCGAAATGAGTGGCAGCATTTTTTATCACTTCTTACACCTCAACATTGTAGAAAATGTGTATTATAATAGTGTGCCAAAAAAAATTTTCAGGCCATTTTCAAAAGGTTTTTAATGAATTTCATATGTTACTATTATTTTACTCATAAATTAAACTTTTTAAAATCATTAGCAAGTTATCTATTTATAAAAACGGAAACGATTCGATTTCTAGGATATAGTAGCTTGGACTGTGGATATATAAATTCGAATTGTTGGTCATATGAATGATTTTAATTCAGTAGTCAGTAACGAGCAATCTAAACGTAAATCTAGTTAAGTAGGGGTTTTGCCTGCGCTAATTTTGCAGGTTGAACGTAGGGACAGCTCACAGCCCCTCATACACAATATTTATGTATTTATTACTAGATAGAGTCAGTGTACTGTTTGTATAGAGATGTAGTCAGTAGTCTGCAGTCTGTACGCGAGTGTTGATTTACTGATGCAAAATATTCAAAAGTAACCTAAAATAGGATCTTTGGGTAGACGGGTAGTTTACAGTGTGTCAGTGTCGAATGTAAACAGTGATCACTATTGTGACACAAGTAACATAAGAGTTTAAATTTATGTTATTAATTCATTTCCCATAGGTGGAGAGTGTAAAATTTACTTTTTATAGCAAAATGGTTAGCGGTGCACCTGACCACGGTGTACAAGCCGACGTAGTGTTTGTAATCGAGAGCACTGCGAGCAATGGTGCTTACCTCAATGAATTCAAAACCAATTATATTATGCCCACTTTAGAATATTTTAGTCAAAGCAGTGTAGAAGAAAAAAGAGATTTTACCTCAGAGGTAGGCCACATTCAAAAATAAAATTTCGATTTTTATCAAAGTAGTTCTTCTAATTTATTGTTTTTCAGAATTTGAGCCAATATGGTGTTGTAAATTACAATGCATCAGATATTCTACCATCTCCTATTTCAAATGCATATGGGCCTTTTTCGAATGCAAATAAAGTTTTACAAACATTAGATAAAATTGAGTAAGCAAATCTGTTCTTGAACTTTACCCAAACATATTTTTAACATACTTAAAGAATCAAAAATTAATTCAATTATACTTTAGAATGATTGGTGGTAAAGGAGAATCTTGTGCTAATTTAGCTGAAGGTCTTTCAACAGCGCTACATTGTTTTGAAGATTTGCAAGTTCGAAGAGAGCCAAACATTGCTTCACAAAAGCATTGTATTTTATTTTGCAACTCACCTCCTTATTCTGTTGCTGTCCAAGAATCTTACACCTATGCAGGCTACACAATTGAGCAACTGTCATCATTATTCCAAGAAGTATGTAGATTTTAAGCTATTCAATATTTAATAGACTAGAAATGGAACTTATCATGTCGTATTATTTTAGAGAAACATCCACTTGTCTATTCTCTCTCCTCGTAAAATTTCATATCTCTTCAAATTATTTGAAAAAGCTGGTGGCGATCTGCAATCATGTCAAACAAAAAATTATGCCAAAGATCCACGTCATTTGGTACTACTATGCAACTACAGTTTGAAAGAATCGCCAGTTAGTCAAAACAGTGCTGCTACTGCAGCCGCAGCTGCTGCTGCTGCTGCTGCCGCTGCAGCGGCTGCTGTCACCGCTAATGGTCCAGCGAATCCTGCACAGATGGCTATTAGCCCATTACAAGGCAATGACAGTCCTAATCCCAATCAAATTGTAACACAAAATCAAGCTCAGCCACAGCAAAATCAGCAAAATAATCAGTTCCGTCCTCAAACACCACAAGCAGTGCAGCAAGCTCAGGCAGCAGCTGCAGCAGCAAGGGCTCAGTTCAATCCTCAAATACAGGCTCCACCCAACTATCCAAGACCTACACAACGGTGGATGAGACCACCATACATGGGTGGACCAGGTCAAGGTGCACCAGGAGGTACACCACCTCAGCCACCAACAAGTCAAGGTAGTGCACTCATAGCACAATTGCAACAACCACCTTCAGGTCTTGGAATTAATGTGCAGCCATTCAATCAGAGAATGGAGGGTAAGAAAAACTTCAATTTTTAACATCTTCTTTATTGCTTTATGCATCATTCTATTCATTATTATTTAATATTTACTATTAAATAAATATATTACATATATTCTAGGTCCCAATACTGGAATGAATGCAAATTCTCAAGTTCAGCAGCAACAACAACTAAATCAACAACAATTACGCTTAAACATGCAGTTACAACAGCAACAACAAATAAACCAACAAATGAATCAGCAGCAACCAACTCCTCAGCAGCAAAATTCTGTGCAACAACAAAATGCTCAACAGGCTCAAATGAACTTGCAACAACCAAGTACCCAAAATCAAATTAATCAGCAAATGAATGTAACAAGTATGAATCCTGCAATAGCATCCCAAATGCCTGTAACATCTACACATGGCTCAACAACTCCAGTTAATCAAAATATGCAACAGGTTAGCTAAAAATAATGTCTACTTTAATTTTTTTTTTTTTTTGCATGTATTTTTATTTTTCTTTGTACCAGTAGTGATGTATTATACTTAAGTGGAATCAGATGTTAAAAAAATGATTTTAATTTTAGATAAATATCCAATCTGGAGATAGAATGGTTATATGGAAAGGTCTTCTTGAGTGGGTAGAAAAAAGTAAACCTGAACAGCAAAAACAAGTCTGGCAAGTACCTTGTCAAGTTTCTGCCACAACAAAAGATGGAGAACCTGAAGTGTAAGTTTTATGAAATTTTAAATTTCGAATAACATAAACTTTACATTCAATTAATTTAATGACATAACAGTAAGGCAGAATCATGGCCAATAAAGTTAATAATGCAGCTGATGCCTCGAGTACTGATTGGTAATATTGGTAATGCATATTTAAAAAATTCCAAATCAGTTGTATTCTATCCTACGCCCTGTGATGCATTGGAATCATTGATTAAAGTTATGTCTACGGGATTTGTAAGTATAATTAATATCTAACTCATTTTGACATTGTACCGAAAGATATCAAATAATCAAATGTACAGGCAGGCTGTGTTCATTTCACGTCAACACCTACCTGCAATATAAAAGTGTTACTACTTTTATACACTGCTGAGAAACGAACTTTCCTTGGTTTTATTCCGAATGATCAACAAGCATTTGTTGATAGACTGAGAAAAGTTATTCAACAGCAAAAAAGTACTCATGCAATGGTTCGACAACCATCGAATTTACCGGTAATTATTTTAATTTTTAATATAATGCATAAATTTCGATATCACGTTAACATTCTTAATTCAATAAATTTTCTTGACAGCAAGTACCAGGAGCAGGACCTGGTTCTACTGGTAATAACGCAATGCCAGGTGCAGTACAGAATTCGGGTATATCTCAAAGTGGAATAATGATGTCTCAAACTCAAAATACTATAACAATGGGAGGTGGAAACCTCACACAAAATGTTATGTCCAACAGTAATATGACACAACAATCACTAGTTCAATCAAATGTTCAATCCAATCAATTGAATATACAAGGAGTTGGTATGTCTGGAGGAGCTGGTGGACCTCCGGGACAAATGAATGCAGCTGTTGGTGGAATGATGGGACAGCCACAGCAGCAGCAACAGCAACAACAACAGCAACAACAACAACAACAACAACAACAACAACAACAACAGCAGCAGCAGCAGCAGCAACAACAACAGCAGCAGCAGCAGCAGCAACAACAACAGCAACAACAACAACAACAGCAACAGCAGCAACAACAACAGCAGCAGCAGCAGCAACAGCAACAACAACAACAGCAACAGCAACAGCAACAACAACAGCAACAACACCTTAATATGGCAAGGCAACAAAATTTGTTGAACATCCATCATCTGCAGCAGACTTTAGAGGCCGCTCAACAACAAGAGGCCCAATATAAGTCGCAAATGGATGTTGTCAACAATGTAAGGATGGTAAATAACGATTTTTTTTTTTTTCAAAATTTATTCTATACATTGGACTAAATCATATTTCTTATTGCCTATAAAGTTACAACAAAATCTTGACCATGCACAAGCACAAGAAATGCAGTATAAACAGTTGGAGGTAAATACTTGAAAATTATTATTTTTATTAATGAATCATATTCATAATTTATTTAAAATTTTTTAACAGGCCCAACAAGCTCAGAGAGCGGGAATGAATACTGCACCAGGAATGCAGGCTCCCCAACCAAATGCATCAAGAATGATGAGACCAATCATGAATAATGCTCTAGGCCTACGACATTTATTACAACAGGTAAAACAAAAACGAAAGATCAATGCCCACCTTTAATTGCCCAAATGTAATTATCTGCTAATTTCTGTGCATTTTTTTAATTTTAAATTTCTTGTAACCCTTCCTGCATTTTTCTGTATAAAAAGTACTCTACAGAATTATTTTTATGTAATGTATTAGCACATAAATAATTATTAAACTGATAAATTAAAATTTTTTAGCAACAGCAGCAGCCTCAATATCGGCAAGTGCTTGGCATGCAACAACAAATGGTGGGACCACGAGGACAAATGGCTCCGCGACCAATGGGACCAGGAAATATGCAAAATCAGCAATTTGATCCTAATGAAGTGTCGAACTATGATTTTCTTAATGGTTAAAAAGAGCTCATTATAATGCACGCTGGCATAAATATTGTAAAAAATCATGAATTGCTTAAAAGTGATTTTGAAATTTTATATTAATCTATAGAAAATGCATAAAAACTCCTGCATGTTACTTTATGTATTATTACAATATGAATAATATATTTTGGTTTACCATTTCGAAAACTTGAAATGGTACAACAATTACTTATGTAAATATAATTTTATATATAAATAGACTGAAATTTTGAAACTATATTTATACACGTTTACAAGCTTTTGTGTAAAGCTTGTAATAGATAATAAAAATTCGTAAAAGTTAATGATTTCTGTAGAGGTCATCGAAGATATCTTAAGATTGTTTTTAATTCATTTTTTAAATTAAATTTAAACAAGAGAATGGAAGAAATGATAGTAAATACAAATTTTGTACAATATTTGACCGCAGTTTTCTTTATAATTTCTATTTCTTAATCAACGTTAAATATCATAAAGATGATTACTAAAAATAAACTTACCAGGTTTAAACTTAATTTATTAGAATAGTTTTCATAAATAAAATGCACTTATCAAACATAAAATAATTTACTGATAAAAAATAGCTGCATATTGGAAAAGCTGCAACATTATCAAATCGGATTTATCCCGTTTTTGCAGTAACACTGTACTTCGAAGTAGTCACAATTTTTTTGTAAAGAATATTCTGCGTGGCGAAACGAGTTGATCAATATGACGATACAGTGGAATCCGCTTATGTCCAAGGTTTACATATGGCCAGCCGCTTAATTTGGCCAAAGACTCGGTCTCGGTTCCATCTATTATTATATCCCTTAATGTTCATGTCCCGACGTTTACCGCGACCAAAACCCTTAGGACTGTCATGACCATAATAAGCGGATTACACTGTATTATCATATTGTGAATAAACACCAGCTGTAAATTGTAATAAATATGTATCATAAGATTTAGAAGATATTTAAATAATATAGTTTTGTTAAAAATTCTCAACTCATATAACCAGTTTTTTTATTTTTTTTGGTAAAATAACATATGGGGAGTGATATACGCACATACATAACCGATATGGACACACTTTTATCTAACGGATATAATTTTTTGTTATTAAATTTTATTAACTTTTATGAACTTTTATAAACTGGTACGAACACCCTGCTTTTAGGTTTTAATAAAAGTGGATAAAAGTATAAGTATTTTCTCAACAACTGTTATTTTATTAATTCTAAATAAAAAAAACTATAGTAAATTATAACACTTAATAAAAGTTTATAAAAGTTTTTTAACATTCATAAAAGTTCTTAGTAATTCTTTAAAGGGCACTTGTACTTTTTTGTGATAAAGAATCTACAAGTAATTGCATGGAAATTTCATTAGACGAAATCGCACGATTTTTAAGTCGCCAGGAAATCCCCTAAATGCTACTAGAAAAAATATGTGACATATGATTTCAATGGGGAATTTCCTTAGCTTTCTGATAGTGGGGTCAGCTTTTTCATTTTCCCCGTAATAATTATCTTTTTTTAAAAAAATAAATATTTTTTTTAAAAATTCCAGATCGAAAGAGGAGGACATTTTCCATCGAACAAGTTATTTTTCAAAAGACCGTTTTTTGATTTTCTCGAGATATTATTCGATAAGTATGAGGTGCGCGGTCGTCCAGCTGTCCGTGCTCCCTAAAAATACGTCTATGTCATCTAAGTACGACTTATTTTCGGATAAAAATCCAAAATGGTAATTAAACTTGAAAAAGTGAAATCGTTGAAGTTTATAATGTAATACCAACCATCGAGAGGACCCCCAACACACGGTTAAAAAAAAGTCTGGGCCTTACCCCAAACATATTTTTAAACCAAGTCAATTGAAACTAAATTGTAAATTTAACTAATTATTGATCGCGAAGCTATTAAAAGACCAAAAGAAATGAGAAAAAATGAAAAAGGCAGAGTTTTATTTTCGCTAAGGATAAAGGGAAATGAGACTAAATAAAATCAGTTGATTAAATATAAACTATAGAGTCGGCAAAATGAGCAGAAGATTTCAATTCAATAAAAAAGAGTGTGAACGATGCACTCACGCGGATTTAGATACCGTACATCGATTAAAATTGTAGCTGTGGCTATCACGGCTATATATTAAAAGAAGCCCTCGAACAAGTACACTGATAGAAAATTTGACCATATTGCCAAGAACTTGCTCGGATTTGCTACCAGAATGAAATAATTCTTACCGCAACCCACATGCATTTTTATTATAAATTCCCCATAAGACTTCGCAACACTTGAAAATATTGGTATTATTATAGAGTACATTATTATTAGGAGTGATGTAATAACTCCTAGAATCAACGCCGATGTCCCAAGCATTACACGGACTCTTTATTGCGGATTTAAATTAAAAACGCGTGGAGTTTTATCTATTAGTGCAGAGAATAAAGCCGTTGATTACGTAAATCCTGAGTAGGGTATCTATACAGGACCTGACACAGTGCAGAGCTTCCCATGGTACAGTGCAGACCTGTCACAATCGAACTTACCGATCCACCCTCCACACACTCTCCGAGAAGGGTTGAAGAAAAAATAAAAAGCTGACATAGTGCGGAGGTCTGATCATTGCGAGCATAGGGGTTTGACATTGAGCCTCGCAGAGGCCTCGCGTGGAGGTAACCGTACTGTGTCAGGTCGTGTATAGATACCCTACTATTCTTAACACGCTTTAGAAGTGCTAATTTCAAGCAAAGTTTGGTAAACATCGGTTTGTCATATTATTTCCAACTGGATCATCAGTACTAATCGAAGCAACAACAGTACCTGCGAGTGGCGATTTCAACATTGGGAGCAGCACAAGCAGCTGTGACTCCGGCAAGAGCATCAACAGATTCAGCTATAAATCCAACCATGGGGGTTTGAGCTAAAAATCCAGGTAAAGCGCGTGTCAACTAGGTTCGCAAAAATGTCGACAGCAGCAGCTAAATTAGTTAGAGTATTAGCTGCGTTAACAATTATAATTCTGGGTAGATTAAAAATATACCATTTGATAGAAAAAAGTAAAATCTATTTCTATTAAGTATGTACAAAAAATCTAGTTTTCGGACCCTTATCGGATATTATTCCTCAGTTGATGCTTCGTACCGAAATATCGATCTTGAATTTACTATTAGACGTTACATTTGTCAATCTTCAACTATGATTTTAGAAATTTATAAACTTTTAGAGATCGAATATTAAAAAAAAGGAATTATTGAAATGCCCGATATCTAGAACTAAACCTTTAGTTTAACGTTTTAATCAATATCAACATTCAAAAATGAATTTTTATGATAACTTACAAAGAATACTAATTTGTTTTTTTTCTAAATCGATTGACTAAAAGCATTTTATTCAAAATATATTTTGACGTGTAGTGTCCGAAAAGTAGCTGGTGTCCGATTACTAACAGTTTTACTCTACTTTGGACATTTTTTCCTTTTTTCACTTTTCGAGCTCAGAAAGCTTGTAAATTTAATGAATAATAGCGGAGGATAGTCATATATAAACCCTTAGACGAAATTCAAGATGATTACTGTACATTAACTGGCGGATTAGTGCCGAAAATTATACATTTCGACTTTTTTGAAAAAACGCATTTTAAAAACGTTAGGACTTTTTGGTTTGTACACACTAAATCGAAAGATCATTTTTTTTATCAAATGCAAAGTAAATAATGATAAACGAATACGAAAAGGGTACACATTTTCCTTAATGTCAGAAAACTAGCTATTTTATCCTGTGATAAAATCAGCGAATCTTATTTAGCTGAATTCATTTCGTTTGGATAAGCTTAAATTACTGATTTACCTAATAAAAATAATTATTTTGATTTCTTGATGTAAGTGTAAAACTAAAACAAATGAATAGTGTTTAAAAAGTTATCGAACAAACGTTTTGACAGAGTTTTTGTCGAATTTCTTAAATGCATCGAGAAGTAATGAAATTATTATTGTATCAGTTTATAAGCAAACAAGATTGTAAAACGTCATTTGAATTTTCTACGTAAAAGCAAAATATAATCTTTGAGTGAATCGTATACGCGTTTATTTCTTTTTAGCAAGTTCTTATCAATGTTATTTGGTGTTTACACATATTATGCTTGGGCACATTTGTCCCATGCGCCATTCGATGACCATAATATATGTACCCCCTCCAGAGCCTGATTGATCTCTGCAGCTCTGCTTACATAGTTCATCTCACGCGCTTTCAATGCTGTATACGTAAACTTACGCGTAATATTAGCTCGCTTTCTACTATCAGAAATATTTCGGAAAAAATTTACTCGCCTACTCGTAAGACCGAATTATCAATTCAAGAACCTAACCTTCGTCAATTTTGTTACATTTTTCATTGTTAATTGTTACATAAAACTTTCTTTTGTACACACTGTGTGGTGAGTTGTGGTAGATTAAGTATTATGAAATAAAACTTCTTGATTATCGTGGAAGGAGAATAATCACGATAACACTTGTACAATAACACGTGGGTCCGAAATGACCCGTGCCGGTGCATCGACGGAATCACTTACTTTTTTATTCTGCTATCAAAATCGGTCCGATTGATATTTTTCACTTTGTAATTATTATAAACGAGCTTGTGCTAGATTATGTCGCATTGAGTTTTAAAATTATATAGCATAGGAGTATCAGAACTTATAGAAAATAGTAATTTTATATTGCTGTACGCGAGCATTCCTGCGTGACGGAGTTACGAAGCAAACCAGTTTTCACGGTATTGATGTGTTCTTTCCGTACATACATTATTTGCTTGAAAATAATTGCGAAATCGGCTTGCTATAATTCCTTGCAATTTGTATAAATATATACCACGATTTACAAGAGTGCGTTCGTGTTTAAAGCGCTTCTTGAATAATAAGATAAGAAAACTCGTTCGCGTTTTTTTGATGATAACAGCATCGTTGACCTCTTCATCCTAATCCGCGGGGGTCCCTCGCTCTCTCTTTCTCTCTCTCTTTCGTACTTTATAAGATCATTTCATATTATCGTTTGAACGTTCGTACTATTCTTTCAGCTGCGACACACACCTGTTGAGCCAAAATGGTCATTTTGAAGTTTTACAAAAATCCAGGGCTAAAAGCCAATCTCTTGAAGAGTAAATTGGAAAAAATAAAAAAAATTAGTGATTCTGTAACTAACATTGAAGCTGAATTATGTTATTATATTGAGTCCAAAAGTCCTTTGAGTAAAGATAATATTGATATTATCAAGTGGATATTGACTTCACCTTTTGAACCACAGGAGTTGAAAGATGAAAGTGATTTTAAAAATGGTCAGCTGGTAATTGAAATTGGTCCAAGGTATACTTTTTTCACCTATCAATTTTATTAACAATTTCTGTTCATAATAATTTTTCTATTGTTAAAAATTTTAGATTGAATTTTTCCACCGCTTTATCAAGTAATGCTGTTTCAATTTGTAAAGCTGTGCAACTAGAAAAAGTCACCAGAATAGAAATATCAACTAGATATTTAATACATACAAAAACTCATGTGGATAAAGATACAGAAAGAAATGTAATATTATCATTATATTGATTACTTTTCAAAAAACTATTTTTTATTTTACTACTTATAAATGATGATCATTTCTATTTTGCTTCAGATTGTTGATGCTTTACATGATCGTATGACAGAATGTAGATATATTAAACCAATAGAAACTTTTGATCATGGCTTCAGACCAGAAGAATGGTTTGAAGTTGACGTGGTTGGTGAAGGAAGAAAGGCACTAGAAGAAGTCAATAAAAAATTAGGTCTTGCTTTTGATAACTGGGACTTGGATTATTATTCAAATTTATTTAAAAATAAAATCAAGCGAAATCCTACAAGTGTGGAATGTTTTGACTTAGCTCAGTCGAACAGTGAACACAGTAGACATTGGTTTTTCAAAGGAAAAATGATTATTGATGGCGAAGAACAAAAAGAATCACTTCTTGATATGATCATTGATACTCAAACTAAATCAAATCCCAACAATGTCATTAAATTTAGTGACAACAGCAGTGCCATAAAAGGTTTTGAAGTTAAAACCTTGAGGCCTAATCGAACTGATGAAGCTAGTTCTTTCAAAGTAAATAGTTCAAAGCAGCATCTTATATTTACTGCTGAAACTCATAACTTTCCTACTGGAGTAGCTCCATTCAGGTAGTTTTAATAATTTGCTATTTTCATTATAATAAAATTTATTAAAAATAATTTTTAAAAATAATAAAAATTACAGTGGAGCAACTACAGGTACTGGTGGTCGTTTAAGAGATATTCAAGGTGTTGGAAGAGGTGGTTATTATATTGCTGGGACAGCTGGCTACTCAGTTGGAAATTTAAACATTCCAGGTTTGAAAATAATTTTTAAAATATTTTGAAATATTTTTTACTAAAGAATGATCTCTTACTATAGGCTATAATTTACCATGGGAAGAAAAACAAGAATACCCATCAAACTTGGCTCTACCATTGGATATATTAATAGAAGCAAGTAATGGAGCTTCAGACTATGGTAACAAATTCGGGGAACCTGTTGTATCAGGGTTTGCAAGAACATTTGGAATGATTGATCCATCAGGAGAACGTAGAGAGTGGATCAAACCAATTATGTTCAGTGGTGGAATTGGTTCTATGGAAGCTAATATGACTAAAAAGATAGCTGCTCAACCAGGTAATGACATATTTTTTTTAAAACTTATTTGACTTGATAATTCATAATATAATAATTTTAGGAATGCAAGTTGTAAAAATTGGTGGACCAGTTTATCGAATCGGCGTCGGGGGTGGAGCTGCTAGTTCAGTTGAGGTAGTTGGATAACTTTTCTATCATTCTATTGGGTCATTCATAAATTTAAGAATATTTTCTCTTTTAACAAAGGTTCAAGGTGATAACGAATCTGATTTAGATTTCGGAGCAGTACAAAGAGGTGACGCTGAAATGGAACAAAAATTGAATCGTCTTGTGCGCGCGTGTATGGAAATGGGTGATAAAAATCCAATCCTCAGTATTCATGATCAAGGAGCTGGAGGAAATGGTACATTAATTAACTCACATTATTTTCTATTTTATTAAATTAATATGTAGCTCCATCAGTTGAGTGTACATCGACTTTTTTCAGTAATAAGTTACTTTACCCAGGTGTGATGATGCATATTTAGATCAATTTGCATAAAAAGCTGATCAATCGTTTTTACAACCATTCAGCATTTTTTTTAAAATTCTATTTTTTTTCTCTCTTTCTATCATTTAAAAATTTAATTGAGATAGTAACTCTTGACCTACCAAATGATGAAATATGGTTTGAATTATGTACAGGTAACGTGCTTAAAGAGCTAGTAGAACCAGCTGGTGCCGTTATATTCTCCAAAAGATTCGAATTAGGAGACCCCAGTATTAGTACACTCGAATTATGGGGCGCAGAGTATCAAGAAAATGATGCCATAATGTGCAAACAAGACGATACGTCTTTATTGAAGAAAATAGCCCAACGTGAACGGTGCCCGATCAATTTTGTTGGTACTGTCACCGGCAACGGTAAAATAATTCTTTCCGAGGAGGACGACTGCGATGCTTCAAAATACATGAGAAAAGATTACGTATCGAAACAGCGTCATCCAGTGGACTTGGAATTGGAGTTGGTACTCGGCAAAATGCCGAAGAAAACATTCCAATTAGACAGATCTATGGTGAAATTGAATCCACTTAACTTGAAACAAACCCCAAGCATCGAAGAGGCTTTAGATAAAGTATTAAGATTACCTTCGGTAGCCAGCAAGAGATATTTAACTAACAAAGTCGATCGTTGTGTGACTGGCCTTGTGGCGCAGCAGCAATGCGTTGGTCCTTTACACACACCACTAGCTGATTTTGCCGCTGTAGGATTATCGCACTTTTCCACGGTAAGTTATAACTTGGACATTAAAAAAAAGTAAAAGTCAATTTAAACATTAAAGAACATACTTTTATAGAAAGGTATTGCTAGTTCTATTGGCGAGCAGCCAATAAAAGGATTAGTAAATGCGGCAGCTGGTGCGAGAATGACGGTTGCTGAAGCTTTGTCCAATTTGGTATTTGCCTATATATCCGGTTTGGAAGTAAGGAACATTACTTAGATTAACGACGAATCATTGAAACACGACATAATTGTTAAACTTTTTGCAGGACATTAAATGTAGCGGTAACTGGATGTGGGCGGCCAAACTGCCTGGAGAAGGTGCTGCGCTTTACGACGCTTGCAAAGCTATGTGCGACGTTATGAAAGAATTTGGTATTGCGATCGATGGTGGCAAAGATTCCTTGAGTATGGCGGCTCGCGTCGATAAATCAGTTGTTAAAGCACCTGGAACTCTGGTCGTTTCTTGCTATGCTCCGTGCCCTGACATTCGTTTGGGAGTTACGCCTGACATGAAAGCCCCATCGCTTCCTGAAAAAGAAGGCTTTTTAATTTATGTCGATCTATCGGGGGGAAAGAGTCGCTTGGGAGGCACTGCTTTTGCTCAAGTTCATAATCAATTGGGCGATGATGTTGCTGATGTTGAAAGCCCATCAGACATAAAACGAGCATTCAAAGCAACGCAACAATTGATCAAAGGTTCGTTTTCTTGATAAATCGAGTAGTTCTAGTCTAGCCTATTTCTTTTCATTTTCCAACATTTTTTTGAAGAGGGGAAAATTCTGTCTGGACACGATATCAGCGATGGTGGTCTCATTACTTGTCTACTGGAAATGGCTTTTGCTGGTTTGTCTGGCTTTAGGATCAACATCATGCATAAAACAGGTTCGGCAATTGAAATTCTTTTCGCCGAAGAAGTAGGCTGGCTTTTAGAAGTACGTGAAAATGATGTTAAAGACGTTGTTGAACTCTTCGAGAGATACAAATGCCCTGAAGTTCACGTAATCGGAAAGTCTGTTGGTCATGGAATAGACTCGCATGTAAGCTAATTTTTTATCTTAATTTACTTGTTCGAGTATTATATTTATTTGTTTTATTAATTATTGATTTTTTTACAAGATTAATGTATCTGTAAATGGAATACCAGTTTTAAACTCGACCATATTTAAATTGATGAATATCTGGGAAGAAACGAGCTATCAGCTGGAACTCCGTCAAACTGACTCGGTTTGCGCTACGCAAGAGTATACGAGTTTAAAAGATCGAAAGAGTCCAGCTTATAAACTTACTTTCAATCCTGACATTCCCTTGCCGCGCGACGCCGAAAAGCCACTCATACCAGTGGCCGTCATACGAGAAGAGGGTATTAATGGTGATAGAGAAATGGCAGCTTCTTTGATTTCAGCTGGATTTGAAGTGTGGGATGTTACGATGCAAGATTTATTAAATAATCAAGTGACACTGGACAAATTTAAAGGCATAATTTTCCCGGGTGGTTTCAGTTATGCTGGTAAAATTAATTTTTTGACTATTTTTGTTCAAAGACTAGTTTTTAAATATTGAGACATACAACTAATGTTTACTTATAGATGTTCTTGGCTCTGCAAAGGGTTGGGCGGCTAGTCTTCGTTTCCACCCATCTTTACAGAATCAACTGCGAGATTTTATAGCTCGACCGGATACTTTTAGTTTGGGAGTTTGTAATGGATGTCAACTTATGAGTCTATTGGGATGGATCGGCGGTTCTGAAGATGGTTGGTATCTATTTTTAAAATAATTAAATATCTACGTTATGCAACTAGTGCCCGAAACGAAAAAAAAACCTTCACAAGTCGAGTTTTTCACCATCAAAAAGCTCGTGTATGAATTCTGTTTCGTGTAAATTTTACGTATAGTATTTTTTAACACGCTATGCGCGAATTTTAATAAGAAAAGTGTTTGAATACTTTTAACTTTATATTACAGGAGAACCCAATGTCGTCCTTGATCATAATAATTCTGGACGTTTCGAATGCCGATGGACTACTGTCAAAATAGAAAATACGCCAGCAATCATGTTGCAAGGTATGGAAGGCAGCGTTTTTGGTGTATGGGTAGCCCACGGGGAAGGTAAATTTACCTTCCGAAATAATGACATCTTAGAAAAATTGAAAGAACAAAATTGCTTGGCAATCAAGTACACTGATGATGATGGAAAACCAACTGAAAAATATCCTATGAATCCCAATGGCAGTATCGGTATGTATCAAAGCTACCTTTTTTGCTAATCAATTTTTATTACATACGTACTTACTAATACGCATAATTTTCAGAGGGCATTGCGGCTATATGTTCTACGGATGGGCGTCATTTAGCTATGATGCCTCATCCTGAAAGGTGTACTCTAGCTTGGCAACTACCATGGGTGCCTGCCAATTGGGAATATAAGAATTCTCCGTGGCAAAGGATGTTCCAAAACGCTTATGACTGGTGTTCACTTCAAGAATGAAATTGCATATATTAGTACTCATAAGACACGACGATTAATATTTAATCAAGGATTATTTAGTAACTTTTGTTTATAAAATATAGTTACTTTTATTGTAGTTACTTTTTGGAAATAAAAGTATTGATGTAATAAAAACTGTTAACAGGTCTTGAATATTTGAAATGAAAAAAATACTATTTATCAAGATGTTATTTTCTTCTGATTGGGATCACATATGAAAGCATTAATGAATACATAAAAAAACTTCATTTTCAACTATTTTTATTCACATTTCTTTCAAATTCAACAATAAAATTGTTGTCATTTATTAGTTTTGCCATAAACGTACAATCTTGTCTTTTCCACCTGATGCAACTCTAATACCATCAGGAGCCCAATCAACTGCATAAACCTCATCTCCATGTCCTGGTAAATCACTACACAATTTGTTTTTTCTCATGTCCCAAACTGAAAAAAGTATGTTGAATAATAACTTTGAGTTCAAAAATAGAATTTACAAATAAATTTACCTTTCAATGTAGAATCTGCACTTCCACTAACTAAAAGCCGAGAATCAGCACTCCAGGCAATGGAATAGACTCGTTGAACATGACCTCGTAATGAAGCAATGTATTTACCAGTCTCACCACACCAAACTTTGATTGATTTGTCAAATGATGCTGAAGCAATAATTTTACCATTGGGAGAAAATTTAACATCATTGACTAGTTGCTGATGTCCAACAAGTTGTGCTAAAAAAAAAATTTGAGAGTTCTTTAGTCTGGGAGTAAATTATTTACTGAAAAAAAAAAAAGGAAATTAATTACCAATTGGTTCCTTGGAGTGTTCTGGTTTCCACATTATCAAAGTGTAATCATCAGATGCAGAAACTAGTTTCTCTTCTCCAACTTTTTCATACTGTTCCTTTGCATATGACTTTGGGTTGAAATTGTCATCTTCATTTTTATTTTTTTTTATTCTAAATGATCCTACTCTCAAGACATAATCAACGTTTAAAGCCAGACTATTAACCCAATGTGCATGTTTTTGTAAAGTTCTGCACAGAACTCCCTAAAATAAATCATTGTACTATTGAAAAAAGTATACAAGAATGTGATACTATCAACATAGTTTATCATGAAATATTATACTTACATCTTCTGCTCGCCACACTTTTATCGTCCTGTCTTGAGATGATGAATATATTAATCCTCTACCTCCCCATCGAACACATGTAACACTTTGTGTATGACTTGATAATATCAACAATGTTTTACTCATTACTGTGTCCCATATTCTTAAATCACCATCTTTGGAAGCACTGACAAGCTTTCGACATTGATCATTCTGATGATACGGTTCCCATGCCAAAGATGTTACCCACATTTTGTGACCAACCATGTCTTTGCCCATTTGCTTTCCCGTATCAGCATCCCACAACATAATTCTGCCATTTTTACAAGCTGATGCTACTTTTGTTCCACAAGGTGACCAAGATAAGCATAAAACCCAATGCTTGTGTCCCTGGCACGTATGTTTAGGAGTCTGTGTATAGACATCCCACAGTCTAACAGTTGTGTCTCCTGAACCACTGGCCAGAGTTTCACCATTTGGTGAAAAACTCACAGAAACCACAGCTTCTCTGTGCCCTAAAATTTAAAGGAATTTTTTTTTATCAAGCAAAGAATTATATATTACTGAAACTGTTAAAAGCCATACATACCTTCTAAACTACCAGTACATCTTGTCACCGCTCTAACTTTAAAAAGGGCTTCGGGTTGACAAACGATTTCGAGAATTCTTTCATCACTTTCGCGATTTTTAACACACTCTTGTAAATCATTAAAAATCTGATTGTTGTCAACGTAAAAAGCAAACGGTACCGGCTCTTCTGATTGTTGCAAGAGAGCATTGACGATCGCTTGCAAGTCGTTGACTGTGGCTTTTACTGGCAGATCGATTAAGCCACCTGGTATAGGTTCACCATTGTCGGATTTGAATTTTACTAATATTTGCACGGCAGACATGGCGTGTTCTGTTCTGTTCTGTTTTAAAATTTGAAATTGCAGCGATGCGAAGAACCCTGCGGCACCGGGCACGTGTTCTGATCAGCGTTATGTTGTCAGACAGAAGTCTGCCCATTACACATGGCAGTGCGCAGCCACGCGGACTCAGGAGGAGTCACTCCGGACTTGGACTCGAGACTTTCACGCGTTGTGATTGGCTGACGTTCGATAGTGCCGAGATTCCACTGGCTTTCTTCTGCTGGGACGTTACATGTTGGCTGTTGCTAAGGCTTTAGCTTTGCATTCGTTTGTAATTTGCATCTTCGAATCTTATTCACTGGCAATTATCTCTCTCGTGCTTGTGAATCTCATGACTCATCTCATTAGAAAGCGTTTTTAGATCACTTTGCTGATTCGCTGAAGGCATAACAAACATCGTGTTACGGATACCATAAAATATGGGAAACCAAATCAGTAAAGTTACCTCTTTTTAACGTCGTAACAGTAGACGATCAATAAACACCGTGATGCATTTTGTGCATGAAAAAAAAAAATATTCAAATCTAACTAAATGAATGAAATCAATTTAAAAAACAATCAGTTAACAATGATTGGCTGTTTACAAACGTATTTGAATAATTTCTCACTTTGTCCAAAAAAAAAAGATTAACAAACTGACATGGGGATACATTCTGGCAATATCGAGATCCTTGCTCAAAGCATTCCAAAATTAATTAGGGACGCGGGTAAATTATTTTTTACAATCCAATTTGTAGAAAAGAATAAAGGATTAAATAACTATTTTTTGGACTTGATAAAATTCTGTACTTTTTTATAGCTTACTTATTTACTGTAGCTATATTAAAAAAAATACATCATTCAATAGGTAGAATTGAAAATGTTCAATTCATGTACGCTTGATCACTTGGTGAGGCATTTGCCAGACAAGAATTTTTGCAAGTCGTATTCGAAGCTCGTTTATTTAATTTATTATATTAATTAAATTCTAATTGTTATCGATTTAACGCTGTTCAAGTCCGCCTCTTGGATTTGCTTACATTACAAGTCTTGTAAGTTGCAGGCGATCAAGTAGCGCGATGCATCATGCAAGTTGGCATTGTACTAGAGCTGCATGTGACGAGCGCGGAGCAATGCAGGCAGCCACGCATACTACAGCAGCCTGTCACACAACGGCTATTTGGCCAGCGAGCACTAATTTATTAGCAGCGCTCTATATAGATTCCAGAGTCCAGACAGAGTCTAGCAGTGGCAGTTTGGCTCATGCGCATGAGGCCCCAGCAAAGCAAGGAATTGGCGTGTGCATGTATGTGATTGTGCATGTGTGTGCGTACTGCGTGTTCACCACAGTGGCTTAACTTGCTCGCGGCTCAGGCTCGTTGTTCAGCTTTGACGCTATGTTGCGGTGGTTTTTCGTTCAAGAAAAAGGCGCTCACGGGCGCGTCCTATAATATCGACGCTGCAGCTTGTTTCTTCTAGCGCGCCACAACCATTAAATTTGTGTATATATTTCGGAATTATATACGCGACTTGAGTGTAAGGTACAGAGAGATTCGCGCTTCCGTATTAAATACTTAACGGCAGCGCACCCACATTGAGCCGGCTATAATATTGCGTCCGCGAGTGCAGTTAGCGTTGCAGACCTTTATTGTTGAAGGGGGCCGCTCGCCGCGGCTAAGTGTAACGCGACTCTCTAGCTAGTCGCAACACTCGCAACTCTCACTGTACGCCGAGCTCGTATTAGCGTCGGTCTCGCCGTGTATATGTGAAAATGGCGGACGGCGACATTGATCTTTACGCCGACGATCTCGAGCAAGATTTCGCTCAGGTGAGTAATTCATATAAGGTTTAATCCATCCAGCTATGTTTTTCAGCCTTCGATGCTTTGTGCTTGTATGTTTGTTGTGAGTCTTGCTCTCGCCGATAACTCATTGTCGGTTCGGCAAGCAACCAGTATAAACAAATGAAGGTTACACCGTAAAAATTTCAGCTATGTAGAGTGTTTTCAGTGCATGTTCTAATCTCTTATTCAATATCATGAATGATCTGCACAGGATAATGAGTTTCCCATTAATGTGCCTTGACTTTTTCTTTATCTCTGTGCTATAGTATACTGATACCAACTTTTTTCTATGTTTATTTTCTCACTTCGTTGGGTGAAAAAAAAGTACAAATGCCAAAAAATTGATATTAACATTAATAGGTACAGGGAGAATTTGCTGGTGATGGAGTTGATCTCTATGATGATGTCATAGCTTCATCTCAAGGAAACAATGAAAGAGGAGCTTCAGAAAGTAGCGAACGAGGAGATAGGGAAAGTAGAGAAACTGTCAACGAGGAAACCAATGGTAGTGCTCCATACCATCAACTTGGTAATAACATACAGCCTAATCAAGTTGGTAGGAGACATCAATTGTATGTTGGAAATCTGACTTGGGTAAGAATATTTATCCTAATGATCAACTCTTTATGTTTTTTTTAACAACGTTTAATCGATTGAATTTTAACATCCTACAGTGGACGAGTGATCAAGATATTGCTGATGCTATTAGCAATGTAGGGGTCCCTGATTTTCTAGAGGTTAAATTTTTTGAAAATCGAGCCAATGGTAGATCCAAAGGATTTTGCGTCATTTCTTTGGGATCTGAACAAAGTATAAGGCATGTTATGGAGAGATTGCCTAAAAAAGAACTACATGGGCAAAATCCTGTTGTTACATACCCTAGTAAACAGGCTTTAAATCAATTTGAATCTCAATGCAAGTCAAGACCTACACCATCTCCACAACAAGGTCAAGGCGGTCAAAGACCACACAATGCCCATCATAATGCACCACCACCACATGGTCAACATCCACATGGACAGCATCCACAACATGGACAACAAAATCATGGACCACGGATGATGATGGGTCCTCCTCAAGGACAGATGCGACCTGGACCAAGAATGTCTGGAGGACCTCCGGGCATGGGACCAGGACCAGGTGGACCACCTCAACAAGGACCTCCACGAATGCATGGATCACCAATGGGACCTGGCCCTGGAGGACAGCATCCCATGCATCATCCTAATCAAGGTCCACCACCACCTGGTTATGGACAACAGGGACCATGGAATGGTCCAAGACCAAATGGTCCTCCGGGACCTCCTAGAGGTCAGCCTGGCCCTGGAGGCCCTCCGCCACCTCAGCAAGGACCACCACCACCTGGACAAGGAAGACCACCTGGAATGGTAGATAATCAGTATTTTCTTCGCAAATTGTTGACTTTTTGGATAATTATTTATATATTAACATAATGAATGATTTCATAGTATGGGCCTCATGGTGGACCCCCACCACCAGGACAGGGAATGCCACGAGCTCCACCTGGTCATCCTGGTGGCCCACCTGGTGCTGATCCACGTGCTGCTCCACCTCGTCCAGGGGATTGGAACAGGCCTCCAGGTGAGTTATTTTTGTATTATTTTTAACTTTTAAGAGCAGTATTTCAGAATTTTTTACCTCAATATACTCATTCTGATGGCTGATCGAATTGGACACATTGTGAATGTAGAATTTGTTACAGTGTACTGTAATAAACAAACAAAATAATTAATAGCTCTATTTCATAATTTAATTTTGAAGTAGAAGGTTTTATTTCCACTAAACCTTGAGCTTAATTGAATATAATTTATAAACATAGAAGAAAATAACTAATACTTTGCTCTTTGTAAATTAAAATTTTTTTAATGATTGAAAAAAAATACATGTAAAATACATATAATTTGAAATTTTACTTGTAAACAGCAATACTTGTTATAAAATTTTCTTATTGGTTTATGTATATTATATTTAATTAAAAATACTAAGTAAAAGTAAGGCAAAAAATAAATCAGAGTACTATTTATCATCTGTCAGGCCCAGGCGGACCCCCACCAGGTCACGGAGGTCCTCCTCAGGGACCACCTCAAGGACCTCCTGGTGGACCAGCGCCTCATGTCAATCCTGCATTCTTTCCACAAGGTCCACCGCATCCTGGTCAACATCCTGGAGGCCCACCACCAGGACCACCTGGACCAATTCATGGTCCTCCTCATGGTCCACCCCATGGGCCACCTCATGGACCACCACATGCGCAACCTCATGGTCCAGCTCATGGGCCCCCACCGCCACATGCACCTCCACATGCCTATGGATCACTAGCAACACAAGTAAATTCATTTAATATAACAAAATAGTGTTCAGAGTCAGTCATATTTGATTAGAATTCGCAAAAATAATTTTCAAAATTGCTACTAAACATTTTTCTTAAAACCCTTGTGAATACCTTTTTCGTCGTAGTTTCTGAACATTCATAGAATTTTCAGTAGAATTTTTTAAAACCTTATCAACAGTAGCTTTGATCAGTTTATATAAGTAATAATAATAATAATGATAATAATACTAATAATAATAATATAGCATTCATATTAATATTTTATGTAAATAATGATAAAATTAACAATAATTGTAATACATTTTAGCCTCCGTACGGAGCACCGGGTCCAGACCATCGTGCAGATGGACCTCCACCTTTATCTGAGCAAGAAATCGAAGAAATCATGGGACGTAACAGAACGGTATCATCGTCGGCTATAGCTCGAGCGGTATCAGATGCTGCTGCTGGTGAATATGCCAGTGCCATCGAGACCCTAGTGACTGCTATATCATTGATAAAACAATCCAAAGTAGCAGCTGATGACCGATGTAAAATACTCATCAGTTCTCTTCAAGACACTTTAAGAGGTGTCGAAACAAAGAGTTACGGATCTGCTCGTAGAGGTAATTGGAAAACTAAATTAAAAATTCAAGCAGGAATTCATACTTATAAAATTAAATTGTTGTTTTAGAACGTTCGAGATCCCGAGACAGAGATCGAAGCCATAGACGTCGACGGGATCGTTCTCGAAGCCGGGAACGCGAGTACAGAGAGCGCAGCAGAGAAAGAGATCGTGATCGTGATCGTGAACGCGACAGGGACAGGGACCGTGAAAGGGAGCGCTATTACAATGAGTCATACCCAAGGGAGCGCTCGCGTAGCAGAGAACGCGATCGTGAACGCGACAGGGAGTACAGAGAACGTAGCCGAGAGGAGAGGTAAGAAAGCCACATTACATCAGCATTCTATAGAATGCTTATGTCTTGAACCTATACTTATACATAATCTCACGCTCGTTTGTTATTTGTCAATTGATCTACGATATTGATCATAAAACAAGGGATAGACTTGATTTTTATTAATGAATGTGTCCATCTCTTGGTAACAATGAGTGCTTAGTACTTAAGACGTGTAGAAGAATGCGTGCGATTAAGATGAATGAAATCAATATGTAATTATTGAGCGAGACAGGCTGTTTTTGCGATGTAATCGCAGTTTGTGTAAAAGCATCGGTAAGCACTAACATACTTATGATGTTATTTTAAATTATGTCTATGTTATTTCAAACAAAACTTGTTGACGCTTTTTTTGTCAACCAAGTATTATGTGTTCTTATTAACTGCAACCATACTTTTTCGCTGTCGTGAAAAGTAATGAGTTGTGCGTTGAAAACAAGAAACATGTTCTGAATTTTAAAGGCGTCTTAAACTATATTATTGACAAATTTTAAAAAAATTTTCAATTTTTAAATCGAAATTTTTTTCTAATTGACAATGTTTTTATAACATTGTCGTTATTACAGTTTCGATTTCAATTTGTACACATTTTCATCGATCTCCGTAGAATAAGTAATCAATAATCTTAAGAGATTTTTTTGAGCGTTACATAGTTTTGTTTGCTGCAATTAATTTTGTTCATGATTCACTTCTTCAATAGGCTGATGATTTGACAATGAAAATCTGTGATATTCTACATAATGTAAAGATCTTATGTATATACAAATATTTATAACTTCCATAAATTGATTACGTTTCCGTATCGTTTTACAATAAAAATTAATCTAAATTGCAATGCTCATCTAGTTGCTTGACTATAAAAAGAATCTTCAGAATTAAGTATTGACCTTTTCAGCTAAATATTGATATAAATACTTTTACTACAAGGTTTATCTTTGATTATTGGAAAGCTTTAATATTTTTCTAAACATTAATTATGAGCCTGAAAGGGTTGAAACATTCCACAAAATTAATTAAATTGACGATGAGTATATAGAATTAAGAATATTGAATGTCAATTTAACGACAAGTAAACCCTTTAACTGTATCAATCGGATTAAGTATCCGTCGATGAAAAACTGAATAAATTTTTATAAATATCACAGCAAATTTTTGCTTGAAAGGACGTTATTACATAAGTTACTTTTAATACAAACATTAAATAAGGAAAAATGCCGCGTTTTAGCGGTTAGTATAGTTAGATTTGTGTAATTCATAAATTTTAAGCTTTAATTACCAGAAGCATCTTAGCCTGGTCTATTGTATGTAATGTTAACATAAAAATATGAATTTTTCATTAGTACAACACGTTCATCCACCAGGCCAAGAGTTAAGGAAGAAGTGCCCGAGGCGGCACCCGTTTCATCTTCCAAACCATCTAGGTAAACATGAATTTATTTTCATTTATTATATATAAATGCATGTAACATATATTTATTAAAAAAGTGAAATTATATATAAAATATATCTAACATGATGAAAAAATCAGCTCAAAAGCAGAATTTTTGAAAAATGTGAAAGGCCAAAATGAAATGCCTTATCGAATTTTCATTGTATTACATTATACTTGTAATTATAGTATAAAATTTATATTTTGGCTTCAAAGTTGAAAACCTTATATTGTTGCGTATTTTCCATGCCCGGTACAAAAACCTTTTCAGGATACAATAAGTAGTCTTATTAAAATAGTTTAATTTTTTCACATGAATTATCTTGTAGATAAAATGATATTTCGAGTCTTTTAGTGTGATAAATGAATTTGTAACAAGAATTTTGTAAAAATGAACTTATTGTAGAATTTCTATGAGTTATTCTCAAATTAACTATGGATGTTTTATTGCTTCAGCATACGCATAAAAAACTATTCAAAAATTTCAAATCTGAGTAATTTTTTTTACAATTAAATTAGTTGAATATTTTGAGAATAACGTTAAATGTAATTTTTATTCAATGTACACATTATATTTATGTTCAGGTCAGAAATGTAGTAAATTTATTAATATTTTATAATCACAATTCTAATAACAATCAACGACAATTAATATTGTTGAACTTAAAAAGTTTTTTTTTGATAAAAAAATGTTTATACCTATAATTGAGAACAAAAAAATTACATGAGACAATTTATTCAATATTAAAACAATATCAAAGTTACATATGTATTTTTACAAAACTATTGTTATACTTAATAAAAATACATATGTTACTGCGGTACGATTATATCCAATAAATTTAAAGAAAATTTTTTATTCAACGACTAAAAGATGTGATTCAAATCTTTAATCTACATAAAGAAATACATCAAAAACCTGTAAAAGGTAAAATTGTCTGTAAAATATTGTTTCGATACTTGTTGTCATAGGTATTACGACGAGCGCTACAGAGAACGAGATCGTGAGCGAGAACGTGATGGAACTAGTCGGCGTGGTGCTGAACGTGAAAGAGAACCAGAGCGCGAACGAGAACGAGAACGGGATCGGGAGAGAGCTGACTCATCTCATCGCTCCAGACACTGAAAAAATGAAATTTTCTTCGTCAATTCTGTTGTCATAACAATTGTGTAATCAAACAAATTGTGTCACTGTGAGAGCTGCAGACACAACAGCATAAGAACAAATAGCCAATTACAATAAGGATGACTCGCAAGACTAAACGCAATGGATCAATCTGCAACCGACGTTCATGATGACAGAAAAGTGACAAAAATATTCTATGAAAAATAAAGAATGACTGCTCTACAAAAAAGAAGCATATGAGGCTGACCAGTTGGATGACATAAATAACTTTGAATTATATTAATTAAATAATAGTTTATACACATACTCAAGCAATGAATTTCACTATTATAATTGATTATTATATATAAATATGTATAATGGTCTATTCTTTTTTTTAATTATTGTGGCATGTTTTAAACCTTTTTAACATGCGTCATGTTAGATGACTAAATACTTAATCTTACCGCAATCTTTTTTATTATTCAAGAGAATAAGGATTATTACCTAGTTAAATTAAAGAAGTATGATTAAAAAAGAACAAACCTCTGGATTTTGTATGTGATCTAACCTTTATGCCTACATATGATCAAACGAAGTTTTTCTGACACCACAACAAATGGTGAGTATGTGAGTGCTTTATTTTAAATATATATCTATAATTTTTTAGTCTTATTTGTACCAATACATAATATAATAATACTTATAAAATAATTTTATTCTTAGTGGCGAGAATGCTAAAGAGTGGGAAATCATTTAGTTTTATGAACTTTTTAAGAGGATTTAGCATTATTTTAAGTTTTCAAATTTAATAGGTGGTTTCATAAGTACGATTTTAGATAGAGATGAACATAAAATTAATTGTATTTTGAAAAAAAAAACTGTTTGCAAATTTCTTATGATCCAATTTAGTGTTGACAATGACTGGTAAATTCATAATTTGTATTCATTGGTAAATTATACATTTGCTTGTTTAATAATATAAAATTGATTTTTTCTTTTGGGTTTCGAGTAGAACAAAATTAAAAACCTAACAAGTTCCTGGTCATGAAATTCCAATAGTTATAAGCAACCATATATAACAGAATATAACACCTGAGCAAATAATTTAGTTACCTATTCTTAAATATTTTTGAATCAATCAACATACTGTTGAATAAATAGTTCATAATTATTATTGTAAACTATTGTATCACTTAATTTGATTTAGCTATAATTATAGAAATGCGAAAAATTTTCGATACATCGTAAAACGTGAAGTACCAAGTTCAATTAGTTGATAATTTAAACTATTGCCCCTTGAAGAATTAAAAAATTTAAAAATAATTTTTTGTGCGAGTTGAATTGCTGAAATGTTAATAAAACATTACGGAGCATTTTTTAAGCGTATCATCAGTCAAGAAAAAGAAAGGATTTACTTCAAAATATTTTGCTGTCAATGTTTTGATCAATATCCAAATTTTTAAAACAATGTGCTGTTCATTAAGTGTCACTCAGGTGACACAATCCTTTCAAACCTTATGCATTTCATTGTTTTACATGTTCGAGACATTTAATGATTAATTTGTAATTCATTTGCTACTGAAATTTAAAGTATTTTATATATTTTTTAAGGACGTATTTTTATAATTTTTTTTTTCATTCCGTTTGATTGATGTCGAAACTGTCTTTGTTGAAAGTTGCGTCTAATTTCTCGTTCCTGTCCATGTTCGTGAACAACGAGAAAAACTACAAATCTGTCAATAGTATTTTATGAAAAAAATTTTTATTATAATTGTCGAACTTCAATTGTAAAATTATGTAGATTAAAATATATAATTCAAATTTTTATTAACTATTAACTTTTTTAACTTTCTGCAGTATTTTTTAATTTATAAATCATAATTAATTTCATTTCAATATCTAATCATTTCAAAAATATCTGGAGAAAGTTTTCGATCGAAAATAAAAAAATTGTATGATTTTGGCGTAATTTCCATGTAACATTGGCACTAGTAAACGGTTTATCAAAATTATCGCCTTGTATTGTAACAATTTTATAAAATTGATTATACGTTCTGTAAATATGTGGCTGCTTCGTATAAATGCATGCCGTTGTATAATTTGAAAATTTTCTTATTTTTTTTATGAATGTAAACGATTCATAATAAACACAACGAACGTGTATCGATATTGAGCATGAAAGTGTAAAAACGATCTTATGTCGCGCGCGTTCAACGTGATGCTTGCGAGGCTTTTATATAAAATGTATTTTATTTTCGATTCTATTATTGCGTAATATTGTGTCGTGATGAAGCTTATCTGTTTTTTGTGAGCTTGTATTACCTACTTTTGTAGGATTTATTAAGAAAAATTCGCAACGCATCGAATAATATTTTTCACTTTCAATCTAAACGACTTCGAGATGATTGTAGTAGAAGTATTTAAAAAAAAAATGTTATGATGACCAATGGAAATGATTTGATTACAATATTTTTTTCAATCTAAATATAAATATTTTTACTGCAATCATCTTTCTGAGAGCAATGATAAAAACTTCAGAGATTTGTACCTTTACCTCAAGTGAAATCGTATACTTACACTTTTCCCATTGTACAAACACAAATGTGAAACTTTATTTTTTAATTTACTAGGTTGAAGGAATGTTCCCATTTGAACTTATCGAATTTTAATTTTCTATTTCTCAACAGTTCTTTTATAAAATACAAAGATAATGTTCTTATAACTCAATTTTTTTTGCCACAGTAGGTGGCCAGTCGCGTTAAAACAGAAAAAAATCTTTCTTGTTTAAAAAATAATTTTAAAAAAATTGTACAAATTGAAAATTCTGATGTACTTTCAACTACTTCTTAAATCGAAGTATTTACAAATCTTTTCTACTTTTTGAAAAATGAAACAAATTTGATAATTTGGATTAATATATGATTAGTGATAAAAAGTGTCATGAAATTTCAATACGTTGAAAATGCATTGGTTTCTAAACTAAAACAAACGCATTTATTAGTTCGTCAATAATCGTGCAGCCCATCGTGTAACATTTACACAAATTTCAAAATATTATATTTTATACATTTTTGATCTTTTCTCTCGATTGAATGCGTCGGACACCAATTTCTTCACTGTCTTTTAATTAACACAAAACACTATGAAAACTGTCAACGAGCTGCCATTATTTTATACCAATATTCTAATTTATGTACTGAGGCCAATTCTTTTTACCGAAAAAATATATTTAATTAATTTACAGGCAAACCTTATTATATATTAGGAAAATAGAAAAAATTAAACTATGAATGAATTTTGAGCTAATGACCTTATTTAATTTGTACATAAAAGTATATTAGAATTAATATTTTCGATCATTGTAGATAATTGTCTGTATACATTCACAGACTATTATTTATGAATATGATCACGGGCATAGGAAATACGTTTATCCGAGGATTAATCTCCTCTATACATTTTAAGGAAAATTTAGAAGATGGTAGATGAAAGAATAGGAGCTGTGATTTGAAATCATAAGCAAATTAATGAATGTCACAATGTTTTTTATTTATATTAAGAGAATGATATACGAGAGTTTAAATATGAAAAAATTTAGGTTTATATAAAGTAGCATTATATTTTACCTGAGTCTTATTAATAGTTGGCTTTGTATCTGATACTTTTTGTTTGTTCTGACTTGAAAAGATACAAAAAGTGAATGGAATACTTGTCCAAGTTTATCAAAAAATTTATGGAAGAGTCAGATTTTTGAAAGTTGATATTAATATTTTAATTTGTAAATACTTATAAAAACATGCGTTCAGTTCAGTTTTCCAGATCGCACAAAAGAGACTGAATTATAATAATTGTAAATATAATTAAATCAGTCAATCAATACATTATACATTACATTTGCGTCTTTACCTGAATTTGTACCAAAAAAGTTAAATTACTGGTATAATGATAAGATTTCCAAATCACCTGTACATGCATACATTATTAGTATTGAACGAATCAATAAATAAAAGTTTAATACTTTCGCAAGTGATTTTCGAAGACATTCTATTTTATTATTAAATTTACAAAATCTGAAAAAAACATTTCCATGAATTGAACAAACATGAGTTCAGTTAAAAAAAAGAATGTTATTGTTTTTGAACTTATGATTACACGCTTTTAGACTAGATCAGTAAATATTTCAAAAAGTGTTATAACTCTCTGCTGGTTTGAAACACACGTACACATACACGTATCAGTCTTTTCTTCACTTATTGTCCGTGTAGATTGCATTTCGTAATTTTTTTTTGAACCATACAATTAACATGATAAGCATGACCACAGGGAAACAATGCAATTCCATTATTTCCTAATAGAACCGGCGTTTGCAAAGATAAAGTGCAGCAAGGACACATAGACGAGGTAAGATTGTATCTCATACCCCAATGATGAGGTCCAGAACCCAACGATTCTGTACTTACGGATTTTCCAGTATCGTTATTAATAGCCAGAATTATTTTTGGTATCATCTTGATTAAAAAGAAAAACATTTAATTAGTGATCATTAGCAATAAAATTATATGGCCAATTCTCAGTGAAATTGAATAGCCTAGAAGGTTTATTTGATAACATGAAGATCTTGCGTTGTTTTTGATACCGCGCAAATTCCTACGTTTCTTTCGAATTTTCGGGACTATCTATTACTCTTTTTCAGAAGTCCAAATTTGGAAATTTTCCAAATTTCCTATTTATTGAGAATATTTAAAAAATTCTTAGCTTAGCATAGTTACTTATAAAAAAACGCAATTGAGCTTTTTTAATGATAAATGATTTGGTTACTCTATAGAAGCTTGTTGTATTAGTTATATAAAAAACGTCGCAAAAACGTTATTTGCATATTCTTTGATACTTTCGGATTTTTTTAGGCCGTTAGCTTTTAAGCCTATTACACAAATTTGCAGTTATTAGATGAATTTTGAGGAAGCTCGAATAGATTTTGAGTTTTGTGCTTCTTTCTAATGTTATAAGCTCTTAATCAGATCAGTTTAAAGTAATTTTTTTCCCAAAAATTTGGTCAATGTTCAGAAAAAAGCTCTATTCCGTTTTTTCTCTAATTTACTATGCTAAAGCAGGAATTTTTTAAATATTCACAATAAGTATGAATTTTGGAAAATGCCAACTTTGGACATCTGAAAAAGGGTAATAGACAGCCCACAAATTTTACTAAAATTTTCGTAATTGTGTGGCACCATAAACAAGAAGTTTTGTAAAAAAAGTATATTTTGGTCATCGATTTCAGAGAATCGGTCATTGCTGTAAATATTTCCGACAATATTTTATTACCTCTGGTGCAGAAATGGTATTATGTTCTACTTTTGAATGATTGAGCTCAACTGGATGTTTTACACCATGACAATGTAGTAAGGTAGAAAATATTATTGATTTATAAACGCTATAAAAATAAATCGATATGAGTGTTTTATAAATTACATAAAAAATAAGAGAATTCATTAACTTACTTTTCATTAAAAACTGCTCGAGGTATGTTTTGGTGAATTTTTCGTAAAAATTCCATGGCATTTTTAGGTCCATGCTTTACAATAATATGGTTCATAAGGCCATGCCAATCTATATTTAAATTCTTTGAAATACTATGCTCTAAAAGGTAAGGTTTGTTGCAATTTACACAAAACCCATTCATAATTCTTTCAAAGCATTGACTTGTAACTTTCCATTGGTGCTGATCAAGCCTCGGTATTATTGCCGAAAGTATAAAAGAGTCCCAAACTAATAAAGAATGTCTCAAAAAATCGTCCGATATTCGATACTTCATGTGGTCAATCAGAGACAAATATTCTGTCCATAAGTAAGGTACATGATCACATATTTGCAGACAAATGATATCCAAATGAGCCTTCATTAATTTCTCTAACATTACTTTACCAAACTCAAAAAAAGTTGGTGTTTGGGACTTATAATCTTGAATATTAAAGGCTGGATAAGGATGACCACAGTTACATTCTGTATAATTTGATGAATGGATGTCAATAAATATTTTGACTAGCAGTTTCAACACGTTTTCATTTTTTATTTTACCCAGGTAATTAATAGATATATTTTCTATTAAATTGTGGTAGTAATTGATTTCAGCTGAACGAATGATTTCACATAAATATTGCTTCAAGTCGTTAGATTCTTCATACTTTTGTTTGAGATTATTTAAAGTTTCAATAAATAGTTTAATCATCTCTTCCAAATGTTTTTCTGAAGTATTAGACTTAATTTCTGTGATTACTGAAAGATATATAGATTCCAAATCGGTTTGTAGATTTTTTATAGTAGTCTTAAAAATAGAAGCTTTGTGTTGTTCATTTTGCTTTGCTGCATCGTTGTTTTTAATTTCACTCAAACTATTTTCGAAATCAGTATGTATATCATTATTTTTGGTATGCTTGTTTGTGTTTGTTGCGTTTGATGATTCATTTAAATTAAATGAAATCACTGAATCATCTGTATCAACTATACTTGAAATATTTTCAAATCTTGTTAAGGATCTTGAATTTGATTCATTGCTCAAATCTTGAGTACTATTATTAACTATAACTATGCCAGATTCTAGTTTAGTAGGCTGAATATTGTATTTTGATTTAATATGAGATATTAATGATTTTAGTATCTTTGATACATTTGAATTTTCCTTTATGTTCATGATATCGCAAGACTCTTCCAAAACTGAATTTATGAGCTGCAACTTGAAAATTTGACACATATTTAAGCATTCATTGAATAGCTTTTTTTCAAACAGTTTTATAAGTAAAAAATCAATCGACTCAAGAGTAAGACAATGAAAAACTCCTGAAGACGTTATTAAATAAACTTTATCACAAATTATCTGAGCCATTTTTATATCTGGAAATTCATCATTCCACAGTAAAACTTTAGCATTTTCTGGATCTAAAATATATAGACCATTGGATGTGTATGAAAATAAGTACTTATTGGCAATAACAGAAAGTTGTGTAAAGTTAATTGATTGCTTAGGCCAAGGTTTATCCCTTTTTCTCAATTTGAAAACTTTATTTATCGATGGTTTAAAAATCGGAATTGGAGGAAGTGCTAGAGCTTCTCTAAATTGATGTGTTCTAACTACATCTCCCACAGCTGTTACTTCCCAAATTCTTGAGCCAGGACGAGCACAAAAAATTTTAACAAGATTCTCTTCATCGCTACCACCTTCATTGTCTTTATCATTGTGTAAATTGAATAACGATTCTTCATTTTCTGTTTTTGCATCAAAATTAGTATTTTGATTGCTAATATGTAAGATGCAAGCTCCAAATTCTCCTATTCTTAACTTGTTTCCAATAGGTTTATATTCTTCTTGAATAGTATCACAAATATAACAGCGTTGTAAAGTGGAAATAAGAAGAAAACCATTTTCAAAACTCATTTGAACAATTTTTGAATCTAGATTCATCAAAACGGAGCTTGGTTCGTTGAACATTTCTCCAACCTAAATATTTATAAAAATTACATTTTAGTATAGTACATTCATGTTCATTTAACTATACGTTGAATTTACCAGGAAAGTTGTAACAGTAGTAATAGATATCTTTCCAGTTTCATCGCCTGCATAGACTTCTGTACTATTATCATTCCAACAAAGACAAGTTATTTTTTGTCCAAAGTGTTCACGAGATACAGGCAGAGTTTTAAATCTTGGTTTTAATAAAATTAAAATTATATTTCCTGTTACTGTAGCTATTGCTATAGCTTTTTCATTTGGTGAAATTTGTGCTCTATACACAGCTCCTCCCTAAAAATTAAAATTTATAATTTATAATACCAAAAATGGAAAATCAATCTTTTAGTTAGCTGGCTAATGAAAATTAATATTTACTGTTTGTGGGATTACTCTGTCAAAAAGACATGGGTCTCTTAAAAAACAGTATAAACTTCCACTGGTTGCACCTAGGACAATGTAATTTTTTGACACAGTCATGCATGTATACTGAAAAAAAAAGAATTCAATTGGATGTATGAAACCATTTGATTGACACTATAAAATTATTATATAACAAATACTTGTATTCTTTTTGTGCCAGTCAAAGGAGTATAAAGCAAAGAATTTAACTCTTGCCATTCTGTAAGTACATAAGTAATATCTAACGGTTCCATTTCTGATTACTGTCAAACAATAATCTATAATTTTCTCACTTTAAAATTTTATATTCTTATGTAAATAAAATCATTCAGTTTTTTCTCAGATAATCCATGTTCCACCATTGTCGTACATGTAAAGCATATTCAATAAATAAAAAATTATCTGAAAGAATTGAAAGTGATCTAGTATTTTTTAATCCTAATTTTAACAAAGGTTTTCAACAACGCTACATGATTCACAATGTAAAAAAATTTCAGCATCCACTGTGTTGTTTCGGGTTCTATTGGCACTGTAGATGCAATACTCATTTGATGTCAACATACTTGAGTGAATATTCACACTTTAAACGCCATCTAACGGTGATTATTTGCAATTATTTTGACATATATCTATATAATAACAATTTACTTAGCTGCATTCATCATATAATAATTACTAAAATTATAGATTGAAATATACTGAAAAATTGAAGAAAAGAATTACCACTTTCGCATCTCTCAACATAAAAAAATATCCCTTAACACATAGAAACTTTAGGTAAATTCTTTTTTCTTAATTAAAAGATGCGCGATAAATAAGTGTTTGAAATATTATCAAGTATAAAATATTGAATGGTTTTATTTGTGAACCCTGGTATTTTACAGTTAATTTTAAATAACTTGTAGCCAATCGACATTTACATTGCTATTAATAAGTACACAAATTATTTTATAAAGATAACACTTAATACAAAATACAACATTTATTACAATCAATGATGGAACTTTGTCAAAAATACAAATGGAATAAGTTTCAACTAAGAAAATGAAAAAAAATTTTTAATTTACATGAAAAAGTATTTTATCATATAATACTGGTAACAAATTCTCACGCCACAAATTGGAAAATCATAAGATAATAATTAATTTAACAAATGGCAAGCAAGATAAGTTGCCTTTTTTTCATCAACAAAGATTGAATTATTTTTTTCGTAAAACGTAGAATTTCTTACGTTAAAAGTCTATTATATAAATATTCATTTCAAAAAATTCTTTTGCTATACTAATTTAAAATTTTAATTTAAAAATTTTCAAAATGTAGTGAATTTCAACAGAGGCCTTGCAATCATTTCAGGTTGCCTATCGTCTGTTGCTTCGATTGCGATAGTATTGACATTTGCATAAAGCGGCTGCAGCCAATCAGGCGATGTTTTGAATGAAGCCGAGTTGGTTTTGATGCACCTTGGAACATCGTAGTCATTTTGAGATCCAGAGTGAGACATCGGATTTGCCTTCCTCAATTGTACTAAATTCATATCAAGCTCACGTGACAGCCGTTTTTCCATATCACGAATTTTCGACGGTCGAACTAAATGTTCGCTGGGAGATGGACATTGAGTTTCCACACTCTCGTACTTTACCGGGGATGGTGCTTTTTCCTGCACGTTGAGCTGATATCATAAAACCATGCCGTTATATTATATGAGAAAATAAAAATTTGATAGTAAGTTACAATGAGTAACAACGAACCTTGGATGTCGGGGGAGCAACCTCATGATGATCAAATCGTTCCAAGGCATCAATTCTGGCATATTCTTCGTCTGTGTTTCTAGATCTCCTCTTTTGTCCGTAAATAGGTTTAACAGTAGCAGTCGCGACATTATCAAAGAGTCCTTGATGTTGTTCTTGTCTAGGTGCCCTTTGCTGTTGCAATAATTCATTGAACTCTTTCTGCTCCTTGATAAAAGGCAATTGCTCGTTTTGATTGTTAAACTTGCGATCGGAACGCTCGTAAAGGCGCGACATGGTGTTCTGACGGAAAGCATGCAACTCGTCACCAAGGCTCTCACGAGTAGCATAATAGTCACGCGTACCCTTGGGTAAATTTTTGCAGTTCGACGTCTTGCCTTGGCCAGGTTTCCAACGTTTTAACGACGACAGCATCGACTTGAATGTTTTTTTCGCTTTCGTCGGGGTTTTGTCATTCGCACGATTGACAGTCCCGGCATTTTTCACGCTCTTTGCTACACGCTGCTGATGTTGATCTGATAAATGACTGTTTTTTTCCGTATTATCCCAAAAATCAGAGCTTGAATCATCTGAACAGGTTGAGTAAGCATCATTGTCACTCTGTTGTTGCGTTGTTGCATATCTGTGTCGTCGTTATTGGTTAAAAATAGAAAAAACTCATTATGACAAGTTTGAGATATGGTAACATGCATAAAATGAGTAATAGGTGGATATGAACAAACCCGGTAAATGTTGCCGTATAATTATCGAACTTATCGATGGGATTGACATACGATAGGCCGTTGACGGGCACGGGCAATTTAGACGGATGAACTTGACGCGTATCGCGTACGTCGGCAGTCGCAGATGGCCTACAGTTGATGTTTTTGTTATACTTTGGACTTATCAAGTCCCTTTGTTTTTCCAACGAGGCTACCAGTCTTCGGACGAAACTGCTCGATCTTGGACTAAAAAACAAACCTTTAGGGGCTTGCTGTTGCAATTTGTTCTCGCCGCCTGCTGTGGACTCCATCAGGCTACCAAAATTGCTTTCAAAGTTGCGTCGGAGCTGCTCGTCTTCGACGTAGGACCTGCGATTCACGTCGTCAGATCGGACTGCTGCCGGATTCAACGGTTTTCGTTGCTTCGAAAATTCTTGATTCAATGCTGGACGACGCAGTGTGAAAGAGGTCGTCTGCTGTGGGAGTTGATGATGCACGTTGAGTTCGTTATTTCGCCTTTCGAAGGACGCTGCGCGCAGCATGTCCAGTGTCGATTTCGAACGATTCGGTGATGTTATGTGGTTCATTGTTTAATCTTTCTCTATCTCTCTGTCTCTCTCTTTCTTTCTTGCGCGCGTTTTTTTTGTATATAGATATGTATATACTCTAGCCACTGTGACCTAATGATAACTGCAACACAACTGTAGATCTTGACAATTTCAGAAGTTGCGGTTTTTTTAATATCTACAAAAATAACGAGGACGCTTTATATGCGGATCAGTCTGGTTCAATAACAAAAGTTAAATGAGCTACGAATGTTCTTGGCTGATGAAACTTTTATGTATCTGCAGCGAGAAAAAGAGTTGCGAAGTATTCATTTACCCTCAACTTTTTCGCTATTAATAAATTATATTTTCTCAAAGATCCTCGCGTTCACTACTTTTTTTTTTCTGCAATCACTATTGCAACGAGCAGGTGCGTTTCACTTGTTAATTCTAAACAATCTGAAACATTTTTTGTTGATATTGTTGTCAGGCGGCGCGCACTACGTAAACTGAAAATCAGCTAGTACTTAAGTCTAGAGAAATACTAATGAGAACTGCTGCTATGGGGCTCTATTGACGTAATAATGATCGGTATATATGTATACAAACAACATTAATTCGATTGTATAAGCATGTACGAATATTTCGATATGACAAGATACGCTTCAACAACATATTGTAAACATGTGAAATCAGTTCTTTTCTTGCTTTATTTTGAAACCAAGCTATGCAAATTGAGAAGATGCCGAAGCCGGACTGAAATAATTATTTTCGACAACAATTTTTTAATAATTCCACAGAATATTTTTTTAATGAAAGCATGGATGTCATCTTTCTTTAGCTTTTTCAAAATTTTTATACCTTTTTAGAAACGTGTAAGTGGAAATTTCCGAAAATTTATTTAATTTTACCTAGACTTTATTCATTCATTTTTATTATCAGAATCATCATAGAATCATATGAGCATATATTTTTTTCAAGTTTCAAAAACATGTTTGTACATTGGACTCGACATCATTTCAAAATATATACGGAGGATAATCATACTAGTTATCGAATAACCCTAGCATTTAGTCTCTGCGGTTTGACACATTTTTAAAAATACTATGAAACATTTTTATGATATTTTTACTCGACATTAGTATAAAGAGCTTCAAGGTACCTTGCAGAAAACAAAAGGACTTTGAGGTGTTTACTATTGTCATTCCTTCATTTTTATCCGGTCGCAATGATAAGTCATTGGAAATAAGTTAAAAACTTATAAATTATTATTATTATTATTATTTACAATTTATTAACCGACCTTGGGTTGAGATCCCGTCTGGCCGTAAACCTGCACTACTTCGCTAATTTTTTATGCTGAAAGCTCTTCCAGAGTACTTCTAATTGTTTCTAGCTTAGTCGGTTGTTGTTTTTTTAATTGTTGTTAGTTTAATGTATATGAATTAAGACTATTAATTTATTCATACATATTTTATATACGTGATTGACCAGTTTTAACTTCAGGGCATTGAAAATAATACGCGAGAAATTGGTCACGATGCAATTTTTAGTTTTTATTATATTCATTTTGCCCAATACATCTTTAAGCTGATAATTTCCAGTACTTTGCGCTCAAATTAAATTATACATTGATTTACAGTGGAAGTAATCTAATATAAACTTTGTTAAAAAGTCCTAAAGCCGAAATTTTAATACTTTTTACACCTATGTAGCGAAAAAAGAAAGTCTCAGAGCACCGCAGAGCAGAGGCTCAGAGCCTCGGATGATGAATTACACGTGCTCTGAGACTTTCCAGTTTTTCCCTCCTTTGGTGCAAAATATACTATTATTACTCTATTAACGGTGTTCATTACACAGAACTTGACGTTTTCTTTACTTTGTTTATTGTTAAAACCCTAGAGTAATAATATACTATTATTACTCTATAAACGGTGTTCATTACATAGAACTTGACGTTTTCTTGACTTTGTTTATTGTTAAAACCCATACTCGTGCATACTTTATTGACAAATCAACTCGATAAATTTTGCTAGAGAAATGTTCTGATGTACTTGTTTTCACGTTGCACTTATTCATCTTTATGCATCTTTCCTTGAAGTATAATTGAATCTAATATCGAATCTCATTTTCATACATTCACTATTTATACATATAAAAGTTTTAAGCAGTCGCACGTTTCTGGTACACAATATATGAAAGAGTTGAAAATTCAAAAAGTGAACTGAAAAAATTAAATTCAAAGTATGTACTTTTAAAAGTTGAAATTCCATCTTACAATTTTATTCTGCTTTTATGGGTAGAGTATAAATCAATATTTTAATAGTGATTTTTGTTGTTAAGAATATAATGCTGGGCCATTTGGAAGAGACGAACAAGTTTATTTTTGGACTTTCATACTATTTTGTCATTTTCGTTCACTATATTTCGTACTATATTGTCATTTTGTTATTTTCCTATACTTACCCCATAAAAGCAAAATGAAATTTATGAAATGAAAATCTAACTTTGAGCCTAGTCGATGGATCGATGAGAGGGTTGGATAGGGCTACAATGTTTGAAATCGTTATTTTTTAATGTATTCTTTAAGAGTCATAGCTAATGAGAACTTCATTTTTTGGGATTTTCAACTCTTTCATGTTATGATACTTATGTATTTATATATATCTTTTCATTAAACTGAGTTAATTTTAAATTCATTTTTATAATATTCTCACAATTACACTTCTGGAATTACAATGCCGCTGGTTTACAAAATATATAAATATTCATTCAATGAAAAAATCGCTTTAGTTTTTAAAATTTTCTTTGGACTAGTTTGTCGTTACGTTTTCTATGAATCCCATGACGTTGCCGCAACAGAGCGGCGTTTATTCGCACATCAATTTTGGAAACTTTATAACACGCTATTCACCATAGAACTATGTCAATTGCCTAGAATTGGCAAGTTTTGCATTAAATTTTCTCGAATTGGTGGACTTTTCATACGCAATGCATTTATCTCTTTATCTCTCTTCCTTCCTTCTTCGGTAATGGCTAAGTAAGCGCGGAGAGTGGCCGATTCATTGATCGGTTATCAATGTAAATTGTCAATTAATTATTTAGTAGCAGATTCATTTACGGTTTACGCGCAATTCATACATATTTGATTAATTCCTTCTTACTTTTAAAATCTGACGAACTCGTGCACAACACAGATTTACTTGAGTCGGACATCTTTAAAAATTTACCCGATTCTTCCTTTTTTATGTAATTTTGGAAAATTGAAATTAAAAAAGGGTACTGAAAAAAGTTTTGGAAACTTTCTTGGATATTTTCTAAACGAATCCAATATTTTCAAAAAAAAGTTTTTTGCACATTTTTACATATATCTTGTAAAAGATGATTGACAACAGACGACATACTCAACGCATGTAAAGAAGTTTTACTTAAAAAATGAGCTCAATCGAACGTATGTGTCTTGAAATCGACAATTTTGCATATGATTTAATATTTGTGAATGGTGCCATAACTCACTAAAAAAATTGATATTCCAAAAAAGACTGCGCATGAAAAGGAGTTAGGGGTCTTTTTCCAGTTAATATTTTTTATATATATTAAGAAAAATTCATTTCTAACATTATGTGTCAAAATTGTTGTGTTAATTTTTCAAGAACTCTTACTGTAAAAGTATAGCGGAAATACTCATACATATTGTAAGGTAGCATCTATTGTTTACTCTCGCGTGTCCAGGACAATGTACAGTGTTATATCTATAGCAATGCGCTGGGCGAAGAGCTGTCGAGAAAAAAAGTAAAGAAATCATCCGTATCAATTAATCAGTCAATCTCGGTAAATCGCTTACCAACGTATGTACACACAAATACACACACACACACACACACACACACCCTCGCACACTCGAATGTACACGTTGCAGTGCACTAGAAGTAGTCGATGCGTTTACTACGCGATAGATAAGCAAACCAATAAAATAAATTTATTGCGAGAAAAAAAAGGGGAAAAACCAATCTACTCGCTCGATCGATTTTTGAGACCGAATTGAATCTTGGCATGCGTCGACTCCGATGATGATGATGATGATGATGGTGCCTCGCGACGACAGCCGCTGCCACTGCCGCGGCAACTTGGTGTTTTCGCCTGGCTCGATGCCGCTGTCCGATGTCCGACGAGGCCTCTCTCGCGCTCGCATGACAGTCGCTCGTTTCGCTCTCGGCCTCGTCATCGTCTTCGTCGTCGTCTTCGTCATCGAGATCGTTTTCCGGTTCGACGCCGAAGTAGCACTCGCCTGAACCGTATTTCGTGAAATAGTGTACCACAGCGAATTGTATGATAGTAGCGAAGATGAAGCCGAACGAGAGGAAAACGAAAAAGTCCAGGGCCGTTGGATAGGGCACTTTTGGCAGGTCGGTTCGAGCTTCGAGCCCGAGGAATGTCATCGTCAACACCGTTGTGATACCTGCGAGGAGGCTCAAATAAATAATCACTTTTTAACAAAGAGTAGATTGAAAATAACTATGAAAAATAAAATGACAGTTTCTACTGCAGGTAGGCTCACTCGAAGAGGATTAAAAATTAATAAATACTTGAACCAGCTGGCAGTAAGTAAATTTACATAAGTTCAATCGTTCTACATAAGAAAAATTGCATCGTATTTAATTTTAGGAAAGTCTTTAAAATTAAGAAAAAAGCTCAATCGCAGGTTGTTGGTGTGTTGTAAGTTAGCTAAGGTAATATAAATATATAATAAGGGCATGCTCACCAAGTGAAACACGATCGGCAGTGGCCTCCCGATTAAGCCAGAAAGAAACCCAGGAGAGAACAACGAGCAGTGTGCAGGGCCCATAAACTTGAATTAGAAAGTTGCCCATGTGTCGCTTCAGGTGAAAAGAGACGAGTAGCATCGAGTATTCTGCAACGATTGAATCTGCGCGTGAGGTGCGCTTACCTTAATAAATTCCTGCATATCTTTTACGAACTCAATGAATCATCCTTTTCTCAGCTAAACTTACGGTATTCTCAACTACGCTAATTATTCATCACTACATTACGATGTGCGCCAACCTCGGAGTGCTGACCGGATTAATCTACGCATGAGTTATTTACGCATCTATACGTTACTCAACTCCAAGCTCTTCATCTATATACTTAACGTTATCATTTTCAACTTTGATTATAAATGATGAAAATTACTTTAGGTAACTCGAGTAGTTGTCGATCTTATACTCGTGTTAAAGCGACCCTCGCTTCACTTGGTCAAGTTGTATTTTGGTATCTTAAATATTTTAACTAGAGACTATGCGTCGTGAGCCGATGCTGATGAACAAAATTTTTTTAGCATTTTAACTTTATGGTAGGAAAAATCAAGAGATATAGTAGCGCGTTTATGAAAAATTAGTATGGTAGCCAAAACCGTCAGTTATCGTAGTCATGAGCATACAACGCAGCGACGACAAAATGAAAAAAGGGAAAATGTTAAAACAAGTCAAATTTTCGATAGGCAAGATCATTAGAATCAAAGTTTGTGTGTGTGCGTGCATGTGTGGTGGTGTTAATTGTTATTGGCAAAGCTTTTAAATTGATATTCCTGGACTGTTGATGGTGTATTGCCTGATAGGGCAAATTAAATGGTTAAATTCCCTTTGGTTCCTGCTGTTTACCAATGAGAAATATAATTTTAAAAAAATGTAATAACGATAAAAATTTTTACTGCAATCTTGAGCATGGCAAATAATTTCAATTAGAGTTACCGTTTTTTCACCTCTAGTTTTATTTACTTGTACTATCACTCGAAAGTTGCTTTAAATTGTGAATCATATTCATGAATTCATGCATGTGTTTGCAGTATTTCAATTAAAAATTTCTAGCCAGCAGTGAAGACTTTCTTTGCAAACCACTCAAATAAGTTGTATACATCTAAATTTGCATGATGGTTTCGCTCAAATTCTTCTATTCTCACAAAAAAAAGAAAAAAATCTATGTAAAAATACTTTCAGTGATTCTTATGTAGATGCGAGAGTGAGTTTGTATCTAACATTGAAATTATATTGTATCGAACCGCTCGTTTGAAAAGCTTTTAAGAGCTTTCTGAGAGGGAAAAAAGTAAAATGCTTAGCTATATATATATTCTAGAATAAACATGTTACTACATGTAATATTTTCTAAAATGTACTGTTACGCTAAAAAATATTGCAAGGTACGAGATCACGCGCCAGGATGAGCGATTTAATGAGGAAATCGATGCGACATCACGGGAAATTGATCAATTACAGCGTTGATACTGGTTTTTTTTTGCTACATTTAAGCGACGAAAATTGAAACTTACTTTGAGAGAGCGTTGAGTCGGTTTGATTTGCGGTCGGGTTGCCAACGAGATCGAACTGCGACAGCTTCATGTCATGCGCTATGGCCACTTGACGTGCGCTATTCCATCGATAGATCACGTCGCGAGTCGTGTAACCATCTTCCATTCGTGCAAAAGAAACGAAAAACTTGCATATTTTTTCCTGCAGTTTGACTATTAATATTGATCGATAAAAAACAATTTCATTCCTAGTAATTAAATTACTTCAGTTGAGCAATTTAAAATAGCTATTTCAAATAATGATTTCAAATCACAAATGAAATATAACAATTAAAATATCTAGTTAGTTTATAAAGGTTCTATAAGAACGACATTTCAAACGCATTATCTTAACGTGTGAGAGAAAAATTTTGAAATATTTCATGAAAATATTGAAAATTATCGAAAACTAAGGATAAATATTTACGAATGTACGTAATATACATATTACGTTTTGCCAATAGACGCCGAAGTGTCGCGATGTGTAAGTTCACGTTTTTTCGATATGATCGTCAAGTAGTTTAACTCGAAAGTTTACCTGTACATATACTTCCGGATAGTAGCACTTAGAAAGATAAAAGTTCTTTTTAAGGTATCGATTTTTAACTTCATTTTAAGTTCAAAAGTTCGAGAAAAAGTAAACATAATGAAAAACATTGAAATCGTATTTTTTTTCACATTCAAGCGTTTGAGCTAATACATTTTGTATTAGAGACTGATAATTAATTTTTATTACTGCTTATGAACCAATTATGTATGGATATATTATTTATTTTACAATTTGTATCAGCTAGAAAAAGAACGCAACAACGTCCTAATATCGAATTTTTAAAATTTAATTAAAATTTCAATGCTCGTTTTTACTATAATTGTACCTAATTTAAATGCATCAAGTCGGATATCTTAAAATACTTACAACTGCCGAATTTAAGCGGACATCTTTGGGTATCCATTGGAAAATCTTCCAAATTCATCGGGCAAGCAGCTTTAATGGTCAACCTATGGGCGAAATTTATTTTTTAAATAATTTTAAATTTGTAATGAAATTGTATAAAAATGTGCAAACTGCTAATACATTGAGGGCGAAAAGTGGAATTATTGCCATCGGGAAGAGAGCTTGAAGAAATCGTTCGATTGGCAAAAAATGGCGAGTAGCTACTTGACCCACTACTAATAGGCTTATAGTTTGTATTACGAGTATATATGTATAAATATGTACATAATCTTGTTACTATATTAGAGCTAGTTTTTCATTGGTTTTTATGTCCTTGTTCGAATGTACAAAACAAGTTGAAATTCCACGAACGAACAATAAATACATGTTTTCTGTAGTTTAGCGCGATAAGGCACGATGATGAGTGAGACAGACGGGCTCTAGCAATGCTTGCACTTCTTCTCCATGCGCGATTCAAATCCTACTGCAGACAAGCCCATGTGTGCTCGAGGTTACAACGAGGCCAGAGATTTTTGACTTTTCTCTTCTCTTGTGAGTTATATTTGTTTCTTAAGGTGGAAAAGTGTATACGTCAGTGTGTGTGGGACACGTACACGAAGAACATAAAAATTATTTATGAAGGATTTTCGTACCACCAGATCGTTTCCACAAAGAATGATTGCCAAGATTTCGGCAACTTGAAAACTTCACTATGAGATGTAATTTTTCTTGGAAATTCTCTTGATAACTTTATTTGTAATCATTACTCGTTGAAAAAAGTATGAAAAAATTAACTCGTAAAATTCTGCTAGGGCAAGCAAATAAGCGGTAAATGGGCTCAAGTAATGAAAATAAACATACAACAAAGTACAACAACGAATGCTTTAATCAAGAATTCAAGAGTTATTATGCTCATGGCTGATTAACCAGAGCTAAGCGAGAAAAAATAAAATGAAATGATGAAAAATTTAAATCGAATCTTGGATAATTAAATTAAATTTTATAGTAAAATTAATAATTAACTGAAACAGTTTCAATTAGGAACGGACGTGTTGGGCTGACTACTTGGGTCAAAACTTATCTCGAGTCGATCTGAACCGTCGAATACTACAACAAGTGCGAAAGGTAAAACTGATGAATTCGAAGATAGTAAGGGCAATTGCACGAGAGATAGAGAAATAGATTTGTAATTGTTATAGAGCAATGTTACCTCGAGCTGTAGAGTACCCGTCCATCCTGATACAGCCTGACGAATTTGTTTGGACTGGTGATGGTGTGGAGGTAGCTCTGCTTGCCGTTGTAGAAGTACGTGTCGGGCTTCCAGATTCGGGCGAGCATCGAAATGGACAGGGCCAGGGTCTCCTTGCCGCTCTGAAACGCCAGTCTTCTGTCCACCCACGATTGACGAAAGTAACAATCCATCGAGTAAGTCTGAAAATCATCGAGCCCAACAGTCGAGTGGTATTTATATGGCGCAGCTTTATTCGTACACTCAATGAATAATCGCTCATCTAGACTGTCTTGAAAAGCGTGTACGAAGATGGTTTAAAATTTTAAACATCATTAATTGCCGAGATAGAGATTTGCTCGTACGGTGCTATAGCTCGAATCGAAATTACAAATTGTACATATGTCGTGGCATATAGCGAGCGAGAGATAGACGCGAGATTATGCGGCCATCAGAGACAAGTTGCGAGCTCACGTAAATGACACGTGAGTTTGAATTTGAATTAGCTGCGCTCGGGTTAAAGGATTTCATGCCATCTCGGGAGCTCATATCCTTTGCTCCCCCCGGCCCCGTTTGTCTAATAACATCTGCCTCCTCTCGCGTAATTCAATCTCGAGCTATTCATGATTGCAATCAAAATATCTTCTCATTGTGCTGTTACAAATTTAATATCGCGTGGCTGAATGGATGAAAAAAAGTGTATTGCCCGCATCGTAGCGTGTATTTGTTCGATACAGCGGCGCCCCAGACGTGCATTAAAAGATGCGTCGTATCACCGAGAAAAGAAGAGATACTGCACGGATTGAAGTAGCGACATAAGTGAAACGTATCTTATAGCACAGAATATTCTTCTTCGATATAACAAAAACTTCGGCTTGCAGACGTATGCATAAAAGTAATACCGTGGAATAATTTATATATGTATTCATTAGGAGCATTATTGTTTCTATATGGGTGATGTTGCGTTTTTCAAGTCCCAAAATGTTTCTGAAAAAAATAATGGATTTTCGGACGAATCAGAGGGGCTCTTTGTTTGTCAACTAATAATGTGCCAAACTGTACACGCGCAAAGCTACAGACAAATTAGAAATTTTTTTGTTAACGACATGACGCGATAATGACCAAATTCGCACTATTGTTGAACATGCTTAATAAAAATCTTTTAAATACAAAAATTTGGATATTTTGATGAGACATGATGTCCCGTAGTTTATTTGCATGAATGGAAACTTGTAAAACGCTCTTGAGTAGACGTATAAAAAGCGACAGACACGAATGAGACAAACGGTAATAAGAAAAATTGGCCTAAATATTATACTGATACAAATCATCGAAACGTTTCTTTAATCTTTCAGGAATGTATCCTTCACTTTTAAAGTTGAGAAACAAAAACAAAAATTATTTCGTATTAAAATATTCACCTGCTGTTGTGTAGGGAACATCATTGCAGCCAATATCACCTTTATACAATACTGTACTCTTAATTTTTTATTGGAATGAAATGAAATTCGGTGACGCGTAATTGACTTAGCCGAGCCAACGAGTATCAGGTTCAAAGATTCTCAGAGCATCTACGCGTGATTGAAGGACGAGGCCAATTGATATCGAAGGAGGGCTTAGTTTAGTGCATCTAAAATGACGTCGAAACGAAAATAGAGATATACGTACTCGAATGACGAGATAAGCTACTGAATAGGCTTATCATTTCTTAGTCACGTCTTAAGAATACACATTTAAATAGCGTCGAAAATCGAAGAGCGCCAGTTGCTGTAAATGTTGCGTAAATTCACAGACATAATTGCAGGTACGATTGGGTAAATAAAAAGGATAAATCTTAACGAATGATGTGTTTGGAACTAACCATATCGACTTCGGAAATGGGACCCATGCTGCGAACCATTATGTCAACCTCGACGACGGCGGGCGGACCCCCGAAATCGGGCCTGACGCTGTTGTCGTAGCCTCGCAGCAGATTGTCGAGCAGCTCGCTTATGTTGGCGTGATTGTTGCTTTGCCTCAATTTCACGCGGTTGCGATTGGACCCGCCTTTCGGCTCAACCGCCACTCTGTAACACAAGAAAGTAATTCGTTTTTCCAATCTCCTTTTCTATACTTTAATCCTTTATATATTTATATTATGTGAAGGACTAGATTCGACAAAGAACTAAAACAAGGCAGAAGACAGGCTAGGATGTATAAGCAAGCGCGCCGATGCTCGTCCAAGTAGAAGCTGGCGTATTTGGTCAGACGTAACGCGGATTTTCAGGCAGCCTCGCTGCGCCGCCGGATTGTGTACGAGTATAATTTTGGTGCGCGGCGTCAATCTGCAAACGTCAGGATCCGTGTACACGTCGCGCGTAAGGCGAGGCTGCGAAATCCCCCCGCCCGCCGCCGTCTACCGATCGTCGGATGCGCTCGAGGTCTGTGCACGTGCCCCGTCTCCGTGATGAATTGAAACAGCCGCGTGTGCGCCTACATATAGCTCTCTACCTATATATGTGTGGAACCCGTCGAGACGTACCGCGCGCAGTTTTCATTTTCCAATAAGTCCATATTGTATTTGGTCCAGCGACAAATTTTCTTCTTCAAAACCTTCGTCTGTATTTTTTCGGGCATGAAGAAAATCCCATCGACTTACATCGGCGCAAATGTACCCTCGCAAAAACGTCAACAGCCAAAATACCCGAGTATGACTATTGTATAAGAGGCCATCATGTTAAGCTGTTCACTCAATTGTCTCCAGCATCTGACTTATCTTGCAAGTATGCTGACTTTTATATATCATTTAAAATACTACGATATCGATACAAAGATTTCATATTATATACTTTGTGTGTACTCACAAGAGAAAGGCGAAAAATATGCTGGACTGGGCAATGCTCCGTAGCATGATACGGTCTCTCGCTGGAAGCTAGCTGCGGTTCAGTCCAATTAACGCTTTACTCATCATTTCGCTTGAAAAGATCTCCCTTATCGATACTCGCTCCTTCTGTTGGGATTTTCATTACTTGTAATGCTTCTTAACTGCATCTCTTGCCTCATTCTTTGATCACTTGGCCAAGTGATATTTTTCCTCGTGTATTATTCTGTAAAAAAGGCAATGCGTGGAAATTCATTGACAGTTCAGTACAAATCATTTGCGTGCTGAATCTCCATATTTTTAAACTTCAATATCAAACATTCATTTACTTCAAAAAATAAAGTTCTATCATTCGGTCGATGTACTAAAAATAGTTTTAGTTTTTAGTTAGGTTATTGGTATACCTCTTTAGCTATTTACAGGCACGTAAACGTATAAAAGTTGAAATCGAATGGGGGCCCAGTTTTTTCCCATATTGTGGGATTCTTTGTAATTTTCCGGGGTTAACAAAAAAATCAGGCAGCTGCGAGAATTGGGAAAACATTAATTTAACGTGAAGAGTACTTCAAATAGTTTGAACAAGTATTAAAACTTATTTAAAGTCTATTTAAACTGACGCCTAACCTATAGTACTGCGGACGAAAACGTTTTACACTTTGAGTAAGTTTTTGATAATTTTTCATTATTTTGAACATTATTATTATCAGTTAAAATTGTAATATTTCAAAAAAGTTCAACACCTTAACGGTATTGAATTACCCGAGAAATATTTAATGTTTCTTTTTCTTTTACAATGTAATCCATCATTGTTATTATGCCTGATGCTGTCGAAAATTGTATGAAAAAGTACTGCTATTGTAATAAATAATCTTTTTCGAGTACACTAAATTTACTTTTAATAAAATCTGAGATTAAATCAATAATATCTCTTGAATTTCGAATCAATCAAATTGATTTGCAAATTAAGTAAAAACACTTAATTGTATGAGCCAGAAGAGTAAGGAGTAAGAGAGTATACTTGGCATGATATTGTGTACTTGATAAGCAACCGCAAGCGTAACTAGAATTAGTGCGGAAGAACCAAACTTTTGAGACTCAGTGAGCAGTGCGATTTTAATGGAGTTTTCCCCCACCCATAGAAAGCTAAATAAAACCTTTACATGGCAATATGTGTACATAGAATTGGCGTACGGAAGGGTGCAAAATTTCATTAATTGTAATACGAGTAGCTCACGCTTTATTTTCGATAAGCTCATTTCAAAACAAGTTTCGCTTATATTTATTATCGACTTGTGAGCGCGTCTTGCTCGATCGTTGATTCATATTTTTTATGATTTAAGAAAAAGATTATATTTGAACGATTGACTATAAATTGTTGTGTATGGTCAAAGAAACACGGACTGACAATCCTAGCTGTAAAAGAACTGCCGAAACATACTCTTGAATGCGAGGAATTTGTTACATTCTATCTCGCCTTATAAAATGAAATATACTGGAAATACATAAGGCAAGTCGTCCTTCTCCTGATCGTAAGACATTTTTTTTATTTTATGATAAGTATATATTGTAAAACTGCTCTGAGGAGAATTTTTAATTTCGTTCTTAGAAACAGTAAGTAAGGAGTTGCACCAAGGGACAAACTTCACTTTTACTTGATTATATGGTTGCATGGTACATACTGTATATTATATATAATACAAGCATAAAATAGTTTAAATGCAGTTTATAGAGCAAGCAATAGATTTGCAGTTCAATGGATGACACATGCTTGATACCCAGTCTTATAATCAACTGATGCCATTTTGAGTCATCTTTTGTTGTCAAATGGACGACTAATAAAATGTTGATACATGTCTTTGAAAAATGTCAATACCCAGTTCGAAATGAAGCATTTTTGGCTTGACTGGATGCGTATGCGCACCAGGAAAAGATATTCAATATCCAAAAGTTCGCTTCAAAAATGCGCTTGTGTACCTTTGCAGATATAGGTATTCGTGATTTATCAAAAAAGTTTCATCTTGCGAACGAGATAGTGTAACAAGTGCCGCTATATATGGTCTTGCAACTGCTTGAAATATTCGTATATTTCTAATCTTACTGCGTGATGCACTAGAAACAACTCGTTGATTTTTCTTTTTTACACGAATACATCTATTTGATTGAAGCGCGAGAATAACAATGAATAGGTGAGGAATTTTCATCGTGTTTTTGTTAACGCGAACTGCAGAAGAGCCACGCGCCAGCTTCATTTTGATCGGGCAAACAAGACCGATAACAGCTGAAACATATGTATACGAAGTATAGCATTGGAAGCGCCAGTCCGATAGGTACTCTTGCGGCGATAGAACAAATTTCTCCATGTCCGGAAGTTAGCTCGCCTCTGTAGGCCTCCGCCGTTGTGGTTGTATGTGCGTGTTTGTGTGCTCTTATCACCGTCCTACTCATACCCTACGGCACATATACATACATACCTCTCGTCGCGCACACGCATAGATAGGGATAAAAGCGCGACGATGCGTATGATTCAGTGCTCATGCCATGTAAAGAGGGGATCGTGTACTGTTGCGGCTGTCAGCGGAGCAAGGACGGCTCGATTAAACGTTGATTTCGGCATTTATCTCAATGCCATATAGCAGATTTAAAGAGTTTTTCTCTCTTTCTATCGCTGCCAGGCTCTCTCGCTTCGTCTGCTTTAACGCGTAATTGCAGCCCGACGATGCGACAAAAAAAGCTTTGACGCGGCTTCGAGGTTTATTTGCTAAAGTTTGCGTGCAGCTTCTCTCGGCAGCGACTTTGAATCAGTAAAAAGTAACACATGTCTCCGTCAGTCGGAGCTATCTGTTCTACACATTATTATGTTTTATTTATAGAAAAATCACTCGCTCGATTGAATTTCATTATTTACGCACTTGCACAAGCACAATAATAATTGCAACATTTCGATGCTTCCTTAGCAATAGCTTCTGAAATCATGATTCAAAGTTATCTAAAGGTTTATCGATCGCTTTTTCCATGATGAAATATTTCTTTACGGTTTATGACGTAATTTATACGAGCAATCATATTAATTTTTTCATGTATAATAACGAGCTTATTTTCTCATAGATTTTAATTTTAGAATTGTAGTGGGCGAGATCGAGCCTCGAGCCGATTGATTACTTTCGGAAATCTTTTTTTTTTTTCTTCAAATCTTTTCAAATCCGTAATAGAACAGTACTTTCCCATTCGCAGGCGCTGGGGCTTAACAGCAGCTTGGAGAAAACAATCCTATTTTGCGCCACGCACTGCACACACGCAGGGGCTTTCCAATTTGACTAATTCGATTTTTCTTTCTGTTTTGCGCATCCACGCTGCTCCTACTACACGACCATGGCTTGGGAAAGCAGATTTTCTCGAGGTTGCTTCGATGCAGCAGCCACCAGAAAAGAGCCAGGCGAAACAAGTTCGAAGCGGCGGCTCTGCATCGTTGCCGCGTGGTAAAATAATAGAACAAGTCATGCAAGCCATTTCCGCCCTGGCCGATAAGCAAGGCTCCAGCACCAAGGACATTCTGAGTTACGTGACGAAAAATTCAAAGGGCACCAATAGGAACCTCACTCTAAAGGTACGCTACGAGGATGGCGTTTTTTCCTCGCGCTCAATCGATTCTCTTGTAGCTTCGAGGGAACGTCTCGTTCGACAAATAATTACAGCCCCTCGCCCGTCTCTCTCGTTATTTTAATCAAGAAAACGACCGACTACTATAGTCGCCAAGGCTGCATTATCTCAAAATCAACGCAAGTTTTAACATTTTCTTCTCGAGAGAATGAATTTTAACGAACGAGGCCAACTCCTCATCGGTTTTAATTAAAGCAGCAAACAACAAACTCTGCCTACATATTTGCACATTAATTGCATAACGATTTTTGTTAGAATATTTCGTTGGTCAGCCAATTGGACTTTGATGTACTTGGTTATAATGATTTTCTTGGCGATTTTACATGTGGCAAAGGTGCAGCAGGCTCTGAAGCAAGGCGTACGGGATGGCAAAATCAAATTGCGCAGTGGTCGTTACAAAATCATAATCATCAGCGTCAAAGCTACGCCGGATCCAGTCAACAGCAAGAGCAAGGCAACTCGTGGCACTACGGCAGCTGGCGGAGGCAGTAGTAGCAGTCAACGAAAACGCACAAAAAGAGTAACGCTGAAAGTGCCGCCGACGCCTTCACGTCCGTCCGGTATGTTCGATCGACGATTACTAACAAAATTGTCACTTTCCGTGCATTGTCTCAAACATCGTGCCTACGCGTACTTAAGCTAACGCGTATGTAGATATTCTTTAAGAGACCAAAAAAAAATACGAAGCTGAGCTGCTGCTGCTGCTCTAATTAGGAAAACGAGGACTTTTAGTTATGTAGTAGTATAGACAAGTAAATACGCTAGACAAACTTGTGAGTCGCTGTGTTTGCAGGTGAGATTCATTCGTTCTACACTTCTCGGCGGATGAATCTGAGTATATGGATAAGAGCTTGCATGTGTTAGATTGCAGTTAATATAAATTGCCCCACACCTTACACCTACTGCGAAGAGAGAAAGAGATAGAGAGAGAGAGATAAAGTAATAGAGCTGAGCAGCGATTCAAATGAATTCTATACCAAGCGAGTCGGAGAAAAAAAATATCTCGCGGCCCACGAGACATGATCCTTTTTAAACTCCGCTACGTATAATAATGCATATGTATTCACTGAAATATAGCGCTGTAGCTGCTGCACTCGTCTGACTAGAGAAGGGTTTTATTTAATTCATAATGATATTCGCGGAGAGGACGAGTGCGAGAGAGCGAGATAAAAAAAAGAGAGAATGAGAGCACGCGAGCAGCGGATTTTTTCATAAATGTTTTACACGCGGAATACGTGTTAACGCGCGAGCATGATTAATGTTTCATGAACAATTGATGACACGAATATTTTGTCCACAAGACAAGATTACATTTAGAAAACAATTTCGTCGCGCTCGCTTCGTTTCGATGCGGGAGCGCCAACCATTTTTAATATTAATAAGTTTATCCAATAGATCCAAAGCCATATAAAAATTGCGCTTTTTTCAAAGGGAAAGACAAAGCTGCAACTAATCAAACATCGACGAAAAGCAGCAACGCTGGTAGTAAAGACCCTAGCGGCGGCAGTGGCGTCGGCAAGAAGAACAAGCATCAATAGCGCATAGGCATGTCTCAAAAAGAAAAGTTCA